TAAATTACAAGGCACCGTGCATTTGTAATTCCTGATTTATTCCTATTGTTGTTATATGGCATGCATGAGTCGGTCGAAATGTTTGTGCATATTATACTGTACACTATATACCTGGTGTGGGTGTGGGTGTTTGACTTGTGACCTCCAAGTGTTGTTGGACTCCAGCTCCCATCAGCCCCTGTCTGATGGCCAATGGTCAGGAGTGATGGGAGATTGTCATGCCTTAGCCAGGGGACTTCTCATCAGAAGACCCGCCCTTACACCAAGCCCTGGGTCAGGCTCTCTGTCTGAGGGCCAGGATCCTGTGATGGTGCTGAGGAGGGGCCATCCGCACCCAGGATGAGTTCAGTCTCTGATCTTAAGGCTGAATGGGTCCCAAGGGAAGGGAAGGGCCTTAAGTACCAAAGGGAAACCTGGCCAATCCAAACAGGAGCCTGGCCACAGGCAAGGACTCATCAGAAGTAAATGTCTCCTCAAGAGTGAAGCTTGGGGGAATCGCAAGGTTTGAAGAAATACAACAATATTTACGTAAGGAAAAGAAGGGGGGATTATCCAAAACCAAGACTGGACTGAGTGGGCTCAATGTCCATAGAATGCTGACTAACTTTGGGAGGAGGGAATGGAAAACCAAAGGGAGAGGAATAGGATGGAGTAGCTGAGACCCCACAATATAGGCCCTGGAAGGTTGCCCCTAAGGGAATATGACTATTGGGCTGAAAAAGGTTCTATAGATTTAGTTCAAACTTGCTCCTTTATAATTACAGATATGTCTCAGTAGCACACAAGCATTAAAATATGGGCCCAGGGCTTCTATTTTCTTGGGGAAAGGCAACTGCAATATGTACACAGTGGGACTAGAGTCAATGCAGTGCAGGTAACGGAGCACTGGCAAATCTCAAGACAAAAATTGACCAGACTCTGGCATCTGAAATAGAACATTCACAGAAGGGAAGAGGAAGGAGAGAGAATAAAATCTAAAATAAAATAAAAATGGTCCTTTAACGCATCCCCTCTGTCAAGTTTTCTGCTGAAAACCACAATCCAAAACTGGCTTACTTGCATTGCATGTGTGTGTGCAGGGAAGGGGAGGGAGCGAAATACATGCAGATACTCACATCCCTCCCACCCCCCCCTATAAATAATCAGCATTAGCATCAGCATCTGACAGCATAAAGTTCACGTTAGATGAAATGGATATTTGAATTCATCCTATAAAATATAGATTCAGAGCTAACCATATCAAAATGTCACTTTTGGGTCCCCCCCCCCCTTTTCAAACGACTGTACAGTGATCAGGTTGTTCTGGTACAGATCCTTATCTTCTTTTGTTAAATATACACCTAAAAATTGAACAGGTCATTCTGTCTGGCTGAACTTACCTAAATAAATAAATAAATCTCTGGATTAATTTTTTTTGTTACCTATTACTTCTGTTTCCCCTAATCCAAATTAGCTTTAAAAAAACCCAAAATAAATTCATAGGTCTAAATAAGAGCATTCAAGGCTACTTCTGACTGTTCTACAATGGAAAGACATAAGAATATCATCTGTTTGTAATATTAGTGCTGTCTCTCAGATGGTTTAATTCCCTTTTGTCTACAAAGCTCCTTGTTGTCACAGAGGCTATATGATATCTATAATATGAGTGAGAACCCTCAGGCTTGGATGGAGGGCTGAATATGGCCCTCTAGACTTCTTCATCAGGCCCTGGGAACTCTCACCAGGCCACACCCTCTATCCCCAGACCACACCCCTCACCACTGGCACATTTTTCCAATTATTGCTTTTCCCTGGTTGAAGTGTGTCAATGCCTTTTGCTTGCCTGAATGGTGATAGGTGTGTCTATAAACATCTCACTTATGTGTGACTGAAATGTAGTTTACTGTACAACAGTAGTGGCCATACTTTGCTCCGCCCACTTTTGCCTCTGGCCCCACCCACCAGAAGATTATCCATCAGGGAACATGGTGCTTGGCTGAAAAAGGTCTCCCCATTCCCATCTATGTATCAAGTCTTAAAACTAATCTTGGGGTTTGGAGTGAGGTGTCAACAGCATGCTGATGACAACCAGTTCTAGATTTCTGTGATCAGGCACCTGGGATCTGCCATTTCTGCCTCGAACCAGTGCTTTGTCAGATGGATGAGGCAATCAGGTTGAAACAGAATACAAATACTGTGGGCGAGTCATCCTCAGACCCTGAAAAACTGCTCTTCCTCTTAGAGCAGGTACTGTATAAACTTTTCTCAACTCCCAGATCTCTGATAAGCAGATAATTATGGTGGCCAGAGACGCATCTCACCGGATGCATTTTATCATGTAGGTTCTGCCCTTTCTTGGACAGAGGTGATCTGACTATGCGATCAACTTCAAGGCTTGAATGCACTTTGTGCTCTTGAAGGCTTCAGTGGATAAAAAATGCAACTGCCTGGCTTATTTGAATACTGGGAGGTGTGAATATGTTTAGCTAGCATTATATTATCTGCATTGGCTGCTCGTGTGTTTTCAGCCAAATCAGTACAAATTTGGGGAGCTTTGAACATATTTCACCTATATCATCTACACTTGCTGCCAGTTTGCTTCTGGTTTAAACCTTTAAAGCCCTTCATGGTCTGGGACTCATACACCTTAAGAGACCACCTCTCCTGTGTCAATTCCACCCCAAATGAGTAGATCAAATGAGGGTCTGCTTTGTATTCCATTAATAAGTGAGACCTTTGGCTGCTGGGAGCAGGGCCTCCACAATGGTGGTTTTGATGCTGTGGAATTATTTCAATCCCAGATTACAAAGTTGTATGTAGCTGGTTTTAGGAAGACGTGCTGATTCCCAATGACTTTTTAACTGTCTGATAAGGGTGTGATTTCAGCCGATTCAGTTGGAAGCCAGTGGAGTCTGTTATCTTTTGTTGTCTTACATAAATCTTGCATGCTTTGTTATTTTATTTTGCAGTTTTAAATGCTATTTTAAGTGTCAATTTATTAATTGAAAACCACTTTGAGCTTGTGGAAAAGCAATCTGTAACATATGCATCTCTTGTTTTACACCTCTCTGAATGTTGAAGTTTTAATATGTAGCTATTCGTCAGCAACCTTGTTTTCAGAGTTGTGTAAATACTGACCCACAGTATACAAATGTTTCATTTACTATTGTTGCTGGTAGCACATGTAAAGCAAGTTTGTGTGATGCTTGTCAGTTACTCCACATCAGGAAATAGTCATTTGATGACATCCTTTTCTTCCCAAAGGTGGGTTTCTATGGGGCCTAATTACTGCAACTGACAGATTATTCTTGTTACCAGACTAGAGATGGTGTGTACATGACAGACAACTATAAATGAAGTGCCAGAATTGCACTCAGAAAGAAGCTAGAATAATTTGTAAATGCTGCAGGCATTTTTCATAGTTTTGTAGTTATCTTCTGATGGATGTCTTCAACAGTCTAGTTTTTATCCGAATCAGATTTTGAAATACGAGCTGTTTCTATAGGTATCAGAATGTAGGTGTTGCTTGTCAAAAATTGCTGTTTGATCCTCCTCCTTCATTACACATCCCAGAGTTTTCATTTAGGTTATAAGGTGGTTTGGTCCAAGCAGCTACTGAAAACTGCTGTATGTTTGGTTCACCTTTATGGTGAGACATAATGCAATATTGTGTGTTGAATCCATATTGCCTCCCTTATTTAGGAAACAAACTGGTTAGACTAGCATATTGATATTCAATGGGAAAGTCATAATCTATCAAGTTGGCCGTTAAAGCAGAAAGAAAAACAAACACGGATAAAAAGTGAAAAGTAGGAGCTATGTTGTAGACTGGGATTAAAGGTCTCCAGTTTGAAATGGCTGTGGTCAACTGGCTTAACTAAACTGCTTAATTTACACCTAGTTCTTACTGATGCGGTAAATCCATGTCTTTGTGGTACCACTGCAGGGTGATGCAGAAATTTCACATTATGTTACTCCTTTATTAAAAAAAGAACAAAAATATTTCTGTCAAATATAGCACAGATACATTCAGCAAACTAATAATGTGGTTCCAGCATTGTTATATACTACTAAGTACCTAATAATAGTTTGTCGGAATTAAAACAGTTGTGAAATGGAGGCCAGAAATTCACTGAGGCAAAATTGCATTGTAAATTTTTAGTATTGCACCTTCCCTTTATCACTTTCCTTCCAGATTTTCACTAAAAGATTGTTCATGTCATTCGTGGGATAGGTGTAATCCTGGAAACCAGATTCTGAGGATCTCTCTCCCCCTCCACCACCTCTAGTAGGTTATCTGCCTAAGTTCCATTGATGGACAAAGATCCAGTAGGGCCAGTTAGAATTATGATTTAGTGTTAGACTAGGACTGGGGAGACTCATCAAATCCCCATTCATCCATGAAGAGTGTCAGGCTGTGTACAAACCAAACAATTAAAACACAGGACTTCCCCTGAAGAATCCTGCACATTGCAGTTTGCCTGTCACAGAACTACAGTTCCCAGCAGAGGTTGATAGATCCAGCTAGTTTTGCAATTGGAAGAGGCAAAGCTAGACGAAGTTAGAATGTACAGAAGAGGGGAAGGTGCTAATTAGGAGGATAAAGGGAAGTGGGAGCCAGTAGATTCGCCTCTGTGGCTGACGGCTACCTGCTCAGAGCCTTAAATGGCTCTGAAGGCTGCTACCCAGAAGAGAAAGAAATGCAATCCTATGCACACGCTTTTGCATTTAGCGGGATCTACTCCCAAAAGCAAGTATCCATAGGATCCGGCCATTCGGCAGGCTACGTTATTTACGTTATTTGGTTACTCCCAAAAGCAAACAGCTGGAAGGACTAGCTAGCTAGAGCTTCGCTGGAGCCGAGCAGGCCGTGCTCTGCCTCCCGAGGGCTAGCCGGAGCCGGGAAGCAGGGTGGCGGCGCCTGCGCGGAGAGGCCCCAAGTCGGCAACCGCGCCTGCTTCGGTCCCTTTAAGGAGCGTCTCCTCTTTCTCGCCGAGTTGCATCAGGCACGCGCGCGTCCCGTCCCCGGCGCACCCACCGCCCTGAGCTCGGGCTACCTGCCCGCTCGCTCGCCGTCCCCAACTTCCTAGGCGCGCTCGCGGCCGGGACCGGCGTGCGCGCTCCCGGGGCCTCTCTAAGGCGGAGCAGGCTGAAGGGCGCGCGCTCCCGCCCGGCCAGTCGCGTGGTCTCCTTGCTTCTCCATATTGCTGCGGCGGCATTAGAGGAGACGGGGAGGGGGCACGCCGGGGTTGGGTTTCAAGGGTGGGGGGAGGAAGCCGGCGGCTCGAGCCCCCACCCCGTGGCTCCGGGGTGCGCATCCGACTGAGGAAGGGGTTGGGGGGCGCAGAAAGAGAGAGAGAGAGAGAGAGGGGAGGCAGGAGAGCTCCGGGCGAGGCGAGGCGGTTTTCGGGGGTGGGAGGGGGAAGTCGGCAAAGTTTGGGGCGGGCGCGTGTTGTCCGGGGAGAGCCTGGAGCCGGGGGCACGAGGCGGCTCCGCGGGGGCGCAGATGGCTACCCAGGTGGAGGCTCTCCTGCCCGCGAACCCCCTGCTGCCCTCCGAGGAGCACGGGCTGGTGATGAAGAAGCCTCAGGAGAAAGGGGAGCAGCACCTCCTGCACCAAGGAGAGAAGGCCAACGCCGACGAGGGCAAGGGGGGCGGCCCCGACAGCTGCAGCAAGGAAGGCGGCGGCGGCGGCAACGTGGGGGAGCAGCATCTGCGCCGAAACGGGGCGCTGCTCAAGCCCCCCAGCATCAAGCAGCAGAAGGAGGACAGTAACAACCAGGAGAAGGAGAACCTGCTGCACCAGAGGAGCGGCGGCGGCGGCGGCACCGACTCGACGCGGCTGCCCAGCGAGGCCGGTAGCAGCAGCAGTGGCGGCGAGGAGGGCGGCGAGCCGGGAGGCGTTGGGCGCAAGGAATTCATCGAGGCCCCCCCGCCCAAGGTGAACCCTTGGACTAAGAACGCCCCGGTGGCGCTGGTCACCCTCAACGGACAGTCGCCCCCAGGTGGGTAGCAGCGGGGGACCCGGGCGAGGGAGGGAGGGAGGGGCGGTGCTTTCGGTGATGGTGGTCTCGTTTGGGGCAATCGGCGAAGGAAGAGCGTCGCGGCCACTGGCGGAGGGCGATCTTCCCTCCGCAATATGGTGACATTTTCTCTTCTCCACACACACACACACACACCCGCCTCCCCCCCCCCGACGGTGGAACTCCACCCCGTCTTTGTCCATCTGCATCCACCCTGCTTGTACCTCACCTCGCCCTCCGCTCCTTGATCCGCTTCGTTATAAGAAAAATTAATGGGGGGAAAGAGCGAGCGCGGGATCGATGGTAGGCAAATGGAGGGTGGATGCAAGCATGGTGGGACGGGGCTTTCGAAATCGAGCGTGAGACGTCCAAGGCCTTGCTCGCTGGGAAACACGCCCGCGCTGGGCATGGGTGGAACTACCTTTATTGAAGGGAAAGAAAAGAAGGGGGGAGCGGGAGGAAGGGTGCCACCCCCGCGTGCCTCCCCATTTCCCGCGTGCGTGCTCAGGGAATCGGGCTTTTCCTGCCGGAACTGAAGTGAATAAATCTGTTAAGACTTAATCGGGCACGGAAGGCACCCCCGCCGTTGCAGCATTGATCGGATCGTGAATGTTTCATGAGCGATCCCCCCCCCCCACGCCGCTTCCTTTCCCCGAATAGCCTCGCTTTTTAAATGGCGTGGTGGTTGGTTGGCTGAGGGGGAGACGAGCTCGTGAGGCTTAGACGTAACCCCGACCGAAAGTCGGCAGGGAAGCCCGGCATATTTGGGGTGTGTGGAGTGTGACTGTGACCTTTCAAAGTAGCCGGAAAGGATTTAAAAATGCAGGTTGGCTGTTGTAGTTTAAAACTGTCGAACGTTTATTTGTCTTCTACACGGTGGGGGGGGCCGACAGCTGGGGGCCCCTTTGGCGAAAGACCCCTGAGGAGAGCATGTTGTATGCAAATAGGCATAGGAAAGGGAAGGCCCCAAAGGCTGGACGCGGCCCGGCGGCGGCCGCGCTGTGAGGCGGGGAGCGGGAGGGAGGCGGTGCGTTTCCGAAGGTTTCTCGCCGCGCCGCTCTAGGCCCCGGTGCAAACGTGCCTCTGGCGACGGTTTGAAAGCTCCCGTCGCTCAGCGCCCCGCCGCCCAATGGCCGGGCGTGGGTGTGTGACTCTGTGCGCCGCCGTGCTCGGCGCTTCCTCCCTTTCCCAGCATTCCGCTGCAGCAAAGGCAACGTGGTTTTTCTGTCGCGGAGAGCATGTGATTTCTCCTGAGCTCGCCGTGGGGCCTTCCCGTTTGGACCTCTCTTCCTTTCACTCCCCGCCAGTCCAACGACCCCCCACCCCTGGGCCGCCGCTCGCCTTTCTTTTGACAGGCGGCTCCGAAGAAACACCCCCACCCCCTTTCAGGGCCTCAGCGCGTATTTTTCCGAGGGTGACAGTGAAACCCGCTCTACCCCACCCCCACCCCGTCAAGCGGGTGAGAGCAGGAAAAGATGAGCTAGGCCTCGCACATGGAAGCTAGGCTTCCCATGTGCGCCCCCGTCCTCTGCAGTACCGCCTCCTCCCTTTCAGTAACCCCGAAACACTCGCGAACACGTGTTACAATGCTACTGGAGGATCCATATGGTAGTGGATGTGGGACAAAGGTCTTCTAAAAGTCCACGTGGGCTTATATCCTTTGTAGGTTAAAGCTGCTGGGCCTTTTCACCCTTCGGGGTTTGAACTGGGCCAGTACTGTGACATTTAAACCTTCGGCCTGGGTTCTCAGTGTGTTCATAGTTGGAATTCAGATGACATGCTCTAGCCCTCTATTTCTAGCTTTGAAACTGGGGGAAGAGTGGAATAGAGAGGCTGGAGACTTGCCTGTTACACTGAGGCGGTCGCTTGGAATGTTACAGCAACTTTCTCCACCTTTTGACATATATAGATGGCCTTGGAGAAATTCAAGAGAGTATTGCATAATCAGACCACTACCAGAAAGCTGTTTCTTATATGCCCCTTCCATATGTTCCTGGATGATATGCAGGGAGGGCAGGCATAACTTATTACAGGAGAGATAGCTAAGCTCATGTTTAGCTTATGGAGGTGAAATCTGAACTGCTTTTTGAGGAAACAACAACAAAAGGAGCAGTTTTAAACTACTAGCTTTATTGAGTCCAAGTCTTCAAAATTGTTTATATTATTGCCAAACGTAATACTAGATTGCTCATTAATGCTTGTACTATATTATATGATGAATCATCAAGTTTTACTGACTCCTGTAAGACGCACTGCTGTGCAGCACCTGGCTCAAATGCTGTTTTTCTCCCTTCAAAATCAGGGAGTGGTAGTGCTTATTATCACAAATGCAAGATCATTAGAATAGATTTAATAATACTGTCCAGTCTGTTCAACTGTGTCAGCTTAGAAGTATGATAATACTGGCTTGTTGGGACACATTTATGAACGAGTCTTCCAGAGGTTAAAGTTCCATTACGTAGAGAGTTTCTAGCATGCTTTGTATAATATTGAGTGTACTTGGAACACTTGGGATACTTCATGTGTTAAACTAGTTGGGTAAATTACTTTTTTGCTTTACTTTTGCTGGTAAGATACCATAACTGAAATTCATTATTTAAATGTTTTTGTTTTTAATGAACCTTTTATGTAGGTGAACACGTGTAAAACTTTATGAGGAAGCCCATAACAGTACAATAGTACAAGTAGACTTTGTCCCTAAATAAGAAATGTCACTTTTGTGAAAGAAACATGTATAGGGCACAATGCACTTGTGTGGTGGGCACTTTACCTACAAACGGAAGATTCCAGTAGTGATTAACAGTTTTGTTCTCTTCTGCCCTTCTCCTCTTACCTGTGTGTGCACACAGATAGGTGATATGACAGGACAGCCACCTCACATATCCCCATACTGATATTCTATCATCACCTGATGCAAGCACAGCTGACTTGCAATGCATGGAGAGGGAGGATTGGACAGGGATATTGGAAGTACTTGCAAATCTCCCTCCACCCAATTGACTTGTTCACAAGTGCCATCTCATGGTGCAAATGGATCATACCCATAGTGTTTCAGTAATCCACCTTTTGTAGGGCTGTCTAAAAAGCCCCCTGGTAAAGCAAATGCTGCAAAGATTTCTGCTTCTTGGCAGCAGTGGCCATAATTTGTACAATACTAGCTTTGGCAAATTATTCCGCTCTCGTAGCACTGTTTTTTCTGCTGCTTGTTATTTTATATATAATTTGCAACATAAACATGATGTAGTTGGAGAATACCAGATTGAACCATGCAGTGATTGAGAACTATGTGATAGGCTTTGGTTTAAGGTGGCTTTCTTTTATAGCATGTTGCACAAATTAAAAAACTTAATATGGGAGTTTTCTCTATTTAGTATTTTCTGCTTGAAAATATATGTGTAAGCATCCTGAAGTTTCTGTGCTAAGAAAAAACTTTGTGCGTTGTAGTAATGATTTCTAAAGCTTAATATTGGCAAAGGTGATGTGGCAGCTGTTTTTCTATATTTGGGAAATTTGCCCACAACTGATTTGGGAAAAAATGCTACTTGCAAATAAGTCTATAACTTGTATCAAACTGCTAGTGTATAAATATATATGTATAATTTTCAGCAGCTTCTGGTTTTGGCACTGACTTAGTCGCAAAGTTGCTGCATCATGCCCTTCTGGACCATGCCGGAGGCTATGTTTCAGTGTAGCCATAACACCAACTCCTGGTTTGGTTCCACAAGAATTTTGCTTGACTTGAATCCAGGTTGCAAACCTCAAAGCAGACTTGTAATCCTGGTTTCAAGACAAGTGCAAAGCATAATTTTCCAGCTCCCACATAATTAAAAATAATGGTTTGTGATAAAAAGAAAGTCACATTGACTTAGCACGTATAGGGGGAGGGGAAGTGTGCTAGCACAAGGCTCATGCATGGAATACCAAATCATTGTTTGGCATTATGTGTGAACCAGCCTTGTTCTTGATTACCCAGAACAATGGATATGACATCCTAAAAGTATAATTGAGCTTTTCAGCTTGCTGTTTGAATTTTGCCTGTAGTATTGGGCAACAGACTGAAGGGTTGTAAGATAGAAGTGCAACATCAAATGTGATGCCAAATATAATGATATTTTAAATTGTGCTGCTTACAGGAATGTCTTTAAATAATGATGCTACATTGAATGGCACAAACAAGATTTTATCTGAGGAGCTAAGTTCAGTCCAAGGGTGCATATTGAGAATTCTGAAAAGCATTTGTAGGTGGATTACAAAAGTTTGTGGAAGGTACAGTTGTAGATTATTTATTTTGACAACCTGGTATGGTCAGTGCATGTTTGTGTAGAATCCCACTGTTTTCAATGGGATCAACATCCAAAGAGCATAGTAATGGACTTGCTATTAAGGCTGGTGACAAGTAGACTGGTGACTCTCAAACACTGAACGTATTTTGATTTTAAAAAGCAATTTTCTGCATGCAGTTAGGACAAGCGAAGGTGCTGCATGTCAGAGCTTGATTAGCTAGGAGGAAGTTGTCTTATATCTGAGCTTTGCAATAATGGGATATAGGCCTGTCTGGGAGCTTGCTGGTTTTTGAGAAAAAGTTGAGAAAGCAGCCATTGCTTTTTGTACATCCATGCTTTGTTTTATGGTAATACAAAAGTAACATAAATTCAGAAAGCGATTGAGTATTGTGGTTCCCCCCAACAAGTCCTGGAAATGTGTGTGTCTATAATCTCTGGGACTTTCATAGTTCTACATTTGGATGGCCGCTACAGATTAAGTTACAGCAGATTAAAGTGGCAGGCCAGTGCATGGTTATTCAGTAGTCAGTGAACAGAGCTTGTTCACAAACATGCTAATGATCAGAATGTAGAGAGTGATCACTGGAATAGGATAGTGTGATAAATCATTGTTTGACTTGTGAGGTAGTTGCAGGTTCACGTAACACAGATAAGTAATGCTTTAATTACTGTTCCATCCCAATATGGTGATGTGCGAGATGGTCTTCTGTGTTGTTGTTCCCCAAATCTGGAATGTCTTTCTCACTGAAGCTCAGACAGCAGAAACTCTGGTAGTTTCCGCTGACTTGTAGAAATAACCTGCTTTTCCCAGGCATTTGCAGTAAATCAGTAAGTACTCTCTGGTTTAATTCTCATGCTGTTTCTCAATTAATTATTTTATTATTGGGCTGTTTTTAAATCATGGTTAGATTTTTTGCTTTGTTGGAAATCACCCTTGGATCATGCTGATGTGATGAAAGCTGGCCTATAAACTGGAGGACTAAATAAATAATAAACAGAATATTTGGATCTTCTAGTCTGGAAAACAGTAGACTGTGCAGAGGAGGTTTATGTGCACTTTACTACTATTGCAACTGATATATAAAAGAAACCACACAATTTTGGATTCTATATTTCTGAGAAGAGCCATTGTGTTGCCTCTGAGGTTGCCTGGTGTATGAATCTGATATGTCACAGTTGCTCAGTCAATTAGCCAAAAATTTTAAAATCACCTTATGGTTTTCCATGAGTTGAACAAACACATTTTTGTGTCTTATAAATTAATATGTGAACTATACTTCTTGAGAAGGTAGCCAAGTGTCCTATTCTCCACCCCTTTTTGCATGATTTTGTAGGATAAGGTGTTCCTCCACAGGGACACACCTTTATTCACCCTAATCTTAAAAGTTTCCATCCTAATTGTTTTCTGTTTGAAAAGGTTATTAAAATAACATGTGACTCAGCTGACTGCTGCAGAAAAGTGAGAGCTGAAGCGCACTTACTTCACTTCAGTTCAACCATGAAACTAATTTTGCTAGTTGTGAGAGAGCTGACCGCAGCATGGTTCCAACCTTTTTTCTGCAACATGTCACAGCATTGTGGGTGGGACTAGATAACGTATCAGCAGCATGTTTTGCCCCTTTCTGTGACATATTGCAGTATTGTTGGCTTTGATTAACTCTCCAGAAATCGTAGGGCTGCAACATCCATCATCCCCAACTATTGGCCATGCTGGCTGGGGCTGAGGGAAATTGTGATCTTAAAACATCTAGAATAGGCTTCCTCAACCTCGGCCCTCCAGATGTTTTGAGACTACAATTCCCATCATCCCTGACCACTGGTCCTGCTAGCTAGGGATCATGGGAGTTGTAGGCCAAAAAATATCTGGAGGGCCGAGGTTGAGGGAGCCTGAACTAGAGGGCACCAGGTAGGGAAAGATGGTTTTAGAGTAAGGGCAGAATTGCAGTGTTGGAATTCATCACCAAATGTACATGCAGCGTACTCCAAAATTAAAGGATATGTTATTTAAAAAGTTGGTTTAATTATGATCTACTACTCAGGAATGGTTTTTCTTCTTAATGTTTGACAGAAGTCATTTGGGTAGAATTTCTCCTTTTGAAGTGCATCAAAGGTCATTTATTCCCTTCACTATGCCCTTCAGTTTTATTCTAGACCTTTGCTCTGTGCACTGTTTGTTCAAGAGAAGCTGTGGAATGTAATGTTTGAGTGAAAACTGATTCACATCACATTGTCTGGCCCTCCCTAGAATAATCCTAAATCTCTAGGATTTCCAACTGTAAAGGCTCTAGTTGCCTCTCATTCAAGTTTTCTACCCTGTTCTTTGGTTTGTTTTAACTGGAACTGTCTGGGCACTTGCATCCCAAGCCTAAATATGTATGTTTGGAAGTGAGTACATTCATTTCTGTGTGATTTCCTCCCAAAGTAGCTATGTTTAGGGTTTTAGTCTTATGGTCATTTTAAGATTAATGTATGAATATATTTGGGACGCGGGTGGCGCTGTGGGTTAAACCACAGAGCCTAGGACTTGCTGATCAGAAGGTTGGTGGTTCGGATCCCCGCGACGGGGTGAGCTCCCGTTACTCGGTCCCTGCTCCCGCCAACCTAGCAGTTCGAAAGCATGTCAAAGTGCAAGTAGATAAATAGGTACCGCTCCGGCATGAAGGTAAACGGCGTTTCCGTGTGCTGCTCTAGTTCGCCAGAAACGGCTTAGTCATGCTGGCCACATGACCCGGAAGCTGTACGCTGGCTCCCTCGGCCAATAAAGCGAGATGAGCGCCGCAACCCCAGAGTCAGTCACGACTGGACCTAATGGTCAGGGGTCCCTTTACCTTTATGAATATATTTCCCAAGAACAGTATGCAAGGGTGCTTAATGTTATTTTAAAAGGAGGGAAATGAAGGATGTTCCCAGTTTAGAAAACATTTTTACATTGAATCTTAATGATAATCAGGGTGGATTGTGACTTCTGCAAGCCCTCTTCAAGTCTCAAACGTAAATTACTTTGAATGTAAACAAACTGATAATCACATGTTCTGTTGGTGATTTTTACATGGTAAGAATTGACAGATTTTTGACATTAGATGGTGTAAGATGCATTTTTCTTTAAAGCAGTTTTTCCACTAGGCGAAAGTGACATAAAGACAGTAATTGTCTTCTGTAAGAATAGGAATTCTTCATTACCTGCACCTGTATGAGACTCACGATTCAGTCTCTCGCATTTTAAGTTGAGAATTTTATTAATAGTTATATGGCACTTGTTGCTAAATAAAAATGTATCATATGCTCCTTTTTAGTAATTCTTGTAACACCTGTAAGATAGGCCAAGGTCTCCCATTTTGCTGATGTAGGGTGTTCGCTGAAATAGGGTGTATCCAACTAACACATCCTGTCAGCACATGCATTTACATTTGCACAATGGAAATTCCCCCTCCTCTTCCCACAACCTCCTCAAATTTCCTTTAAGGGTTAGGAGAACCCCTAGAACAGATTTAGGGATCATGCAGGGAGAGGAGAGAAGTTCCATAGCACTGATGGAATCCTTGCACTGATGGGATACATTAGTTGGAGATCTCCCATGTTTTCTTAAAAACACTTAAGTTGAAATTTCAATTGCTGTGGATCAGCTTTTCACTTCACCATATCTTTGAAGGAGCAGGATGGGCCAGTAAATTGGATTTTACATTCCCACTCACCCCTGTGTTTTCTGATTGGCCTTTGGCAGGATTAGTGGAGTTGGTGACTCATGAAGCCGTAGCATGTACTATGCAAGTTGGATTTGTGTACATGCTAATAAATATCTCTGCCTCGGTTCTAGTCAGCAGGACAACAATATTAAGGTGTGACATTTTGAGGAAGCATGTGAGGTGAAGATAATTTTATGTGTTTTGCTGACTAAAAGTGACATAGGAATAATAGAAATTTTATAGTGAGTTTGTAGAAGACCTGACTGAAACCTTGCAGAATTGACTTCAACACATCTCCCTACTCTGAATGCTCCTAGTCAATACAGTTGTACCTTGTGTTGCGTAACCTCCAGGTTACGGAATCTTCGGGCTACGGCCGTTGCAAACCCAGAAGTGGGTTTGCCGCTCTCACATGCGCAGAAGTGCTCTGTGGCGCCATGCACGTGCACAGAAGCGGTCCTCCGGTTACGGAATTTTTGGGATACAGCTGGGCCTCTGGAACGGATCCCGTTCATAACCGAAGGTACCACTGTATTTTGTCTTGGCACAAGATTGCTCCTTCTGGTCTCTTGGGCTACTTGTATGGTTTTCTTTGTTTTATAGATAAGTCTTATGATGGGGAGAGCAGGCCAGTTGTGTTGTGTACTGTGATGCATATTATACATTATAGTTAAGGGAAGCTTGCTTGTTAATTTGGTCATAATTTTGATTTTTCTGGCTTGCTGTGGCTTCCTCAGTTTTGTATTTGAAGGTACATAAATAATTCAATAATTAAATCACTGGCTTAGGAATCCTGGTATAATGTACCTTTTAAAAACAGAGAAATAACTGAAATCCTGGTGATTGGCTTCATGCAAATGATAGAGACCCACATTTTATTGAGTAGTGAAGGGATTAATAGTGAAAAACGGCTTCATATTGTGGCCCTGCAGTGCAGTTGTTTAACCAGCAGTTTCTCTGGTCTGAGCAGAGACAATAGCTGATAGGACCTGGGAGCTGTGAATTTCACTGTTGAATGAATTGATTAGCTTAGCATTGTGGAATTACTGGTTTATTTGCATAGGAATATATTTTGAAGTGCATGGAGGGAGGCATAGGATTTTTCACCAGGAAGAGGGGACTCAAATTTGAATCATTTGGGGAATTTAGTTGTGTCAGTCATAGTTCCCTTTGTGTGGGACTCCACATATGCTAGTGAGTTTACATGGCAATTGGCTACATTTAAAATATTTTCAACAAAGAAGGATGGTTTCCCAAAGCAGCTGCCAGTTGTCCAATCTAGTGTGTGCAGTCTGTTTTAATAGGGTGATCTTGTGTGGGTGGTTGTTAGAACTGCATGTCTTAAAATCCAAGAGGCTTGTTCTTGCATCCATAGGGCTAGCTGGTGTTTTTAAGCTATATGGGCAGTATCTTTGGTGAGAATTTGATAGTATGGAAGAGTGATTGGAGGACAATAATGGTAAAGAGGGTGCAGTTGCCTAGATATTCAGTGTTAATCTGATAACAGTTTATACTAATTGTTTTGAGCAACATCCTGGAAGTTGAGCTGCAGTTGACCTTTCTTACACTTTGCTTTTTGAAATACTGTTGGCACTCTAAATGGGCAAGAGTCATTCATCTTGTAGCCATAGCAGGCATTTTTGTCTTACTTATTTTCTGTGTATTCAGTAGTGTCAGTGAAGCACTCATATTTAATCAAGTTACTGCAGACTTTAGTTTTGTTAGTTAGTTCACTTGCATATAAAGTTCTCTGAATAAACGTTGCTTACTTTATATGTGGCTTGTACCTAAAACAAATGGCTCTCATACTTAGTGTTAGAGATTCAAATATATAAGCTAATTCTCAAATGGCACCTTAAACTTGCGTTATGGTTGCCACAATAGAATGTCTAGGTGCCTTTTTTGCATTGAAGTTTATTATTATTAATTCATTTTTGTACCACTTTGTATTTTAAAGAACAAATATCTCTTTCCTTGAATTTGTGCACAGAATCCCTTGTTAGTGTGTAGTAAGAACCAAGAATGTCCCCCAAAATTTCCTCAGTTATGAATTTACTGGATGGACTTGCAGAGCTGTAAGGAAAGGTTAATGAGATAGTCTAGGTAAAGAATGGGCCCACATTTTGTTCATTCAGTGTCGTAAGGCAGTCTAGTAAGGCTAAAACCTGTCATTCTTCTTTTAAGAACAAGGTCCACATTAAATGGCACAACAGAGCTTCACTTGCAGTTTCTGTCACAGGTGAAGGTTTGTCTCTTTGGAAATATTTGCTGGTGAAAGAGCAGGATAATCTTTTGCTAGGTGTGGGACTTCCTTGTCTATGAATGTCACAACTTCTGAAGAGGAACAAGGGCCGACATCTTGCTGCAAAATAGCCCCAGTCTTACTAATATTTGTGGTGCAGTCTGTGTGAGAAGGTGTTTAGCAGAATGGCTGCTTCCTGTGGCAATCCATTGGAGTGCCCAGTACATATGGCAGGCATAGGCAAACTCGGCCCTCCAGATGTTTTGAGACTACAATTCCCATCATCTCTGACCACTGGTCCTGTTAGCTAGGGATGATGGGAGTTGTAGTCCCAAAACATCTGGAGGGCTGAGTTTGCCTATGCCTGACATATGGCATATGACAACTTAGTCTGCTCTCTGCAGGATGTGAGGAGAGGGCGCTTTATGCTAGAGTGAGTTCTTGTAGCATTATAGGACTGATACTTTGTATGTGTTCAACAAATGTATCTGTGGGGCTTTCTAAGCATCTATAGTATGTCATGCTTGTGATAAAGTGTCTGGACATTGCTGAGCTGGTATGGTAGCATGGACATTCTCATTATTCAGAGAGCAAAGCTGTCAGTTCTTGCAGTCCTAAATCTGTGAAGGAAGAAAATGTCATTGATTGGGTGGATTTAAAACCTTTTAGACTGTGTAGGCTGTACTAGCTTTGTAGGGTAGACCGAAGTGTGAAGGAGGTCCTGAGCTGTAGAGATGCTAAGTCAGGTTGGTTAGTGTTGGACCATAATCAAACCCCCCACTATCAAAGTCCTTCTAGCATAGCAAAGTCACATTCCCCTCCCCCAAGGCTCACTCATGATAACTATCCATCTTGTAAAGATTGAGTCCATGCACCCTTATCAAGTGCATTAGTGATTTCAAGCAATCATTAACACCACCATATCTGGCGGAAATAGGGGAAAATAGAGTTGGGTGTCTGCATACTGGTGGCAGCTTACTCAGTTTCTAGACAGCTTCTCCCATTAGTTCCATGTTGAGACAAGATGTGGAACTTTTATAACTCCTCTGACCCGGTTATTGTAACTGATAATACACTGCCCTAAACTGTCAAATGTTGCTGTGGTGCTACTACTGTAGTTTAATGGTGGCACCATAACCATTTTTTTTCACTTGGAAAAATGCAGCAGTGGTGTCTTACTGCTTATTGAATACTATTTGTCTAGAATTTATGGTGGTCTGACAAAAATGGGAAACATAGGAAGCTGCCTTACAGAGTCAGATCACTGGTCCATCTACCTTAATTTGGCAGTGGCTCTCCAGGGTTTTAGAGAGGGAGTTTTCCCCAGCCCCCTAGCCAGAGTTAATAGGGACTAATCCTGGGACCTTCTGCATGGATAGCAGATGTTCTGCCACTGAGCTGTAATTGGCCATGGAAAACTGCTTCTTTTGATTGATTGTTCACTCACAATGAACTCAGCCGAAATGAAGAATCTGCCCAATGAAAAGTTATTTGAAATCCAAGCTTTTGTGTATCATAGTTTAACTTTTGCCTCTTTTTGTGGTACCAGCACATTCGTCAGAATGTACATGCTGCCAGGTTTGTATTATACTCTTTATAGTGATTCTGCAATTACAAAGAGATTTCTGTCAAATCTGTGCATCTTACACTTCTATAGAAGATAATTATATTAAGCAGGGTTTTGTTTGCAAATATCATGACTTGAAATGACTACAGTGGTACCTCGGGTTAAGAACTTAATTCGTTCTGGAGGCCTGTTTTTAACCTGAAACTGTTCTTAACCTGAGGTACCACTTTAGTTAATGGGACCTCCCACTGCCGCTTCACTGCTACCGCACAATTTCTGTTCTCATCCTGAAGCAAAGGTCTTAACCCGAGGTACTATTTCTGGGTTAGCGGAGTCTGTAACCTGAAGCGTCTGTAACCCGAAGCATCTGTAACCCTAGGTACCACTGTATTGTTATCAAACCGTTTCCTGTATAAAAGAGTTCTGTATACTGTGCTCTAAAATACACTTAAGCATCTTTTTTAAAGTTTGAATATTAGAGCAGCTCAGCTATAAAATTCCCTTATTTTTTTAATTTCTTGAGGAAGCAATAATCTTGCCACCTAATTTACCCAATGACTGTGATACCAGTAGGAAAACAGCACAAAAACGAGCCTCTTAAGGAAGCAATTAAAATACTCTTGCCCTTAATTTGAAGGAGCTGCTATTCTAGAATGCTATTCAAAAAGAGCATTAAAATAAGTATTGCAGGTGTGATTGCTTACCCTGTTCCCACTTAGCCTGTTGGAAGCTGGCACCTGCAATAGTCATGGCCAGCTGGGACGGGATAAAAAAAGTCATATCCATGAGCACAGTGGGTACTGTTTCCCTTTGTGCCTGCCAGGAGAGAGAGTATGAGTGCAGTTAGATACAGAGGCAGTTGGAATGTTCCTCTGTTTTATCTCAAGATCTGTGGTTTGTGTGTATGTACTCCTCCCTCCCATATTTTTTTGGTGGGGAGTGAGAGGAGTATGGGGGCTGGAGGTCACTTTTACTTGCTGCACATGACCAAATTAAAAGGTTGCTCTAAATTACCATTCAGAAGTTAACTTTTGTGGTCACAGTAATGGCACACTCTTGGAGAATATTAATAATTCAGCCATTCTAGTAGTAGGTAGAACTCCTGAGAAGTATCTTTGTATGTTTTAGAGAGAAGTTCTACATACTTTTGGAAGAAGCTTTAAAAAAGCACGTGATTAAAAATGATACTGACTGGAAGAAGTTTTAGTGTTGTCTTTAGCCAAACAGTTGTTGTGAAGTAGTAAGTTAGGTTGAGAGGGGAAAACATCTGGCCCAGTCATTGATGACATGGAATTCTCTTTCAATATTTGTTATATGAGGGGGAAACATCTGGCAGAACCGTTATTGGGACAATAAAGTACTGCAAACGCTCCATGTGTGACCAGCATCAAAACTGGAGGGTGCTCAGTGGCTGTAGGCTATCCTTAGCATAATCTATCTTGTCCCAGTTTGTCCTCCCAGTGGTACTTTTATGTGACGCATGGCTACATAATGAGAAAATTCAATAGGACTGCTGCAGTACAAAAATGCTGCCTCTTCTTTACAGATAACTGATTTGTACAGTATTGAAAGTTCTCCCTATAGTTAGTCACAGGTGTTGTGCAAACGAAAAATATATTTCCTTGTTTGATTGCAGTGCCTTCTTTCTAACTGGAATGGCCATTGAAAGGCTTAGCTTAAACTGAGTGTCAAGTCTGTTGGCCTCCGTATATCCTGTAGTGCCTAGAGGTGACAGGTTTCCTTCATTTGCTGGCGGAAGGGCAGTGAAGCAGTATATCTGGTTCATTGTATCTCCCTCCCCATGGCTCTGTGTGTCTAACAGTATCACTTAAGGCTTACTGGTGATTAAAAGGCAGAGCACAGGAGCTGGGTCACCAGCTGCTTCACTGGACTGATAAATGGGCATTACTTTTCTCTTGTTCATTCTTAATCCACCTAGTACTTTCTCCACACTGACAGTGGGGCACTTGGTCTTGTGGATCAGGCAAGGATTTTGCTACTTATCCAATTTGCACAGTTATCAGGAGGGTGGGGGCTATGATAGGGAATGTCCCGTTCTCTCCAGGTACAGATAAGTCGCTGAGAGAAAAAGCAGCTGTGACCTTTTATTTTTGTAATATACACCTGTATATATGTTAGCCTTCTTAGTAAGTTCCCAAAAGTTACTAGCCTGCATTTTCTTTTTATTTGTCTGTTTTACCTCAAATGGGGAATTTCCCTAAAAATCAGGCTGGTGAATTCCCCCTCTCCCCAGGTTGGTCTGGAAATGCAGCAAGTTGGTGGAGGAGGCATGGATTGCTACCTGTCCGCTTGATTTCAAATTGGACATGCAAGAAGGGGCTTTGCTTCTTCTATGTCCAGCTTAGAAGCACAGATGGCTGGTGGATTGCTCCATTCCTCCATATCTTGAGTGTTGTGCTTCTGCTTCTCTTCCTTCGTGGCCTGGGCGGAAGCCAAGTGGACTTGTGAAAGATGGACAGATTGCTCTGCTCCTCCTTTGCCAGACTACACGCTGGGGTGTGGAGACAAGATTCCACGTTCTCTCTCTGGTCGCCAGTGGCATCCAGATGAGTGGTTAAATGCAAGACTGGTGTATATGTTTTATCGCAGTAGTAATTGTTGGAATAAATCTTTTCATATTTATTTTCAAATCTTAGAGCCAAGTTCAGCAGTTTGGCTTTTGTTGCAGGTTGGGTCAGGTTAAAACTGTAGCATCTTTATGGTTTACTGTTTCATTGTGTTTTTAAATTTTTGCTTGCAGGTAAATTTACTCAAATCAAAAATCAAAGTTTGGACATAATAGCTACCATAGCTTAACCTCTCAACCTTCTCTCTCTCTCTCTCTCTCTCTCTCTCTCTCTCTCTGTGTGTGTGTGTGTGTGTTAAAATGAGCTAGCAGCACTCCTGTTTTAAAACAAATTGCACAAGCCTATACTTGAATTGCAGCATGCGTGAATGTCATATCACTTGATTATAAGCTGAATCTTAATGCACTGTATTGCCTAACACAAAATAAGAAGGGATTGTGAGCCATCTTTTGATCTGTATATGTTTAAAATTGATATTGCACCAGCTGTGTTTGAAATTCGCCGGGCACCAGTCACAATTTGTGACTGCCAACCGGCATTTTGCAACTGGATGGAGATCTCCGGGTGCCATCCTTGGTGCCTATCATCTCCCCCTGCCTGGTTGCAGTCAGCTGGTCTGCCAGGCACAGCGGCAGCAAAAGAGGCACATCTTTTGCTACCACGCTATGCTGCCAAACGCCTGATTTGCCCGGCAGCGCAGCAGCAAAAGATGCATCTTTTGCAGCCATGCTATCCTGCGTACCACCTGATTCACTTGGCAGCAAGTATTTTTTTTTTCTGTTGCTGTGCTGCCGGGTGAATCAGGTGTTTGGCAGGGTAGCGCGAGATGTGTCTTTTGCTGCCGCGCTACCCTGCAGACCATCTGATTCGCCCGCGAGATTAATTTTTTTCCTGCAAGGCTGCTTGGTTTCCACCCTCCCCCTCAAAAGGCACCTAGACATTTTGTTTTGGAGCCCACAACCCAGGTCCCAGGAGCCACATGGCTCCTAACATTCCTATCCCAGTTTCTAATACTGTGTACCAGGCTACTGCAAATGAATCAAAAAAGGCAGGGAGCAGTGTTAGAAACTGAGATATGAAAGCTAGGAGCTAAATAGCACCTTAAGTCTAGACTACCACTACATAATGCTTTATGGGGCTGCCCTTGAAGGATGTGATTTTCTTTGAGTTTTTTTCTCCCCTCATCTTCTTTTTTCTGCTCTTTTTGTGGAAATGAGCGCTTGATGTCTGCTTAACACTGGTGGACTAATTTTCAGAATAAATAATAACTTGTACTATAATGTGCATGATTTCTGCTTTTATTGTTTTTTCCTACTTCTCATAAAATGGCAAAATCAAAGAGTTGCTAGGTTCCTTTACAGTTCAGTGGCTTTTAGCTCCATCTGTAAGAAAAACTTGAAATAATGAAATCAGTTTATAATTATTGTCTGAGTAAACTATTTTTAATACACCAGACATGACCATTCAATAGTAAATCAAAGTATGCGTAATGTATTTTATGTTCCTGAATTAACAAAATGACTTTCAATAGCAGTCATATTTCCCTAGTGTCGGAGGTTGAATAATATGGAGATCAGTGATGTGACTCACTGTTGGTGTAAAGAGAGGTGCAAAGCCAAAGCTCCCACATTTTCCAGACAGTGTCTTGCTTTGCGAGCCTCTTAAGAAACTTGAGGCAATCAGGTTGCTGCATTTGAGGCAACTAAAACAAAAGTGATGGAGGTTCTTTACTTTCCTGAAATGGGCTCGTTTTGATTTTTTTACATATGCTTTCGCAGGAGCAGTTCTTAACAATCTCCCATCTGCTTCTGTTCCAGTTATAGTGGATGCAGCCCAAAGAAAGTGCTATCTTGTTTAGAAGGAGTGTGTTAGTTGCTGGTAACCGGCATAGTAAATTTATAATCTTAAACTTTCAGGGGCTCAGCTAGTGAAGGTGTGTCCTTCAAGCAGTCACTTGAGGCCTGTTGAATGTTACTATTGTGTGTCTTTTGTTGACTTTTTTAAAAACAGACAGACAAACAAAATATATTGGCTATGTTTGCCAGCATCTGTATTTTCCCATCACCTTGCACGTTTTTCCTAGGCAGGACCAGCCATCCCTTCAAGTAAAATGAAGCAGGTGCTTTGGCAGCAGATTCCAAAATCAGTGTAACTATAAAAGGGATGTCATCAAAGTTCCTGGAGATTGACCTCTGGTGCTGACTGGCTGAACTGGATGATTGAGGTCACACTTTTCAGTGTTCAAGTGTAAGAACTCCCCTAACAGAACTACTTTGCAGATAATGTTTTAAAATAGGTGGCTGTCATTTAAAAAGTGCTAGGTCCTGGTTGGAATATTCTGTTCAAGAAAGGGGGAAAAAAACACAACAGGGATATTCTGTGGGCTGACATTTGAAGTTGATGTTTGCTTAAAGGTGCTGATAAGCTTGGGCTCTCTGTGCTCTGTTGCCAAAGGACCTCTGGCTGTATGTCAACCTCGCCCATATTCTTTTGAACTTCCTAAGGCAGGCTTTCAAAGGTTTTATTACCTTTCACAAATGCTACTTGTGTAGCCACATATTACCAAGAGCAGAAGTTTAAATGTATTTAGACTGTGTTTTTGTCACCCTGAACATGTTGCTTAATCCTTTTCCAAAAGTGGTTTTTGTCTGTTCAATAAATCCTAGGTACGGTGTGCATACACATACATGTTCACTTTTATATTAAAATACCTGCATGCTTTCTGCAGAATAAAAGCTGTGGCCTTCAGGAGTGTAGAACTTGGTTGTGTAGCACATGTGCACCATGTACAGAAAGCCATGGATTAAATTCGAGGCATCTGTAGTTAAAAGGATCTTGGATTGCAGAGTTGTGAAAGCCTTTGCCTTAACCTCTGTTTTTTGTGGCTTTATTTGTAGACATCCTTGAAGGTCAACTTGGAATACTTGTGTAACCTTAATGCAACGTCTAATTCCCCCCCCCCCCCCCGTGTCGGAGCCATTATCTCTGGAATAAAAGTGTGCATTAGGGCTGGGCAGTATATCAATATAATTGTTCACATCGTGATAATTTTATATTATTTGAGCTGGCAATATATTGCAAATCACAACATTTGTAAAGACTAGGTGATACCTGGTTTTCAACACTGCGATAGCTCACCAGCTAAACATTGCAATGTCATAATGAATACAAATAATCTGGGACTGCCACCAGGCCTGCTAGGAGGCAGAAGCAGCAGTGGCAGAAACAGCTCACCCTGACCGTGATACGTATCGGCAGAAGTGGCAACAACCTGCAAGGCCTTGTGCTGGTGGCACAATCAATGGTGGCCAGCGAGTACTTGTGGTGGCGACAGGAGCTGGTGACACAAGTGGTGACAGCCTGTGAGGCTTTGCGATGGTGGCACAAACAGTGGCAGCGATAGAGAGTGACAGCAGTAGCAGCAGCGGCCTGCAAGGCCTTGCAGGGGTGGCAGGAGGTGGGGGCAGTAGCAGCGGCCTGCGAGGCCTCGTGGTGGCGACAAAAAGTGGTGACAGTAACGGCAGCAACCTACAAGGCCTCACAGCAGCGATGGGAAATGACAGCAGTACTGGTGGCAGCCTGCGAGGGAGTGATGGCATTAACTGCACCCTGCAAGACTTTACAGCAATGGGAGGTGGCGGCCAGTAAGGCCATGCGGTGGCAGCGGCAAAAAGTAGCAGTAATGGAGGCGACCTGCGAGGACTTGTGGTAGTGATATTGTGGATTCTGCCGCCGCCGGGCTGCTGGCAATCTGGCAGTCCCAGATTATTTTTATACACTATGACTCATTACCATACTCTGGATTGTCCTGAATACTACAATTTGGTAGGCAAGTCCAAAACCAAAAGTCTCATTTGGATGCCTTTTGGCTTGCCTGTTGATGAAAGTGACCATGAGGTGATTGATAATATCAGTTTTAGACCTTTAAGTAGTAACAGTTGCTAGGACATTGTCCTGTTCAGCTCTGCATGGTTCCTTCTTTATTTCAGATATATTGATAATATTGTGATGTTTAGCTGGTGATATATCACGATATTGAAAACCAGTTATCGTTCAGCCATAGTGTGCTATTGCAAGCTGACCACATGGATTTTGCTCACCTGCTTGCTAATCTTTCTCGTGGCAGAAAGCTGGTCAGGTGGAAAAGATCCACATGATCGGTCTGATCGTATGGATATTTTTTTCCAGTGGCATGGGAATGCATTATAGGGATGTTGCTCACTGTACTTAGAGAGTATTCTGGATATCCTTTGGCTTTGAAGGAGTAAGGATTGGGATTATTTCTGGCTGGGCAACAACTCTAGACCCTGCTGGTCGTCCTTGCTTAATTGTCCCTTTTGAGTTTGCAGCTGCTTGCATGAGCCAGAAAACAAGCAGCAGTTTGTTCTGAGAATTTCTTTTGCCTGTCTTTGCAAAATTTAAGAGTTTATTTCATGTTTGTTATCTTGGGAACATTAAAGCTGCCTCACTGACAAACTGCTCTGATGCAGTTTTTTGTGTTTAGCCTGGTTGAATAGTATCCATCTCAAACGTTAGTGAATTTGAGGAACAGGTTGCTGATGCTGATGACACAGTATGGTTATTAAAGTTTCTTAAAAGGAGAAGGGGTGTGGATGGTTTCTTAAAACAGGTGGAGAAACCAATGGTCTTCCAGATGTTGTTGGACTACATCTCCCACAATCCCCGATCATTGGCCATGCTGGTTGGGACTGATTCAAGTTGCAATCCAGCAACATTTGGAGGGCTGCAGGTTCTCCAACCCTGCTTTAAAATACATTTCAAAATATGTTAGCTTTTTCAAAGTGGAGATAAAGAAATGTTTATTTGAGCTATAATTAAATTCAGTTACTTTTGCTTGGACATAAATGCTGTTAGAAATCTTTACTCTCTTGTAAACAAACAAAACTGAGCTTTTATTATGGTTTGGGCTCATAGATAGCTCCTAAAGCTGCAGCTGGTGTATGGAGAGAGACAAGCCAAATGCTACACAAGTGCCACATGGTTTTAAACCACGATTAGCGATGTAGGCTGACTCAGCAAAAATGTGCGAGGTTCTCCCTCTATCAGTATAATGGGCTGTTTTGAAAACTTGCATTAAGCTCCTTTTCATAGTTCATTGTTTGTTGCAGATAAAACGTTGCAAGCCTTACAAAAATAATGGCCAGAAAGATTGCTGTTTTAGTCTGCGGCATCAAATAAAACAGACTTAAAAATTAACAAATTTGTTGTGGGATAAGCTTTCATAGAGTAAAGTCTGCTTCATCTGATGCATGAGGTGCTATCATAAATTGACATGTAATTATAATAATTTGTATAATGAACGACCCAGTTAACATGATTGTATGGGCTCCTAGAGAGGAGATTGTAGCTGTTTTGCTGCTCTCTGGTCACCAGTCCAGGTGCTAAACAGGCTTGGAGCTGGCCTCAAATCATATCATTAAATATTAGCTATTTGTATACTGTCCTTGATAAGTGATGTACAGCACAGGTTCAATATCTTTTTAAAAAAATATTTTCATATTACCATCAATGGTTCCCAGGGTGGCTAATGGTATTTCTGTGCATTAAGATACAATAAATATAAAGCAATATTAAAACCATCAAATAGTGTCAAGTACTGTCAATTATAGGAATAGGGAGCTTAAAATACCAGATATATTTTTATAAATCCTGGGCAAATAAAGTTTTTGCATGGCACTTAAAAGATAAAGAAGGAATCAAGTGGGTTTTATTGGAGGGAATTCCAAAGACACTATAACACAGCCATAAATGTTCTTTCTCTAGTTTCCATCTCCCTCTCCAATTGGTGGAAAATGTCACTAAATATTGATATATGGGTAGTAGGGACTAGGTGTTGTTTTAGATACCTGGATCCCAAGCTGTGAAGGGTTTAAAAGTGAGCACCTTGACTTGATATTGGAAGTTGATGAACAGCCAGTAAAGGTCTTTTTTTTATTATTTTTCAAAAATCATATTTCTAATTAGAGATCCTAGTTTTTCTAAAATGTAGCTGCTAGAATTCTAACTGCAGCTTGCAAAATCTGTTCAGGTCCCTCGTAACACATTGCAGCAAAGTATGGATAACTGGCTAGACTGTTTGTGTCCAGGTTCATCAGAGTTCTTCCATTTCTCTCTTTAAAAACCCTGGTAATTTCCATGCTAATCTGAGGAAAGCTTGGGAGATCTTCCCCATCTCTAGTAATTAGCCATGAGTGGTAAAGATCAAGTGAACAAAAAGTAGGTTACGTAGCCCCAAGCACCTTGTCTTGCATTTTCAAGCTGCATCAACTGAAATTCATCCCACAATGCTACATCAGACAGTGCTTTTGACACATCCTCGGACTGAACTGCCATAATTGTAGCATCTAGACTCTGATGAAGGTGAAGGTAAACGATTTTGTCTTGACAACATGTTTAGCAAACATGTTACAGCAGGCGCTGAAGGTTTTTTGAATCCTTTCATGTGGTACTAAGCCATGAGCTGCTTGGAATATCTCTGCTGGACATCACTCCCAAGTATGTGATGGTTAGCAGAGAAGTGTTTCCTTGCTGTTATGACCACAGAGTAGGCTCAGTAGTGAACTTTTACCTGTGTTTAGTCATATTCGATGTGAGCCTTCTGCCACCTGCATTCTAGTAGTCTTGCTGCCTGCTTCCTTAGCTAAGTTACTAGGTAAACCAGGGACCAGGCTCTGCCCTGTGAGAGAGAACCCTTAGGAACAATTGTGCTAACTTCCTGAGCAATTGAGATGAAGGCTTGGTGTGCTGGGCATGCCAACAGGACTCCTTGAGGACTTTTTGGAAACCACTGAATTAAGTTCATTTTTGGTCTGTCCTACTGGATTTGCTGCTCCTACAGAGGGTGGTAGTTGCTGCTGGCTTAAACCCAGCAGGAAGTGGTCTGAACGTGACTGGGGAGGTACTGAAAAACCCTCCACACCACAGTGCAGTTGAGAACTGTAGGTCTGTAGTGTGGTACACCATAGTAAGTCGCCCTGCCCCAGAACAATTTTGGTGCTGCATTAATACGGCAAGTGGGTGTAGCTGAGAGAGTTCCCTTCCTTCAAGAATAAATAATGAATAGTAGTTTAGTTATAATTTACCTGGTATTTAACTGGTCATCTTTTGCAGCCTGGGTGGCCAGCCTGTGGGACAGCCAGCAGTTCTTTATTGCACGCAGGAGTAGAAGAGGGTGCCTCTGGCATAAGAGTCCATCCAATATGCCTGCCACGTTGCAGTCAGAGCTCTTGCTCAGTACGCTTGAGGCAGAGTTGCAATGAGGCATGGAGGTTGGATCTGCATTGAAGGCTTTGTCATTGGGTTTGATGACAAAAGTGGTTGATGAACTGTGTTTTACTATTTGGGTGTTGAAGGCAAGAGTGGAAATTGTCCAGAACAATTAAGTGAACCTGTACGTGAGCAGAGAATTAAGCCAGGTGCTTCAAAGTCAATCCAAAATCTATCAGTTTTGTATTTTTAGATTCCACTATTCATCTCCACATTCTCCAGATTTTCTGTGGGGTCCGTACAGTAAATAGGATTCCTGTTCATTTGAATTTGCAGGCTGTGCTAGCTTGTCAGAAAATAAAGGTTTACTGTGGATGAATGCATCTGAACAGTGTTGTTTATCATTTCAGGGAGGGGGGAGGATGACTGGTAAAAACAAATTGCTAAAATTTCAAATCTATTTTCAATTCTTAATTGTAGTATGTATTCTTATTTTTGCTTTGCTTTACATACTCCTAAACTGATTGACCTCAAGACTACCTAATCAATTTGAGAAATACTTGCTACATTCTAATTTTATTTTTTGTATACTGCCCAGGGAATGTGATTGAAGGGAGGTCTACTCTACCATAATAAATAAAGCAACATTGTAACGCGGGACTTCCGCACAGTTTCCTCATTTCAAAGGCATCTCATCTCCAAACTGGGTTTTCTTAGAAGTTGGGGGAAAAAGCAATGCTTGTGAAAATCAGCACACAGAGACCATCCTAATGCATAGTTATAGTCAGTTTGGACATCATGGTCAGCCATAGTTGAGAATGCTTAACTACAGTCTAGCATGGTTTCTGAAGATTATGTGTGGGCTACCAAACTAGAATTAGAAGCCATGGGTTGAGGTGGGTTTGCAGATCATGATGTGGCTTGCAGAGAAGCAGCTCTGGGGTAGCCTGGTTCAGATTCTCCTGTTTGGCCATGAACCATGCTTTCTGATCTTGAGCTGGTTGTGGTATCCTCACAGAATTGTTATGAGTGTAAAGTAGAGATGAGGGTGGAGTGAACATAATGCTTAATGCAGAGTAGATAGAAAATGCAAGTACAAAAGTAGCTCTGAAATTATTTTACGTATTATTGGGCTACTTTGTGTAAATCTATCGAGAGGAGTTTATGTAATAAAATCACAAAATGTAACAATAAAAAACATAAGCAAGGCACTAAAAATTGCAGCAACAGCAGTTGGACATCTGAAAGCTGCAGACCATGAAACATTAAAAATTGTGTGAAATTTAAAAAATGATAAAACTCATCTAAAAACAGAAAGAAAAGAGGCCATTTATCCTAGGTTTCTGACACTCTTCAATGGAACATTTAACAGTAGAATCCAATGCAGGTCTACTCAGATGTTTAAGATTGCAGCCTAAGGCTCACAGACCTCAAACCCCAAATCATGGGGTTAGCCAACCAGAATTAGCAAGTTCAAAGCATATTTTGATTCCAAACAACCAGGCATAATGAACCACCTCAGTCTTTAAGTTCAGCTAGGGACCCTGCTTTCTGTCCTATTATTGTGAGAAGACAGGTGGCAAGTATACGAGCCACTAAAGCTCTGAAACACTTCCTTACATCAGATTTCTTTTTGGCAGGATTATAAAGCTGGAAGGTGGATATATAAAAATACTGGCACTTGAGAGGTTAACTTTGCAGTGATGGTTGTGTTTTGTCAACTATCCATGTTGGATTATAATAGCTTTATATTTCATGGTATATTTATATTATATATTTGTACCAAAAACTGTATTGGTTGCTACACTAACTAAGTTTTGTTGCTATTGATTTAGAATTTTCCTTTTTAGGTCTAGGACACATACTAGTTAGTACTTGAGCTACAGGCACAGAGGATCTCTTTTGCATGCCAAAAGAATGCAACTTTCTCAGGCTTTGCTGCTTTCTTCTGCTTTACTTTTTTGTTGTTAATCCAGTTAACCAGTGTTTAAAATTAGAAACATATATTATTGAACCGTATAGGTTTCTACACTGCTTATATCATTCAGTTATTTGAGTGAGTTGTGTCTTGTGTTGTTAATTGCTTACACCTAAACCATTTTAGGATGCTTCAGAGCTATGTTTTGCTCATTTAAATGCCCTAATGGCAACTGTTCAAAAAGAACGTTGTAATAATGCTTCCAGGGGTTTCATCTCTGTTTCTTTCCAGGCATGGCTGGCCTTTGGACGGCCCTGTTATGGGATTTTAAAAATCTGTCTGTGACTAATGTAAGTTATGCTTTTCTGCTTGAGTTCTTTATTTTTGTACAGTTTTAAGGTACCCTTCCTGAATGGGAACTGTTTGTCTTTGCGTATTAAGTTTTCACTTTCCAGCAGTAAGTAGGATTGTGTCTGGTATGGAATGCTATCTATCTGAAGAAAATGAACCTGCATCAAAACTGAGTCCCTCTGCTACAGGATCTGTGCTTGGACAAGCAGCTAAGGCACTGCTACTACATTGCAAAAGGGAGAGTGGTCACTCGGGCTCTCTGAGGCTCTGAAGGGAACTACAAGCATTTTAAATTAGATTCTGGAATTCGGCTGCCAACCCCTCTGCGCTTTTTGCTCTCCTTGTCACGGTGGCTGCTGCAGAACTTGTTGCTCCCATTTGCATGGGCCAAGAAGTAGAACAGATCACCCTGTATTGCTGGATTGCAGCCTGTCACTCATATGCCGAGTGCACCATTCTCTGCAGAGTTGGGCACAGGCCAGTTACCTTGGCAGAAGGGGATGAAAGATATCTGACAAGAGGGAGGAGATTGGCTTTCCTTTGCCGTGGGACAGAGATAGGTGGCCTCTTTGGGTTGTCATGGAGGGTTGAGGGTGGGAATGTAGGCATTATTTATAGCACTAAATATAGTTGACTCTGCTTTCATAGAACAAGATTTGGGTCATGTGACCATTTTCCTTCTTCCTTGGCTGCTCGACTGTGCTGAGATCATGTATCTGAATAGGTAATAATTAACTGTTAACGAGCTTTTCATTAGAGGCCTGACTGTATATGCACAGGGAGGCAGAGCTAAGGCTCTGTGGAAAAACCTGCTTTCTCTCTCAGGACAAGGTTGCAATGCTTTTAGGCTGATGCCCCCTCTTTGAATGCTTGCTAGCGTTCATTCCCTGAATAACTTGTGTGGCAGTTACTCCCATACTGCAACACTGTTTTGAGGTACAACTTCTCGACAGTGAAGCTTCTTGGCTTAAGAGAGATGTTGCTTGTATGAGGTGCTATTCATTTTGAGTATAAAGAAAGTCTGACCCACATACCTTTCAATTACTTTTTTGCTGCTGACTTGTTAAGCTGCTGTAGCTATTGGGTGAACTTGAGCATAGCTCTGTGAAGTTGCCCAGGTGAGGATAGTTGTTAGAAGCCGGCATCTTGTGTTCATGGAGGTGCATTGTGACAGCTGAAAAATATGTAGCTTTTCCCAAGAAATGTCATACAGTCCCTGCCTATGGTCATGATAGACAGGCACAGGTGGAAGGACTAACGTGGCATTCAGCTGGGTTGCAGCTCTCTTCCGGAAGTGACCAAAACCAGCCCACTCTTGCATTCCCTCCTCCCTCTTTCCTATGTTAACAGCTTCTCTTACCTTGAGTGTGTGCTTCCAGATTAGACTACAGTGGCAAATGCAGGGTTCTGATACGGCATATAGCCTATAGATACAGAGAGCTGCTAATTGATTAACTTGCCTGTTTTTGGAAAGGCAATCAACCTTTGGATTTCCCACTGAATTGTTGTTTTCCAGTTTAATATGCTGCAAGTGAGGAGGTACATTTGTCAAAAAGCTGTTATTTCTTTCTCTGTCTTTCCGTCTCTAGCCTGATTTGAAAAGACACAGTGACCTAGCCTAGCTGATTTTAAAAAGGTGTGTGTGGGGGGGTGCCCTTTGAATTAGAATGGGAGTGAAATCCTTTGAGCATATGACCTTGAGCATGTAAATTATTTGCCTTCCCTTGCTTTTAGCTCAAAGTGTGTGTGTCTGTTCATGCATGTGTGCTAAATATGCATTTGCTGCTAACATCAGACTGGTTTTTATAAGCGCTCCTCTGTATCTTTCTGGAACTGGTGTTTTTTTAGTAGAACTGCCTTGTAAGTGCAGGACCGAAAGGGCTGGTAGTGCATTTACAGTATGCTGCCATCTGGTGATAAAAGGTCTATAGATGCTTTTTGTGAGCTATTTTGATGGCAAGTTAGAACTTTAGAATAATTCACAATAGAGGTGGGCAGGCTTCAGACTTCCAGAATCTATTCTGTTAACTGGATTCCTGAGAATCCACCACCTGGAGCCAGGTGCAGCATACTGGCTGAGGTGTAGCCAGAGGCAAAAAGATGGCTCAAGGGAGAGCCTGCTGCCTACTGCATTGGAATGATTTGCATTTACCACTAAACATCTACATGGGGAGTTACTACAAATCCTGGTATGGGGTGGCAGAGAAGCTTTTTTTTTTCTTTTTCTTTTTTTACAATTGTTAACCATTGCAAATCGGAAATCCATTACATTACATTCATGAGAATTCTAGCACTGGGAATGCTATCAATATGGCTTTCACAACATCTAAAGCAAACAGCTATGGCAAAAAAAAATTACACTACACAGCAGTTGCAGGATACTAATACCCTGTAAGGTGTTTTGCTGGATGCCATTATGTCAGCTTTTAAAAAGTTTTCTTTTAAGGTTATATTTGTTTAAAGAACTGTGATTTACAGAACAGTTCAAACCACTGATCTGCTATACTGGAGGGGTTTGTATGGAGTGGAAATATCTATCCACCTTTGCATTGCCTGGCTCCAGTGCAACTGGACAGTAGTCATAAGCTATACTGCAGTGCTAGCCAGTGGAAACCCCCCCAAAGGGGTGATTAGATGCTGGCACAGGATCTGCTGGATCTTGAATATGCTCTGCTGTTGCCCTGTCACCGAAACGGGCCCAATCCAGGCCTCTTTGCTACATCAGCTTAACCCCTCCCTTTCTGCCCTAGCTGGTGTGAGCAAGCAGCAGAGCTATGGAGGTGGCTGTGCTACTCCATCAAGCCCCGCTGCTGTTCGCAGGAGTGGGGTGGAGTGGGGTTGGGATAGTAGAATCATAGAATTGTAGAGTTTAAAGAGACCACAAGAGTCATCTAGTCCAACCACCTGCAATGCAGTAATCTTTTTGTCCAAACATGGGACTCGAACTCATGACCTTAAGATTGAGTCTCATGCTCTACCGACTGAGCTATAGTAATGCAGCCTTAACAATCAGTCAAAGGTGAGACAGCTCCTGCCCCCTCTCGCTTACAGTCCAAAATATGCAATACAAATGGAAGAAGTGATGGAGAGGGAACAGGAAAGCAAGCAAACTCAGGTATCAGTTCTTTATAGTGTTACGTAGTTTTTACCATGAGAAACTGGGGGAGAAACAGTTGAAGGAAGAGGAGAAACCGAATAGAATTGGTCTTCTAGCAGAATTGGTGGGAGTTCAGCTGCTTCCCTTTTCTTCCTCTGCTGCAGCCTGATGGAATGGTTTCTGCCTGATGATAGTTGTTTTTCCTTGAAGCTTAAGGGAGGAGCTACTGCTTCCACTCATCTGCCTAATTTTACTCCTTTGCCTTATGCTCTAATCTCTCATTTCATCAACAGCACATCATGATTTGAGAATTAAATTAAAAGTGAAACTAGAAGCATAGTAAAAAAAAAATCCACTTTGGATTTTGGGTGAGTGTGTGTTTGTTTACAATCAAGTGGTGTATAAATATAATGAAATGAAATGGAGTCCACCATTGCACAAAGCTTCTACTATAGGAGAGCATCGGCGGAAAAGATGGACCTGAACCATCTCTTCCTTGGTGGGGATATGAAAACATGAAATTATTGGACCAGTAGAAAAGTAGTAAAGATAAAGTATTGGACCAGTAGTAAAGAAGTCCTTAAGTTTTTAGGTGCTTTGTTATAAACAAGCACAATATAAATGAACATAAACTATAATATATAGGTAGTGGTGGGGAACCAGTTTTTCCAGCCCCTGGCCTACTTTCATTTGACGATACAGCTGTTGCAGACCAATGTTGGTCTTCAGTCAGCCCCTCTGGGAATCGCTTACTTTTATGCATTGTGGCTTGCAGTGAGCTGTAGGATTTGGGGAGCATGAAGGGAGGGAGGGAGAGAGAGAGATGATGGGGGGGCAGGGATGGAAATGGGTGGAGTCAAAATGAATGGATTGATGCAGGTGCGCATATTTCCACCCTGTGCTGTTGGAAGAGGTAAAGTGCGAAGCGTGATCCAGATATAAAAATGGAGGAAATGGGAACACAAATAAAGGATGTTAACCTGCAGCATTGCAAATTTATTCTGGTTCTACTCATTGCTGGCATGTGGCCCTAAACATGCTCCCCCTGAGGGAATTTAAGTGAAGACGAATTGTTACAGCTCTGTGTACTCTTTTTAGGTAATAGAATCCCACATAATGGCTCACACAGACATTTGCATCACTTGATCGCTTAACACTTTGATTATCTACACTGATTTAAAACAATATTAAAAGTTCTGTCTGTACGCTTGTATATGCAATTGCTCATTCACACATGCAAATTGTTCTCTGCTTCAGAAATCAGGTGATGAAATCAAGTGCATGAACTGGTTATGAAAGTTATGAGTTCTCCAGCAATAATGTGCTTTTTTCTCTTGTGCAGAATGTTTCCCATCCTTGAGTCTCCAGCTGTTTTTGGATTACAACTCCCATCATCCCTAGTTAGCGAGACCAGTGGTCAGGGATGATGGGAAATATAGTCAAAAAACAGCTTGAGATCCAAGGTTGGGAAACACTGGCTAGAGCAGGGGTCAACAACTTTTTCAGCAGGGGGCCGGTCCACTGTCCCTCAGACCTTGTGGGGGGCCGGACTATATGGGCGAGGGATGAACGAATTCCTATGCCCCACAAATAACTCAGAGATGCATTTTAAATAAAAACACACATTCTACTCATGTAAAAACATGCTGTTTCCCGGACTGTCTGCGGGCTGGATTTAGAAAGCAATTGGGCCTTAGTTTGCCTACCCATGGGCTACAGCATGAATTCCTAGTGTGGTGCCTGATAGGCTTTTACCACACTAAGTGGATTTGGTTCTTGGAATCTCAGCAGAGAGTTGCATGCCAAACAGGAGTTGGTATACTATTGTTCATATACAGTACTAATCACTGGATTTTGCTTATTGCTAGTGTTATCATGCAACATTTACATAACCATACAAAATTGGTGAATGCAATATCATTCCCTAAATTAAAAAGTAAGTCCTAATTAAAAGTTGCTAGGCTTTTGATGTGGTAGAAGTTCCTTGACTTTCTTATTTACTTGGGTTCTTTTCAAATTCAAACCTGTTCAGAGGGGTGAATGGCAGTCTTTTTCTACCGTTGTAGGTTGTTGTAGTTTTACGTTTAGCCCAGTGGTTTTCAAACTATGGCTTTCCTCTCCCCTCCCTTGGGGGGAAGTTCAGAATGGATGGAAGGGGAAAGAAAGCTCTAGGGAGCAATAGGTTCTTGTGACTATCACAGCCTTTATCTCACTAAGCCAAGCGATATTAAAGATTGTATGCACTTTAGCAGAAGACTGTTTAATTCATATGATTTTTGAGGGTGAATGGCTGATTGCTGTCATTGCCTGATAAGCTCAGTCTGCTTTTGGGAAGAAGTGCTACATTGTTCTTGACAGACTAGGAAAACTTGCCCATATTTTTTTAACGCTTCCTAGAAAGTGATCCTCAGCAGTGTTGTTGGAAGTGGCCACCCTTGGAAACCAACCATTGGAATGTTTTTCCATCCACCCAGCAAAGTTTGAATTTTTGCTGCCTCAGCTTGTTGTGAATAAATCCCTACAAGTTACTATATCATTTAGGATCATCCAGAGTCTCGTGTGGCAGTGTCCCGTTCCATTTTTGTGAAATAGTTTTGCAGAATGACTGGCAGGTTCTGAGTGCCTTCTGCTTTTTCTGGTTTTGAACAGGGGCTGTTAGCCTTTTCATTGTTAAGGGAAATTAGCTGTTCCTCTAGGTCACTTCGTGGCATGTTAATTGGGGGTGTGCTCCTTTGTTAACCCTCGGGGTTCTGAGTTCTTTGGGATCAGAAAGCAGATTTTCCTTCAATCATGAACTCCTTTTCTGTAATCCATGAGGTGAATTGGTTTGTTCTGTACTTTAATCCTCAAAGATACTCACATAGTTTAGAAACAGGCGCACGTGGCAGGAAGACAGTATTGACAGTGGAAATGTTAATGAACTTTAATTAGTATAACTGTTTCTTCATGTGTAGAGTAGCATTTTCCTAGCTGCCTATGAAAATCCACATAAACATGTCGTGGAAGGAAAAGCTATATATGCTGAATTTGTATAAAACCAAGCCACGAGAATTACTACAGTGTCAAGTTTTATGTTGTAAACAACTTTTAAATGAACAGTAACACTGCAGTGAAAAAATGAGCAACGGTAGCAGTGTTGGTCTGTAAGAAACAAGCCCTCCAAAATCCATAGTTGGGCAGTACTTTTATTGCTCCAGTGAAGGTATTGTTCAGCTGTGGGTTTTAGCATTCTTTCTCCCTCTACACTAGATTCTCCCAGCAGCAGTACTGCATATAGCTGTTCCTGATCTGTAACCAGAGACTTTTGTATGGTACAAAGTCAAAATAGCAATTTATTTTTCATGCACTGGTCTTTTCTGATTTAGTTTATTTGTTGCAGGTTAAAATTGGCGGGACTAGCCCATGTGTACATGGGGGTAGGGGTTGCTGAAATCTGCTATGTGGACATTTTAATCACCCTACACAGACACCCCGGCAAAAATACCCCCTTTATGGTTGGATGTGCTGAATAGCAATAGAGCTGGCTTTAATTTGAGTGCTTTGAAGGGTATCAGGATACTGAACAAAAAGCCAGTGCCAGCCTCCCCACTTGCATGCCCTTCTCAAATTTGCCTTCCCTGCTTCCAGTTCCAGGGCCATAGCCAATCACTAAGAAACACAGGAGTGATGTTCCTCAGCTATGGTCTCATTTAATGCATACAATAATAGAAGCATTTCTGCTCAACAATGTAATTTTTAGTAGCGTTAAGTATCTATGCTAATTCAGATCTTTTAGCTGACACCCTGCTTTTGGAAAGCCTGGAAGTGAGTTCCTTTTTTCACTTAAAAAAATTGCCTTCTGTCCATGAGATGCATATTGTGGATAATGTTGGCAGTCTATACACTATCCCTTCATTAGCACATGTTGCATACTAGGATTCTTACAGCAATGGTGATTTTGTGCTTCTAGCAAAGTTCAGGAAAGACTCTGGTATCATTGTGCCTAAAATCTTTCTCAGCATTGGTTGCTGATCCACAAAAAAGTGTTGGGCCCACAGTAAGCTTCTTACCAACCTTTTTTTCCCCCCTGTTGGATGAACAAAACAAAACTGTATGGTCCCTGTATAAGGATGTATTTCTGAAGACCCATACACAACCCAAATACTGGGAAAACCATAGTAAGGGAATGTAATAGAAGCTGGCAGGAGAGTTTGGGAGAGTACTCTGCAACTTGCTGTTTTCTGGCTTCTACGCAGCTAGCTTTTGCCCTGCTTTGGTGGGGAAGCCTGCTTATTTTGAGATTTTGATTTATAGGTAGTTGCTTCTGATACGTTTTGTTGCTGCTGCTGTTGTATTCAGCAACTTTAGGGGATTTAAATTCTTGGTCTCATGGATTATTTTACTAGTGAAAGAAAGGTATTCTCCCAATTTGGCATTGTCCGGCTACTGGGATGCTCTGTCACACCCTCCTCTAGGGGGCAGGCTCCTCTGAAGAAAGAATTGAGAGAAGATAGGAAGCACTGCCTACTCCTGCCCACTCCTGGGTAGTAGGCAGTACCTCCTACTTCCTCCCAAGAGTTGGCATTTTCCTTCCTTTGCAGTGAATGGACACAGCAGGTTCACAGCCTGGCTTTGGGAGCCAGTTCTAGCTGGTAATAACTCCTCTTCATGCCAGGCTTGAAAACATAGGTATTGCCTATGGGTGGGTGAGAACCATTTGAAGATAAATGCTGTCCATTTACTCTCAGATGGAACACTGAGCGTTTTCTGGGTACAGAGTGCTTAGAGCAATCTATTAAGAAGGGGGGGAAATCTCAGTAGAGTCATGGCTTTACATATTGAATTTGAATATCATGTTTCAATCTACTAATCTTCTCAGTAGTTATGGAAGAGAGACTTGATTTTCTTAGAGACTGACCTGGTCGTTCCTTGGAAGGTAGATGAATGTTAAGTGTGATTGCATGGAGTGATACAATAGGGACTAAAAACCGCTTCAGTGACCAACTTAGCATATTAATTTTTTGGCTTTTCTTCCCTCTCACTAGAGCATTCAACCCCAGCCAAGGTGGTGAAAGCTGCAAATCCAAGGCAACGTAAAGGAAGCAAGGCAAGTACTAATGTTCATATTTGTGAATACTCCAAAGTGTGGGAAGAGGTGGAATGTGACACTCAGTTGTGTATCAGAATGAATTTGTGGGACTGTTTCAGTTTTATTATGTGGGTTAACGGTGGTTCTCAGAGACATCTGGAGAGCCAGTGTGGTGTAGTGGTTAAGAGCGGTAGTCTCCTAATCTGGGGAACCGGGTTCGCGTCTCCGCTCCTCCACATGCAGCTGCTGGGTGACCTTGGGCTAGTCACACTTCTTTGAAGTCTCTCAGCCCCACTCACCTCACAGGGTGTTTGTTGTGGGGGAGGAAGGGAAAGGAGAATGTTAGCCGCTTTGAGACTCCTTAAAGGGAGTGAAAGGCGGGATATCAAATCCAAACTCCTCTTCTTCATCTTGCTTGTGGTTTCTTGACAAAACTTGAAGGCAGCTTTAGGGGTCTTTATTTTTTGTTTCCAGCTCTAACTTTCATGATCAGCACCTTTTTAGTGTATCTGTTCTTAGGCTTTCCTTGCTTGTGCACCTGTTCTGTGCTTGTGGCACTTAGTGGTCTGCAAGTACATGTCTTAATCTGTGTGCAGCTGCTGGTGAATGGATGATTCTGTCTTACGACAGGAGATTTATCTGGAAAGCCTTTTGCAAATATGTTTTCAGCTTTGACTCAATTTGCCTGTTACTGGTTTGGTAACAAACAACTCCTGTTAACTGTTTTTGGGAAGATGTGCCAACATCCTTCCCACCCTCCATCATTGGCTGGTTTCTTTAACTGATGTTTGCTTGTTGAAGTTGCATGTCTGGTTTTAGCTACTATACCTGTACCGAGTAGGCTTGGGTTTATGCTGCTATTTTTTTCTGGGCACTAGAGACTGCATTATAAGAACAGACCTGTTGAATCAGACCAGAGACCCATCCTGTTCTGCACAGTGGCAAACTAGATGTTTATGGTATGTCCACAAGCAGGATGTGAGGGCAATAGCACATTCCTGGTGTTGAATGCAATTTTTGGTTCTGGAGGCCAACAATACTAGTAGCTGTGTTTAACTTCATCCCACCATTAATTTATCCAATTCCCCATTAAAGCAAAAGATGGGATGTGACTACTTAAATTGTCCCCTCAGGCACACACACCAGAGATCCACTGCAATTTTGTTGCAGGGGGCCCTCTTTGTGATAACAAATTAATAACAAAAATAGTTTCCCTTGTATAACAAAAGTAGTTTCTCTTGTATGTTTGCTATGGGTGGTAGGCAATAAAGTTTCATTATTAATGAAATGCCTTCCTTCCTAAAAGTGTGCTCTCGTGTTGTTCTTGCCCAGCTTCATTTGGCCTCTCTGCAACTTTTTTGCTTACTTTATATGTAGTTTTTAAGGGGACTTGACACCTTCCATGGGGTCACGAAGCTAAACGACGGCATCTTACATGCAGGTTCTGTTTCAAACTTTAGAGAGGTCTTTAAGGTGACATAATTCAGGCTAGATCAGAAGAAATCTCAATGGAATATCAAGGGTTAGAAAATGAAAACAGCTGGAAGCAGGATATGCCATTGATTTGATCTGCAGTCACAGGCTCTGCTAGAGGGCAAAGCTCAAGATGTGCTTGCAAATCAAGAGGATCTGCTAATTTAAGCTCAGTCAGTCATGGCAAAGTTCATTGAATTATAACATTTATGTGCCATCCGGTATTCCTAGGCATAGACTGTGATGTTTAATGAATAAAAATATTACTGTTTGAAAACATAATGGCAGTAATGCAGCAAGCAACCTTGGCTCAGTAAGGGAGAGAGCTGTTGATGGTTAACTTTATGCAGCCAGTTTTGCAAAACAAAAATTGCCGTGTCATGTGTAAGGATAGCAAAATCTTCCCCATGTAAGACTAATCCATTGTACAATGTCATGCAACGTCCCCTATCTTCTAAGGATATCATTGCTTGCTATTTCCTCCTTTTTCTGGTGACTGAATTCCTTCTTCCCATACTTACTTGGGAAGCAGCATTTGTCCTTGCTGAAACCTGCTTCTCTTTCCACATCCCATACCCCCATCCGCATAGTAAGAATAAAGTCAACCATTTTTCTTAAAACAAACCTATTGTATAAGTCAGTTTTATTTTAAGGTAATGTTTCATGTTGCAGACAGTGTGGAGAAACAGATGCACAAATGACTTGGAGATCCACTTAATTATTCCATGGCAGCTGGAATTATTCCAGGAGAAGATACAAATGCTCCTTGCATGTGCATCTGCATCTGTTGAGCTTGTGTGTATTTGCTGAAATGCACACACAGGAATATGTGTGAGGCACTTGCATATCTGCTTTTGGCACTTTCTAAAATATGTGAAACTGCATTTAGGCCACAGTTGAAGTATCCTTATAAGGCAGGAAATGTGGGCCAAATCGGTTAGGATTGGCCTTTGAGATTTCTCCTTATTGTATGTATGAGATTCTTGTCATTTAAACCCCAAACATCACTATTTCTGTTTGTTTGTTTGTTTGTTTAATTTTGTTTTTTGTTTATTTGCAACATTTTAAAATATGCCCTCCACTGAGTTTTAAAGGTGTGAAAAATGCATTTGAAAACCAAAATTAACATAAAATACAGCAACAACCATATAATCTAGACTACAGTCACAGAGCAATAAAGGCCCAGAAGATAATCAGCAACCATTGCAGTTGTTTCAAAGTAGGTGTTTTATGTGAATGGCTAGCCACACCCCCAGAATTAACTATCGCCCCAAACTTTCGTAGCACCTGTGTTGCTAGTGTAAACAGTGTTCACTAGGTGGCACTGTGTTTGCAATGACAACATTTAGTCATGCCTTTATTGCTGAAACTGAATTGAAGCCCCTCCTTCCATTGCATTTTAAGGAGGAACACAAGACTGTGGAAACTGCAGCATTGAAATGTGTCAGGAACAGTTCAGATGACAAGAGAACAAGAATTTAAAGAAGGCAGATTAAATGTACCCAGCAATGCTGCAGCAGACACACCTGGTCTTTTTTAAAAGTGTTTTGCGCAGTTTTAATTTCTAAATGCTTGATATAAATAGTCTTAAGAATTACTCTCTCTGGCAGTTGGTGTCACAGGGTAACCAAGTCAAAGATGAATGGGCCTCTAGAGAATGGGTTGCCTTCCAAAGTTGGATTGCAGCTTCCATCAGCCCAGGCAACATAGCCAATGATCAGGGATGGGGGGGAGTTGTAGTCCAACAACGCCTCAAGAACATCATGCTAACTACCCCTTCTCTAGAGAATGTAAGAGTAGTCGCTGCCCATTTACTGTACTCTGTCGTGGCCTTTGAAATCTGAAATGTTGTTCACCATGAAAAAGGACAGAAATAGTAGGTGCTTAATATGGATTTTTAAAGGAGGTGAAAAGTTCTCCTGCTGGAGAAATATTGCAGTTTTACAAAGGGGAATTCCTTGTTATATGATACTCTGTTGATTTGATAACTCTGCTTTTTTTACTAGGTTGGTGACTTTGGGGATGCCACAAACTGGCCAACGCCAGGAGAAATAGCTCACAAGAGTGTCCAGGTAAAACACCCATTCTGACTTCAGAAGGAAGGTGCTTCTGTTCTTTGGCATGATTGTGGATGACTAGGGTTCCTGAACGAATAGTGTTCTGTACAAAAGCAAACGATTCCATGGGCCTTTGGGAATTTCCTTGTAGTGAAGTGGCTTGCTATGATGGTAGCATTACAATCCTATTCATGTTTACCGAGCAGGAAGTCCCATTAAGTTAAATGAGACCTACTCTAGGTAACTGTGTTGAATTGCAGCCTTGATATATATCTTTCTCATGCCTAGGCACCACTGTGAAAGTTTGTCTAGTTTAGAAGTAAGATTTTTTTAAAAGGTTTTTAGAGTCAGAGTTATATCCAACTAAGTGATTGTGTGAGCAGAACAACTCCTTGCACAGTGGAACCTCCTATTCTCTGTGTGTTCCCACAGCCCGAAAACTACTCTTGGCGGTTCCCTCATCCCTCTAGAGCAGATTTGGGGATGATGCAGGGGGAGGAGAGAAGGGGAAGTTGTGTTGCAGTGACTAAGTGGGATACAACCCAGAATACTTTAGGCTTAAATTTCTACAGTGCATCAGGATTAACATTTGCACCCTTCTATAAATGCAGTGTCTATTTAGTCTTCCTTAAATCCTGCCAGTTAAATAAAAGCTGAGAAGTTTTTTTTAAAGTATATATAGAGTAAGAAATCCCTTCAGATTATTTTGTGTGTGTGTGTGTGTGTGTGTGTGTGTGTTGAAAGGGAAGTAACAGGGTGGTAAGAACTATGTCCCCTTACACCCAGTAACGAAAATTGAGAAAAATGGGGGGTTGGGGGGCGGAATGGTGCCTTAATTGCCTCCAAAGATCAGTGTTCCCTCAATTTACTGTTTGAAAGTGTTTATTGGATGCAATAAATCACATAATTATGAAAGTTCAATTAAAATGGTGATTTAATGTACACACAGATAGATAAACATACAGTATCCATAGTTGATGGAAAGAGGTAGAAGTATGTAAAACAGATTACATTGTTGTGCTTAAAATGAATTGGCATTGTGGAAGCGGGCTTTATACTCATACAAAATTATTTCAGTAACCAACAATCCCTGTTAGGTAAAGGCAGTCATTTATGTAACCTGAACCTAAGCCATTCAGGGCTTTAAAGTAGTGGCTAACACTTTTTATTGGGGCTGGAAATGCACGGGTAACCAGTTCATCTAATACAAAATTGGTATAATGGGTTCTGATCTTGCGACCCCCTGGACAACCACATCCCATACTAATTGAAGCACCTGTGCTGTCTTCAAAGGCAGCTCTGTATGTAGGGCACATTACAGTAGTCCAATCCATATATCATATAGGTGGATAAATGAGGTGAAGTCTGATCTCTCCATATAGGGCCACAGTTGGTGTACCGGACTAAGCTGGTAAAAGGTATTCCTGAGTACTATCAGGACCTCAACAGCAAGGAATCTAGCAGCACCCCCAAACTGGGAACTTGATTCTTTAGGAGGAGTGCAATCTCCTCATGGACAGGTTGAACACCTCTATTCAAGATTGCCAGCTCTCCTACCCACAAGACCTCCATCCTGTTTGGATTAAGCTGCTGCTCAGTCTTCTTCCTGATCCATCCTCAAAAGGTCTTCAAGCATTGGCTCAGAAGTTCCACAGCCTCCCTAGGTTGGATAGATTGAAAATAAGTGGCGCATCATATTAATCCACAAACAAATGACAACTCAGCCCAAACCTCTGAATAGCTTTCCCCCATTGCATTATACAGACATTAGATAGCATGAAGGACAGGATAGAACTGTGAGGCACACCATCAAACATGGGGTGGGATATTTGCTACCCAGGCCAGGGTAGTAAAGCCTAAGGCCAATGTGAAGCTACAAACTTTTTTTAAAAAAAATGTACTAGGAAGAATATATACTACTCAAACACTTCTTAATTATTTTAAGATAAGAAAGAGCAAGAAACAAACCTCCCCAGTCCCTCTTAAAGGATTATGACTACCTTGTACACGCCCCACGCCCAAAAGACTGTGGACCTGATTATCTGCAACTTGGCAGGCCTAATCTGCACTGGAGGAACTCTTGCATCTGTAAATTTCAACAACTTGGTCAAAAGGAGGGAAATATTGCCATATTTAGATTTTTCATTATAGTTAATTGGCCTACAGAGCTTCATTTTATATGGAGTGACTTGGAACATGAGACGTGGATTCAAGAAAAATATCATGGAAACTTCTGAATTTTTTTCTGAAGTGCACAGGTGATACAAGGTGAAACTTGGCCTGTGTACACATCCTAGTTTTTGTCTTCTTTCAAATCCTTTAGTGACTGAGGTTGAGGTTGAATGCCTTGAACTTGTTTTTCTAATGGTTAGAGAAATGACCTGTGTTTGTTCATATAAAAAATCTAGGCTTTGGGATATAACTTTGATCATTTCTTAACTTTAAAGAAGGAAAAGAGAACATTTTGAATTCATTCCAGTTGCTCTGTAGGTTGTAGAGGTATTTATGCCTGCTCACTGAAGGTTGTTGTTGTTTTTTTTTAATAAAAAAGATATAGCAAATCAGTTACAAAGCAGGTTAAAGAATAACCCTTTGTTCAGTGGGCAAAGTGTCACTTTTCAATACCAGATTCTCAATCGCCGGGAATTTACCACTGTCTCTGCTTCTGTTAAGTGGAGAAAGCCAACTGTCCTTTGGCTAGTGTTGTGATAGCAGAATTGCAACATGGTGCTTTGTATAAAAGGACAAAGATTAAAGGGTGTATTTTCTTTTTCCAGGGAATTCCCATTCTCTCCACAGCATTTATTTATCTAGTTCTTCTTAGTCCTTGAAAGTGATTTTCAGTTTGGTTTTGCAGGTCGACCAATTTTCTGCATTTTCTCCTTGAACTTTAGTTTGGTGCTGCATAAGCTGTCCAGATAACTTGGTTATTGGATGGCATATAAATATTCCTGACAATTTGTTTAAAAACACATTGGAATCACCAGGAAGCAAATAGGGTGTAAATTGTGGTATAAATTCCAATTCTTCCTATTTTATGCATGAGCACAAACTGACCCGCCCCTGATACAGTTCAGAAAGAGAGAACAATTAGTTTACCTATCAGGTAAGCTACGATTTTCTGGGAGTCACATTCCATTCCCTTCTTGGTTGCGCTCTTCCTGCTGAGTGCTTCCTTGTTGTTGCAAACCCTACAACATTGAGCTATTTTAGCAACCCCCAGTATACTTACTCAAAGTATTGAAGTTCATCTCCTTTAAAAGAAAAAAGTGCTATATTTTTAAAGATTAAATTGAAGGAAGGCAAGAATATACTTACTTTTACCACCTCCCCAAAAAACCCCGCACATGCACACATATGCAAAAGTGTGTATATGTTCGATTTTACCTGTACATTCTTCCTGTTACTTTCATGTGGTGTGCCAACATGTCATAAACTTAAAGTGATATTCCCCTACCATGAGCGTATTTGGTCAAATATGCCTAAAGATGTATGCATGGGTGAATGTTTGAAGGGGTGAAGAAGTGTGGAAACATGATAATTCATGCTGCGGCACAGAGTCTGTTGTTTTCCCCCCCATATTGCTGAGAGTTCAGTTTGAGCAACACTTTTTGGGGGTGCTAAATCTCTGCTTAGGAGAAAGCCAGGAATAGCTCATTACAGATCCCAGGCAGATGATTTCCTTTTAGGGTTTCCCTGCCCACTATGCTCCCTAGCTCAGCGGTGCTATTCTGGGACATCAGCTTGGAGCCCATTCTAAAATCTGGCCACAACAGAGAAGGTAAATTTACCAAGTCTTCAGGCAAACCTGGGATTGTTCTTATGAGGGGATGAAGCAGGTGGGCTGGTTAGCACCAAGCCAGGCTTCTGGAGCCTGTGCCTTGTCTGCTGTATGGCTTTATGGTGGGTGGGATAAGCACTCAAAGAGGGACACAGCGCAGATGCAGAAGTGCTTAAAGCATACTTCTATTTTTGGGATTCCCTCCCCTTTGGCAGTAGCTTTCCAGCATCATTATCTCTTGTCAGCCAGCCCCTTCTCTGGGTCTGGTGTCCTGGTGTCATTCACCAAACTTACCATGTCTGATTTCTGTATCATTCAGAAATGATAGGGGTTTTTGAATGTTTTATGTAGTTTTGTAGTAGTTTTATGTAGTTTTAATGTAGTTTTATGTAGTTTTGTGGTAGTTTTATGTAGTTTTATGTAGTTTTCAATTTCATTGTTCCGCAAGGGACAATGACAATAAAGATATTGTATATCGTATCGTATATCGTAAATCATTGGGATTCATTCTGCAGTGCATGTGCCTGAAGTACTCACTTGCCTTCTAATTTGACTAAAGTCTTGCTCTTGTAACCTTCTTAACTTTGGAACATGCTGCTCCTATATAACTATGCAATAACTACTTCGGCTTGAAGTCGTGCTTTATCAAGAAGTTATTGCTCATGAATTGGAGCTCTCTCTTGAGGGTAACCAATTGTTCTTGGTTTCTAGACTCTTCGGGTGGGCTCATAAGAGTGATTGTGAACGCAAGTGTGATTGTGAGCACATCAGGCAGCTAAATGAACTTGCTGTGTCCGTTGTGATCCACCTTTGCTCAGCCGCCATTTTGATTCCCAGCTTGCATGTCTGATTGTCATTTTCAGCAGCTGCCACACAAGCCTCAATCTCTCCGGAAGGTTCCTATTAAGAAAAACATGAAGGAGCAGGAGAAAGGGGAAGGGAGCGATGGTAAAGAGAACATGAAAGCCCGGTCAGATGAATCAGGGGAGGAGAAGAATGGAGATGATGACAACCAGAAATCAGCTCAGAAGAAGAAGGGTAAAAAGAAACTATTTGAAAGTGCTGAAGCACAGTGGTCTGGGATCTCGGGGACTTCATCAAGCTGATGCCCTCCAGATTCTTTGGATTACAACTCTTATCAGGCCCAGCTGTGCTAACTGGGACTGATGGGAGTTGTGGTCCCAAACTTCTGAATGGCACCACGTTGGTAAAGGCTGACGTATGGTATGTCCAAGGTACGATCCGGCAGAACTTTTATTATGTTCTTTACACTTTTTGCTGGCTAAGGTCAGTTACGAAGACCTGAATGATGTGCCTTCTCTCCTTGTGCCTTCCTGGGTGAGATGTTTTGTACTTCCTCATAAAGATTTGTAACAGCTGGTTCTTGATGCCTTGCAGGTAGCAGACACAAATGGGTCCCTCTGCAAATAGACATGAAGTCTGAGGTACCAAGAGACAAAACAGCTTCTCGCAACAACAGACAGAATGAGCAGCACCGGCACCCTTCCAACAACCGAAGTGACTCAAAAGGTATTTTTGGTAATGTATTTTTTAATTATATTTTTCGTAATGTTCAGGCTGTCATGTTCCTTCAGCTCTTTCATAGGGTAGGCTTCTAATTTCCATGTGGGCTGCAGCATAGCCTCAAAGGCTTAGCAGTTTGACTGGGAGTTCCCTTACAAGTAGATGAGTGCATGCTACTGATACTTCTGAGTGGTGGTGGTGTTGACTCTTTTTAAAAAAATCAAAATAATATCCCAACTGAATTCTTATGTACTTCATTCAAGGAACTGGTTTGTTCTCTGGCTAAGCCTCTGTCATTGTCTGCATAATGTGTATGAGGGAGATAGAATCTACTAGCCCTCTATGATTCAACCAGCATCTCCCAAGCATTTCACGGCTCTTAGGGGTATGCTCATCTCTAACATTCTCTTGCAGGTTGGCATCTGGATAACAAACATGAACGAAGCTGGCCTGACCATGATGAAACCTCTAGTGTCAAGAGTGAGGGAGCAACTGTGCGTGGTTCCTTCCGGGGCAGAGGCCGTGGTCGGGGACGAGGGAGAGGGCGAGGAAGAGGAGGTACTCGCTGTACGTATAAGACCGTAATTTTTTTTATAATTGTGGCTTTGTGTACAGGATGTGGTTGATGCTATAGATAAAGAGCTGGCAGACAACAAATTTCTTCCCCCACTTGGAATATCAGTGGCTAGGGATCAGTTGCATTATTTTGGCTGGACTGTGACTCAGCACAGTTTGAGTAGATGCACTAAAATAAGTGTACCATTAAGGAGCATTGTTCATGTAATTTTTGTGTAAATTTATTGCCACTGGAAATGCAACCATACTAGTTAACTGAGCATTTTGAACTAAAAAGCTACTACACTAAGAAAACAGACTTTTTGTAGATTCTCAAATATATATTACAAATATAATAGTCATTCAAGAAGTGGCTAGTTGTGAACCTCTGCTATTATATAGTGCAACTTTGTTTTGCTTGGCCAGTGCTAGATGCATATTTTCTGTGGATCTCGCATTGCAATTCTGTTTAAAATGGTCTTTCCAAAAGAAAATGTCAATGCCTTTTCCAATTCCTAAATTAGGCTGCTGCAAGCCTGGTTCTCCTAATCTGTGGATATTGACAGCGTAGAGTGGTCTTAGAAAAGTTGAGGTCTTAAGAAATTTCCTTTTGCTTCTTTCCCCCTGCAGCTCACTTTGATTATCAGTACGGTTACCGGAAATTTGATGGCTCTGATGGCTCACGCACTCAGAAATACACCAGTAATATCACTTACTATTTTGACAACATCAGTAGCACTGAGCTGTACAGTGTTGACCAAGAGTTGCTCAAGGACTATATCAAACGGCAGATGTAAGTGTTGGTTTTGATTCTAGCAGTAGCTAACCAAACAGTATTTGCCTTTTGAAGAGTTGTAGCTAGTTTTATACCTTTTTGTAGTAGATTAAAAGTTGGGAGTTGTGCTTGCAAAGACAATGGTCTTCATCCTCATTCTTGCTGTTCTACAAAGTAAAAGTAGATAGAATGGGGATTCTTGTACCACCATCACAGCCTGTGAATATGTGCCAGTGGGTACACTGGCACAACTGTTTATAACAGGGTGGCCAATTGGAAATATGCAAGATTTTTGCTGGCCCCTGAATCAACAGTGGCAGTCTCCATAGCCATGCCCTGCACTTCCAGTTAAGACTCTAGCAGGAAAAGTGAGCAGCCTCTGACATAAATTGCCTCTCTAGAAACATATCATTGTACTTGATGCCAGCTAATGCCTCTGTTGAATCAGTGGTAGTAGTGCCTGCTTCCTAGAAAAGGAAAGCTTGCCTTTTGGTGGAAGTTGCACCCTACACCTTCAGTATCTGCACTCTGTCCTGATAGGCAGAGGAAGAGAATGAATCACCTTTTTCATGTGTTGAAACCTGGTAGAATTGAGATTGGCTGCCCTGAGGAAACTGGTAGCCTTGCTTTCCCCTTCAAGGGGTAGCTTGGGCTCCCTGGGCACTGCATAGCTGAACAGAGATGCCCCTAAGTGTTTGGTTCCCACGAACTTCAGAAGTTGGCAGCCCATTAGTTAGAGCATGACACGCAAGTTGGACTACTTACCAAATCCTGGAACAGCTGAATTCAGGATTTGCGTCCTTCAGGTGTTATTTTTTATTAGAATGTCATTCAGCTTCTTTTACTCATGCAGAATTAGCTTAGTTTGGGCTAGTTTTAGTTGAAACTAGAGAAGAAAGGAGGAAATGATGAGTTTTCTTCTGCCTACGTGAATACATTCTGCAGGGCTGAATCAATATTTTTATTAGTATTCAGGGGATTTTCTGCTGCTTGTTTTATATTTTATTGTTGATATTAAAGGATTCTGTTAGAATCTTTTAAAATGATAGATGCAATAATGTGTGTTGTTAAATGTTGCAGTTTGTTGTTCAAATGGTTTTAATTATTGTATTTCATAGTGGGAAAAATAATCCTGAAAGGGGGCCTAAGAATATTGAAAATACAGTATAAAAATATATACTTATTCATGTGGACATGTCTTGAGCTATGGTCCTGGAATTTTCCCCATAGCATCCAGTGCTGAAAGAGAGCTTGGGTATTACCTATTTTTGTAAAGTATTAGTAAACAGAAAGAGAGGTGGAATTTTCAGGAGGTCAGAGGTATTTATTCTGTTAAGTGTTACCTGGTGCGTGTGTGTGTTATTTTCATCGTCTACTATTTGCTGTGTTCAGAGAGTACTACTTCAGTGTTGACAACTTGGAACGAGATTTTTTCCTGAGACGGAAAATGGATACAGAAGGCTTTCTTCCCATCACTCTGATTGCCAGTTTCCATCGGGTGCAGGCCTTGACTACAGATGTTGGCCTCATAATTAAGGTAAAAAATTACCCTGTGTTTCTTATTTGGGCCACTTGTAGTGGAGTGCTGGGCAGTCAAGACTGAAATGCGCTTTTCAGACCCTTGGGCATGTCCTGGTATACCTCAGAGAAAGATGATCAAAGCAGAGTGGCAAAGGTCTATGCAGACTTGTGTTCTTTGCAGTTATGCAAAAGGTAGTTCATGCATTCTGCCAACTGCATGCTTGCAGTTTTCAGGATGCAGTCGCATTTTGAAGACTGAGGCTTTAAATAGCTGTAAGACAGGGCTTGCTGCTCTGTTCTGCATTGATATTATTTGCATACATCTGCTGGGATTTCTCTGTCTGCACAATCAAGGGTGTTAGAGAAATTTTTTTGTAAACAAACAATGGTCTGAAGAAAAAGGAAGATGAACCTTTATACGCAGTATTAAATATACGTCTCTCTTTCTGTGGGGAGTAGGGAGAGGGCATGTGGGAGGAAAAGAGGGAGAAGGGTATCTTACTTTAGTATTAATGCTGACAGTGATTGTTTTTCAGGCATTGAAAGACAGCAAAGTGGTAGAGATTGTGGACCAGAAAATCAGGAGAAAGGAAGAACCAGAAAAATGGCCTTTACCTGGCCCTCCCATGACAGACTATGCACAGACTGACTTCTCTCAGCTCATCAACTGCCCAGAGTTTGTGCCCAGGCAAAGCTTCCAAAAGGAAACAGGTTTGTTGATAGTGTTTTAAAAACTCTATCCAAGCAGTTTTATTTGTGTTGGTGGTGATGAATTTGAGACCAGGACACCATTATGTATCTTGCATAATGGTTAGCAAAACTTCAGCTTTACTTAACTAACACGTGCACACAAAGTTGACTGCACTGTTTTATCAAGACTTTCTTGAACATGTAATTTGTACATCCTGTTTTTTAGTTCTCAAATGTTTTGGCTCCTGAACGACTGAAACCCGGAAGTGACTGTTCCGGTTTTCCAAAGTTCTTTTGGAAGCCGAACATCCGATGGGGCTTCTGATTGGAAGCCGAACGGACTTCCGGAACTGATTCCGTTTGACTTCCAAGGTATGACTGTATTGCTATCCAGTCATGTAAATAATGGGTGATCTCAATCCATTAGGAGACAGATTCTTCTAAGAAAAATGTCTGATTCCCTTTGTGCTGGCTTTGAGAGCTTCTTGGAAATATAATTGATCAAGACCTTGAAAGGTACAGCCCTATGCCTCACACTCAAGTTGAGTGTGTTGTGTGTTGCTGAGCAGGCATTGTGTTCTGTTTTGTTCTTGGTGTATGCCTGATGAGCACAGTATTGGCCAGCAAAGCTGTTTTAAATGGTGAAGGGAATATTAAATACTAGTCCCCAAGGTAATGAGGAGGAACCTTAGGCAGCTCGCTGTGGCCAGTTGACAAAATAATTTGCCAATAAAATTGCTTATATCTGAGCTGAATCTATAGCTCAGCAGTTCCCAACCTTTCTGGGGTTATGTACCCCTGTGGGAATCTGATGAAAACTATGGAACACCTCCCCAGAAAAATACACATACACACAAAACAATTTATTTTATTGCATTGGAATTTTTGTGTGTTCCTGGTTCACCCCCCGAAGCCCTCCATCGACCACCTAGGGGTTCCATGGACCTCCACAGGTTAAGAACACCTGATCTAAGACATCTGCTATTTTAGTGACTTAAATATTGAGCTTGAGGATGTGGACAAATCGCTTTGAAGATTGAGACCAACCACTTGCGTTTTAAATCCATATACATCTTCGCTGAGTAAAAGTGCTAGAGGAGGGCTGGCTGTTTGGATTGCAGAGACTGTTAATGCTTCTCTGCATGAGAGCTGCTTTCTAACTCCATTAAAGGAAACAGTTGTAAGGTTTTTATTGACAGAGCCCCCCTTGGATACCACCACTCTTGGTAGTTATTGGTTAGTCTAACTTAATTTCTGGTGCTCATTTTTTCTGACCATTAAAATTGCACTTTCAGTTGATTTCTAGGTCCAGATAAAGGTGCTGGCTAATAACTGTAACACATTAAGTGACTTGGGGCCAAGATATTTCAGCAGCTTCTGTATGAACCTGTCCATCAGTTACAGTAATCTTTAGCATAGCTCTTCCATGTATTGCACCACCAAGGCAGGTGCGCTAGGTGGAGATACAAGCATTTGTTGTTGTAGTGCTCTCATTTTGGAACTCCCTCCCAAGGATGGTTAGACTGGCCCCTTCTTTGTTGTTCTTCAGGCAGGTGGTGAAAACATTTTATATATTTCTAGCATTCTTCCCTGTAGAGAAATGGGAGTCTCAGCTGGTGAAAGGAAAGCCGCTGAATATCATAATTAGCCAGGGCTATGCAAGGCTTAGGCAAAAATTCGAAGGATCATATAATAGAACCAACAATTTTTCATGAGTGCTTAATACAAATTAAGTAGAAAATATTCAAATAGCCAAAGCTCTGCACTCATCTCAGATGTTCATGACAGCTCTGTAAAGGGAGGTGAAAGTTGCCACCCGTACTCGGTTGAAAAGCACATGCTATTCACAGCACCGGGCTTATCCTTGTGGGTGTTTTGTAAAGGGCTGTTGCCTGCATGTACAGATATTTATCTTTTACTAAAATACCATGTTACAGAATCTGCTCCTGGGTCTCCCCGCTCTGCTAGTCCTGTGCCAACGAAGACAGAGGAAGTTAGTAATCTGAAGACAATGCCCAAAGGCCTTTCTGCCAGCCTGCCAGACTTGGACTCTGAAGCATGGATTGAAGTGAAGAAGAGGCCTAGGCCTTCTCCAATCAGACCCAAGGTAGTTGGTGAATTGCATTAGCTGACATCCTCATGTATGTCAGACCTGCAATTGGACACATTTAATGCTCCTAGACATAGGAGGTTCTAGAACAGGGGTCAGCAAACTTCTTCATCCGGGGGCCAGTCCACTGTTCCTCAGACCTTGTGGGGGGCCAGACTATATTTTGAAAAATAGAAATACCCTGCAAGCCGGTTCTGCAGCTGCCTCTGGACCTGGAGGAGGAACACACTCTGCATGTGCTCAGGAGCATGTCTCAGCACCGCCCGCTCACCGGCATTGTTGACAAGCAGCAGCTGTTCCATCAGCCTGTCCCTGCGGAGCTCCCAGGCGGTATGCACCACATGCTGTGGCCCATCGTCCGAGGCCAGGTCTGTGGGCAGGCCGCGCATGCAGAGCGCCGGGCAGGCAGTGTGCAGCTCATCCTCCAGCTGCTCCAGCTCGGCCGCCGATAATGCCACCAGCGGCAACGCTGAACCAGGCACGGGGCCAGCATGCATGCCAAGCTCCAGCTGAAGCCCCACGACGCGCCCGTCACAATGCCCATGGTGCAGCCCAGACCTGCCGCCTGCCCACTGGCCTCTCCATCCATGGCCGCGCCGGATTTACCTCAGTGTGCAGGTGGTGAGGCTTTGGATTGGCTGCGGGAACTTCCTGCAGCCAATCCGAAGCCGCGCCAGCGTCGCTGCCCGCCCAGAGGCACCTGCGGCTTCTTTTCAAGGAAACGCCGCACTGGTTTAGCTCAGTGCGGGGACTGACTGAGCGGGTGGCAGGGTCTGCCAGCTGGATTTACGAGCCTGGTGGGCCGCATCCGGCCCCCGGGCCATAGTTGCCGACCCCTGTTCTAGAACGTTTTATGTGGCACTTTCTCTCCTTAGTTGTGTCAAGCATGCTGGGTAGGGAGATGGTGTTTCTGCTTTCCCAAAAGAGTTATTCCTGCACACAGACTACATCATAATTCCATCTATCCTTTTTCTGTAATTTGTACTATTGAATTTTGTGAGCTTTAGATGCTGGTTCACGTCTCTTGGAGTTATAGCTGTGCAGGGTTCTACTTTAAGGCCCCAAGGCTGGTTTGCTATGCTTGAAGGATGAGCATCTATAGAAGGGTTGCTGTGCCTGGAGGATCATGATGGGTGGAAGATGGTCATATGGTGGGCTGGGCTTTATGTGACCAGGGTGTGTTTGGTTTGTTAGGCGTTGACCTTTGTTTTGAGGTTGAAACTGTGCCTGTCTTGTTTTGCTGCATAGGATCCCCTAGCTACTGTAATTTTCACTCCAAAACACGCACTTTTTTGCTCCTAGAAAGTAAGGGAAAATGCCTGTGCGTGTTACGGAGCGAATGCACTCGACCGGAGCCATGGCTGCCGTCAGTCAAGCAAAGCGGGAAGCGCTTGCAGGGCTTCTGTCCCGCTTTGCGTGGCTCTAGCTTTGCTTGCTTTACAGCCAGGAGGAGGGGGAGGAGCCGGGGAGGAGGGAGGGAAGGAGAGCCATGGCAGCAAAGCAGGCAGCAGCCGCTTACACGGGAGGAGGGACAGACGGGAGCCATAGCGAGCCAGGAGAAGTGCCGCGTAGCCAGCAACAGCTGCTGCAGCCTCTGCTAGCAAAGGTCCGTGCGATCTCTAAATGGAGCAATGAGGCTGCAGAGGGACGGCAGGGCACAGGAGGGCTCTGAGCCATGAGCGCAGTGAAAACCAGTAAAAAAGTTTTTTAAAAGGCTGTTGGGGACAGGAGGGCACAGGATGAGGGAGAGGGGGGAATTACGATTCTCCCAGCGTCTCAGCTGATCCGCTGAGCAGGACTTGGGTTGCAGGGGATTCGCCATTAGCTGCGTAAAGCAGCAAAGAGGGAGAGAAGGAGCAAGCGGGAGAGGAAAGGAGCTGCTTACACTGCTGTAAGTGGCTGCTGTCCAGTTGGCTCCTTTAAAGCAACAGTGCTCTTTCCCTCCCCCCTACCCGCTCAGCTCATCAAAAAGCTCCTTTTCCACACACCCCTTCTCCCCTTAAACACCTCTCCTGCATCATTAGCAGCATCCTTCTCCACACACCCCATGTGTGTTCCTTCTCCCCATAGACCCCTCGCCTGCATTATTAGCCGCATCCTTCTCCACACACCCCACGCGTGTTCCTTCTCCCCTTAAACCCCTCTCCTGCATCATTAGTAGCATCCTTCTCCACCCACCCCACGCGTGCTCCTTCTCCCCTTAAACCCTTCTCCTGCATCATTAGCAGTATCCTTCTCCACACACCCTACGCGTGTTCCTTCTCCCCTTAAACCCCTCTTCTGCATTATTAGCAGCATCCTTCTCCACACACCCCACATGTGCTCCTTGTCCCTTGAATGCTTTTCCTTCCCTCCCCACTTAAAACGTGGTTACAAAGCACGGATCCACATGAATCCTCAGGATTTTTGCACTGGGTCACCCCAAGTTCACCATCAGATCACATAGCATATCCATGGCTACAGCCTGCACCAAAAAAAACACACGCACCCACTGTTTCATGGGGCTGCAATGGCGCAAAAACGTGGTTACAAAGCATGGATCCTCAGGATTTTTGCATTGGGCTACCCCAAACTCACCGTCCGATCACGTCTGTGGCCACAGCATGAACCACAAAAATCATACATCCACTGTTTCGTTTAGAATATTTTTTTCTTGTTTTCCTCTTCTAAAAACTACGTGCGTGTTATGGTCAGGTGCATGTTATAGAGCGAAAAATACGGTAAGTCTTCTGTGATCAGTGTCCCAGCAGCTTCTGTCTTAACAACATTATCTATTTTGAAACCAGAAACCAGAAGAATCCAAAACGCCAGTGAAGCAGAAAGATCAGGATGAGCCTGAGGAGCTGGACTTCATGTTTGATGAGGAGATGGAACAGATGGATGGCCGAAAAAACACCTTTACAGATTGGTCTGATGAGGATTCAGACTACGAAATTGATGACAGAGACGTGAATAAGATTTTGATTGTAACACAGACACCCCCTTATCTGCGCCGGCATCCGGGGGGAGATAGAACGGGCAACCACACATCCAGGGCGAAGATGAGCTCAGAGTTGGCTAAGGTGATCAATGATGGGCTGTACTACTATGAGCAGGATCTGTGGACAGAGCAGTTTGAGCCAGAGTACTCCCAGATAAAGGTGAGAACCAGGGGTGCACCACCTTAGCGCAAACAAAAATGGTTGTGTTCTGAGAGCGGGAAAAGGAGTTGTATGTACTTTGTCTTGATCATATTTTTAGTTCAACGGTGGTTTAATTTTCACAATTTATGAGATAATATTACTTGTGCCTTGCGCAAAAAGTATTAAATCACTTGCCAACCCACCTATATGTAACTGAGTTGGGAACATTGCAAGCAGTGGATCTGACAAGCATCTGTTTGCCCTGGGAACATAACTAACATGCAAGTTGTCTCTTCTACCTTTTTCTGCTTCCTTTGTGTGGAAGTGACTGATGAAAGAAGATAGAATTGGAACCAGCAGTCATTAACTATGTTCCTATATGCTTTTATCTTGAGTATGAAAGTATTGTTCAGTTTCTTTTATTGTATCTTTTTCCATATATGTATAATATATGATAACCCTGGTTATGGATTCCAAACAATAAGTACCACCACCTGTTTGTAAGAAGTCTTCACACTACGTAATTGTTTCCTTCCACCTTGCATCACACCCATGCCTTGCTTTTTTGTTACTTAGGCCTAGTTTTAAACATGATTCTGGACTTGCTGAAAAATAATACATGTGCAGTTTTGACAATGTGTTGTTTAGAATCTGAATTGACAGTACTTGTGCATGCCATGTTATCATGCTGGCATTGCAGGCTTTCTGGTCCCTGACAAACTAACATGTTTTGGCATACTCTGTTTATATACGTCTGAGTATGTGTAGTATCAAACAGGTAATATTCTCCCCTCCCAAACATTTCTGATGTATTGTTTAAACTGGCCCTTAATTTTCAGCCTTTATTCTGCCATTGTGCTTGCAACCTATTATGCCTCAAATGCTTTCACGTGCTGTCTTGTCTTCCTCTCTGGAGCAATTGCTTTTAAGACTTTCTGTTGTGCTGTTGTCTCATCTTCCCTTGCTTGGGGTGGTGAATTTTGGCAAAGCTGACTTTTTAGGTGCAAAATTCTATGAGTGTAGTCCATAGGCACATACTGGATGAGGACTTTGTCTCCTTAACCCCTTGCAATTTTATGCCACTTGTTTGTTAAGACTTTATTTGAACCCTGCTCGTTCTAGCTCTGGAATCTGTATTCACTCAGTGAAACAGTGCCTCTGAGCACATGCCAAATGCCATTCACTTTCCCACTGAGTAATCCGGGTAAGGAAGAAGGGCTTTCAGGCTTACCAGCCAGCGGATTGTGGTGCCTCTTATTTTCAGAAATGAATAGCTGCCAGAGGTAATTGCTCAGCTGCTTCCCAGAGGGAGCTCTTGCAACATTTGAGAGCATGCAAAGATCAGCTACTAAACACAGACCTACAACTTAAATATGCAGTCCTTATTAAGGCTGGCCTTGGATGATCTGGTGGCAGATGTTTGAGATGGGAACATAGAGTTGCTGCTGAAGGGACTGCAGCAAATCAGAGAATCCTTCTGTATTTCCTACTTGAGGGCTTACTTTACAAAAAGATGATCAGGACCAAGCATACTATACATTTTGCTTCTTGCTTCACAGAGAGGAATTCTGTTAGGTGTGGGGCTGCCTAAGGAGGCTTTGTTGAGCATTTACAGATTACTAGAAGGTGTTTCCTAATGTGCAATTTGAAATTGCAAATTACTGTAACTACAGGCCTCACTGGCCTGTGGGTGCAAGGCCTTCTTGTAAATGAAAAACATGGGAGAGAAATATGCAGAACCATCTCTCCTCCTCTGGCTCAACTTCCCATAATTGGTTGCTCTTGCCCCACTTTCCCTGTTCTGGCTCTGGCTGTGTATACACACCAGACTTTTAAAACACATGGTTTCTCCCACGCAGAATCCTGAGAACCAGTTTGTTGCGGGTGCTGGGAATTGGAGCTGTGGGGCAGGGGTAAACTATAGTTCCCGGAATTCTTTAGGCTAAGCCATGTACTTTAAATGTAGAGTGTGGTACTGGAAGTGAGCTGGAAATAAAGAGGAGTAGTAGAAATAACAGCTGGAGGGAGGGCTAGGCTGTGCGCTCCTTTTACGAAAATAAAAATGTGTCTACCATCTCCATACCTATTTTGGCTTGGTTATGCTTACCAAACTCTGCACATGGGGGTCTGTATTTCTGAGTTGTAATGAATCCTCCTACAGGCAATGACTTGTGCTCATTCAAAGCCCACACAAGTTGCTGCAACTCGGAAGTGGTCTTAAAAAGTGGTGGCGCATAACAGAGCAGACTTGCACGCGCTCCACAGATGTGCACGGGGCCGAAATACAACCTCTGCACAAAACGGTTGTTGTCTGTATGTTCTCTATATATTCTTCAGTCAACTCAATATACAGTGGCCTCTAGTATGTCTGAGTTCCACATATAATTATTTGTAATCTGCACCCCGTTTTTATTGTTGGGTCTCAGCTGACCGACTGGTTGTCTCCATGACTGGGATTGTTAATGAAAGTTTTGCCTTCCAATAAAGAAAGCTTTGCCTCAGAAGAAGTTTTGTGTGATGTGGGTGGCTGTTTCACCAGACTTTTTTTAAATGTTGCAACCATCTAGTGGACTGACTTGTAGATTTTGTCACACTTGAAACTGGTGCATTGTTCTTTAACACATGTAGCCTGTGATTTGCCGTTTCCTGGGGTGGTGGGTGGGGAGGGGAAAAACACGAAACGGAATAATAAGCTATATTTTATTTTATTTATTATTATTATGTATCCTACCACCTCCAGATATAAGTGTTTCATTTCTCTGTGATTCCTCCTTCCCCCAAATGCAGCAAGAAGTAGAGAACTTCAAGAAGGTCAATATGATCAGCCGAGAACAGTTTGACACTTTGACTCCTGAGCCTCCCATTGATCCAAATCAGGAAGTTCCTCCAGGACCACCAAGGTTCCAACAAGGTAGGAGACAAAACCCTTTGCAGAATGCTCGGCGTTATCGTTTCGCTTACAGGAGGGTCTCGCCCAATAACACTTCCAACCATTTAAGTTACATTTCCATATTCTCTTATCTGCTCTGTTATTCCTGAGTTTGGACGTGCTAAGTCTAGCAACTATAATTACTTCAGAGTTGTGAGATTTGCAATTGCTGCCCCAAAATTGAGGGGAACATTTACTGAGGATAAATGTAAAAATTTAATTGGGACTGTAAAGATTTAATTCGGAATGAAATATAAAAACCTGTTTGTATTCGTTCATTTGTGTGTGTGTGTGTGTGTGTGTGTGTGTGTGTGTGCATTGGTTGATACTGTGTTTTAATGTTGTATCTATGTATTGTACAGTGTGTGTGTGTGTGTGTGTGTGTGTGTGTGTGTGTGTATTTCAGTGGTTCATATGACCATGCTGGTTAAAATAACAACAAATAGGAAGTTACTCTAGTATGTTTATTATCTTTACAGTCCTTATCCATTGTTTTGGTGGTGCTTTTATTTTTTATTTTTAAAGCACTCCCTGCCCCCCCCCGGGAAACTTATTCACTGTAATCAGTGCTATTTTTCTAGAAAAAGAGGTGCCAGAACTCACCATGAACTTCCTCCCTTGTTCTCTTACAATGGCAATGGCGCCCACCTGAGAGGTGCCGGAACTGAGTTCCAGTGAATTCTGGCTGGGAAAAAAGCCCTGACTATAATTTCCCTTGTGGCAGGTTATTAAGAGTCAGGAAGAAGTGTGTTTATGTGGCTGTTGGACATATATGCAGGAGAAGCTATAGAGATTTTGGTGTTGTTGTTTTAGTTCCTACAGATGCTCTGGCAAATAAGCTCTTTGGTGTGCCAGAGCCTTCAACCATTGCCCGATCTTTGCCAACAACTGTGCCAGAATCCCCAAACTATCGCAATGCCAGGACTCCCAGGACTCCTCGCACACCTCAACTGAAAGACCCAACACAGACGCCCCGTTTTTACCCAGTGGTTAAGGAAGGCAGGTTGATAGATGCCAAGGTAAGTCTTGCATACCAAAAGCTTTGCCTATGCCAAATGCATGTGCTTATGCTCAATGTATCTGTGATTCTTCTTGACTTGGAGACTGTAAGAAATACCAGTCTCCATTATGTCAACTGAGCCCCTGCTTCTTGCAGACGCCCCGGAAGAGGAAGACACGGCACAGTTCAAATCCTCCAATGGAATGTCACGTTGGTTGGGTGATGGATTCCCGGGAGCATAGACCTCGAACTGCATCCATAAGGTACTACAAAGACAGGCAGTTGATAATTCTCAGTGAAGTTTTAAAACAGGTGGCAGGGGGCATTAGATACAGATGAAAACAGATTTATTTATTTATTTGCAAAAGTTCTGTTTTTTTCACTCCCTCTTCTCCATATTAACTTAGTTTTCAGCATTTTCTCAGAAACATGCTTGCAGTCAGAGAAAATCCCCTTCTGAAGTTTAGTTGAACCTTATGTCATTTCTGTAGCATTCTGAATCCTTCAGTAATGCTTCGGAGTGCTTCTCTGACTCAAGTGTTTTCTCCTTGCTCAGTTCCAGCCCCTCAGAAGGCACACCAGCCATTGGCAGCTATGGCTGCACTCCACAATCGTTGCCCAAGTTCCAGCACCCCTCCCATGAACTCCTCAAGGAGAATGGCTTCACACAACATGTCTACCACAAGTATCGCCGGCGCTGCCTTAATGGTGAGTTGTATAGATACACTTGAAGTTGTCTAGATACTTGGCTTTTATGCAGGCCTTGATAGCAGTCAAGCTGGTGCTGAAGACAGCAATCATTTTTCTTAGTACAGTCAACTCGTAACAACTCATGCAATTTCAGCTTTATGCAGCTGGAAGCCTGCCAGTTGAAATCACACAAATTAAATGCACAGAAGGCAGGGAGCTTGAAAGCTTTTTGTGCAGGGTTTCCCAATGTGAAAGTAACTTTTAAGCGCTCTGCCTTGCTCTGGGAGGCTCTCGTGAGATCTTGTGTGGCTGTCCAAGATCTTGTGAGAGCCTCCTGCGGCCTGGAAGGGCCGGGGGCATGGAGGATGACCTGTTTGGCATGCTGGCTCCAGAAGGTAAGATTGCTTACGCAGGAGTGATTTCAAGGGGTTATTCTGACTATGCCCGCTACCCCCAGAACGTAACCCATGCGTAAGATGCAAGTTGACTGTAAGGCAAATGCTAGAACTGTATGTTTATGATATAGTATACTTTCTGAGTGGGAATGATAGACTCACCAGAGCAGGAATAGCTGGTGCTCCTCTAGCAGAATGTGAGCAGATAATCAGATGGCATCCAAAACTTGCATTCTTGGGTCTGTTTTGCAGCACACTGTCCGGTGCTGAATTTAGCGGCTTTTCAGCATTTCTGAAGAAGTTTAGTGATCTGTGAGCAGCACATCTGCATGATCTACAGCAGGCATGGACTCTAGTAATCTGGAGGAAGGACATCTGTGTTCTACACAGTTCTGTGACAAGAATGTGACTGAGTTGGTTATATTATATGATGTTTGAAGCCTTGCAAATCTAGTTTCTCCTTAATTTTAAAGCCATTCTATTTCCAGTAGTCATAGGATAGTTTCAAAGGTAGCTAGTCTTTGCTCCTTGCAGAATGATGACGTAGACTAAAGGAATGTCTACATATACTTGACTCCAATATGGAAAAGGATCGGGCATTCCCTGTGCTAAGGAATAAATAGAATACCAGTGGTTTTTTTGTTTGAAAGGGGAGATACTACGATGGAATCATGGAGAACCAGGGGATTTTATGATCCCCACTTTCAGGACAGGATGCAGTGTTTTAATTTGGGTGTACCATAAGCTGGTTCTTATGAGGTTTGCCTCTTTCCCCTTGAACAGAGCGGAAGCGACTGGGCATTGGTCAGTCCCAGGAGATGAATACGCTCTTCAGATTCTGGTCGTTTTTCCTTCGTGATCATTTCAACAAGAAAATGTACGAAGAGTTCAAGCAGTTGGCCTTGGAAGATGCAAAGGAAGGGTACAGGTAGGTCCTTGTGTCTTCAGAGCACCACCATAAGGTGGCTTGCATATTAAAGGGTGGAAAGGAGAAATGTGGGCTAGCTTAAATTGGTGAATATGGGGGAGCCCTTGTCTTCTGCAGGAAACATGAGATGTGTAATTTATCGGGACTTAATCAGGAAGAGAAATGCAGCGTGGAAGGCTCTTGGGGAGGAAAAGGGTACGGTTGGAGGCAAATGTTGATGAGGTGGATGTCATGGTCTTGCAGGTATGGACTGGAGTGCCTTTTCAGATATTATAGCTATGGACTGGAGAAGAAATTCCGACTTGACATATTTAAGGATTTCCAAGAAGAAACTATAAAAGATTATGAAGCTGGTAAGTGGGGGGTCTGACTGGCTGGTATTCCAGGTGCTTCCTTCTGTGCCATTGCGGTGGCAGTGATCTGTGAGGAATGATGCCTTGAATCGTTCAGCCTGTCTTTCGACTAAAAACATTCTTCTGTGATTCCAGACCCCTAATATAATGGGGGTTCTGAGGACATTGCGTGGTATCCAAATCTTTATTAAAGGATCTTGAACATGTTACAGCAGCCTGTCTTGTGGGGACATGATCACCCTTCTTGCTTTTAGAGAAGTCTCCCTTCCAGCAAAGGACTGGCACATTTCTTGACCCTCGTTCTTTCCCTTGAGCACCACTGCTTCTAGCACTGTTTAGATACTGTTAACATGCAGCAATTTGTAGTTGCAGAAGAATTCTATTCTGACATTTGGCTAGATTGCCGTTGTTTATTCATTCCAGCTTTTTACCGAAACTTGATAGTTACAGCTTTCCTCCTTTTCCCTTCCACTGTTGCTAAATGAGAGATTTTGGAAACTTCTTTGATGACAGGGTCTGACTTGTGTCTGTTTTGCTCCTTGTCTTAATAGGGCAGCTTTATGGGCTTGAAAAGTTTTGGGCCTTCTTAAAATATTCCAAAGCCAAAAACTTGGACATTGATTGCAAATTGCAAGAATACCTCAGCAAATTCCGACGCCTTGAAGACTTCCGAGTGGATGTAAGTAGAAGTAACTGTTTCTTGTAGTTTTCTACTAGACACTTGTAATGGATGCATCTTGTAGACCTGCAGGGGTCCATGGTGAATGTATCTTTTAAACAAAAGTTTACCTTAAATTCAGGTGTACAAAAAAATATAATCTCAACTTTTATAATCACATATTATAAACAATGCAATATCTCAGTAAAGCCACCTATTTAAATCTGCTTAAGTTAGTTTGTCAGTTAATAAACATTTTCTGAACCCTCAATTTTTATATTTATAACTATTTATGTATCAAATAGTTATTGTGCCTATTCTTTAGCACAGAATGCATATTTAAATGCACACATTTTACAACTCATTATAAAATAAGTGTGAAATTTGAAGGATATTTGTGTTTTAATCAGTATATTGATCTATGAGGTGTGAATGAGATCGGTTCTCTTTAAAATGGAACAAAATTCTCATCCAACCTTAATGCGCGGACACTACTAAAACATTGTGTTTGAGGTAACAGACTTCCATATAACTTAATATCTCTGATGGCTCATTCCTGTATGAAAGTTGGCATTCATTGTTGTGATCTTCAGGTGGTTGTGCATCATTGAACAGCACCCTAAGTCTCTCCCTGTGGTATTGCACTGAAGGGGGAGAAATTACTGCTTGAACCATCTCTTTGCTGTCTTACTGATTGCCCAGTTTTAGTATTGTGACCATCTTATGATTTGGTCATAGTCCACGTCCACACCAGAAATAAAAATGGGTTAATGATTCTGGCTTGAAGGCAAACTGTGGTTTATGATAACTGTAGTTTGTCCAATTCAGACGCCACAGCAAAATCTCTTTGCTGCAAACTGGTAAGTGAGGTAGAAAATCATAGTGCAAAGAATGCATAAGTTCAAAGTGCAGTTCCCAAGGGCAAACCTGAACCCGACTTAATTCTGTAGCCTGTGGCTGGAAGTAGTTGGTCAGATTAATTGGAAGTACAGTAGCAGCAGCATCCACTGGCACGGGGACTGATTACAGCTCTGTTGAGAGGCACAGTCCAATTCATTTCAGTCACCTCTCACATTCATCCTCTCTCTCTCTCTCTCTCTCTCTCTCTCTCTCTCTCTCTCACACACACACACACACACACACACACAGTCACTCCTTAAATTTCACCTCTAATATCTTCATATTGTCCATTGCCTTATATAAACGTTGCTTTAGAATCTCAAAAAAGCCTTCCTAAAAGAACACACAGGGCAGTCTTGTTACTCAGAGAGGTGTTCTTCAAAGCCTTGTATTCAGCTGACACAACTAGAGCTAATTGTATCTGATATTCTCACTTGCTTACCTTCTCTCCCTTTTCTATCTCTGTATGGGAGAATCTTTCATCTCCTGTACTTATCCCCAACCCAAATTGTATGGTACTTTTGCATCATTACTTTAGCTGCTATCCGCATTGTGTGTTACCTTTAGTTCAGTTCCTGCTTGTTAGCTATCTTCTATTTTGTTTTTGGTGAACAACCAGGATTTGGGGAACCTTTACTTTAAATGAAGCATGCTTGAGAGGGATGCCCAAGTGCTACATAATTATTTATTTTCTGTTACAGCCCCCTATAGGGGAAGAAGGTGGCCACAAGAGATACCCAGCAGCATTGGGAGTCGATGGAAGGAAGCGATACCCATCTCAGTCTTCCAGCAAACCTGTCACCCAGACCCCATCCCATCAAGTCTCTGTCTCATCCAACCAAGTCCCCACCTCATCTAGCCAGCCTGTTCAGGAGGATGCCAAAAACCTGAGCCAGCCACATGCAGTTTCTACAGCAACTGTAGAAACGCAAACAATAGGGAAATAAGACACACCAGAACTTCCAATGGAAAGGGGGCAGGGACACTTGAGGGAGTTGGAATGTGGGCATCCAAAACCAGGCTGCTTACCAGAGGTGGGGACTACAACGCACACAATTTCTCTTGCTGGCTGGGAAAACAAGACGAAGCAAGCTGAAAGCATCCTTTTCTTCGCTGTGATTAAGTTACTGATTGGAGCCACATCCACACATTTTCACGTCTTAGCGCCTTTCTGGGGTAGGGTTGGGAAGGGGGAGATTTTTATAAATATAAATATATATATATCTATATCAAGTTTTAAATTATTGATAGAAGTTTGTTTGGATAAACCAAAACAATTCTGCATCATGCGGCGACATGATCCAGCTCCTCCTCATCCCACCGATCAACTATGCAGCCCACTTGAAAGAAGCTGGAGGCGGTGGGCCGGACAGTGTGGTTCCATTTGGAATTTGCCTTCGGCTTTCTAAGTCCACCAGGCGCCTGTCATTCTGGTTATGACAATGCACAAGGAGTCCCTTTACCACCATCACAAGTATCACTTCTGTTACGGCTTCCCTTCCATGCTGCACACCTTTTCCATCACAGACTTGACTACTGGAAGTCAACCAAAGGACCCTAACGGAACATGGGCCCACCTCGCATTGGGCTCGCCCAGTTCCTTTGTGTGATGGGTAGAACATAAACTCGCACAGTGTCTCCCCTCACACAGGAATGCTACTCTCATGATGAGACTTCGCTAAAACAGCTTTCTCTTACAAAACAAAACAAAAACAAAAAAACCCCACAAAAAACTTGTTTTAAAAAAAAAGTCTGTCTTTGCTTCCTTCCTTGAAAATAATAAGTTGCCTTATTGTGGAGTTGGGAAATTGGAGGCATCCCTGACTTCTCTGAGCAAATTTGGAACATGGCATCTGCTTGGGACTCATCCGGGCTGTGATAATACCTACTGTTTCCGTGTCCAGTAGTGACTCTTGTCTGCAATGGCTGGTGATCTCCCCTCTGACCCAGCTGTGATTTGCATCGACTGGAACAGTACTGTTGATTTCTAGGTGAATGTTGTCTCAAGCCACCTAGACAGTTTATCTCTGGAGAAGGGGGTACTGGAGCACTAAAATCTAAGACTTCTGCTATTGTGTAGTTGGTGCTGATGTAAATGTGTCAACTTTTCTAGTGCCCTTCCTGCTACAGCAACTACACATGCTATTGCCTCACTCAGACCTCCAGGTGCACTGCCATTTTCCTCCCTCTCCCACCAGGGCAGGCCAGGCCAGGAACTAGCCTGTTGATCTCATGAACTCTTCCTATCCCATGGTAGGCAGGCAGATGTGCCAGGAATAGGTAATTGCACAGAGAAGATCCACTGGCACACATCCTTGCTCTTTAATATATATGGTTGAAGAATGTGTGTACAGAGAAATGAGCTTTAAAGCAAACAAGGTGGGATTTTTGTGTGTGGTGGTTTCCAAAAAAGAGGTGGCTTGCTAAGTGTTAACTTCCCTATGCAGGCCCTCCCTTTCTGTAGACTCTTGAATTACTGGCATGCTAGCCTGCCTGCCTGCCTTCCCTGGGTTGACCATGTAGCCACGGAGGACCCAGCTGTGTTTAGACTCTTCTCTAGCTACCAACACCTTGACTGTCTTGCATCATGAAATCACTTCATGTATTGGAACCATGTCCACTCATCCTGTGTCATAGAACTTTATACAAAGCACCATGATTGACTTAACTGCTCTTGGGTTAACTGCTTGGAACTAAGTCTGAGACTATTGGCAGTGTGTGACTGCATGGCTCTTGACATCTTAAAAGCAGCTGGTACTGGAGCTATAGAAGTGAACTTCAGAGAAGATGGAAGCATATGTGTACAGACAACTTGTTTCTGACAACATGCTTTATTGTTTCCTACATTTTGTTATATTGCCTAATGTACTGTCCCTGTTCTGCAAGCCAGAGATTTTAGTAGGAGATGGAAGAGCTGCGATTGCTTGGTCATTATGCCACCCAAGCTTGCCCTGTGACTCTAAAGAGGGATGAATGGTGGTGGCAATATTTCTATGTGGTCCTACACACAATGGCCTGGCTCCAAACAGTCTCCACCCTTCTTTCCCAGTAACGCATGATGCTGGAGGCACTTCCATGATGCTGGAGGCTGATACCTTCCTATCTGCAGCCACTCACATGCTCTGCTCTGGAGGATCCCACAGCCTTTTCTGGGTGTGGAGACTTATTGCCATAAAGGGTGCGAAGGAGCACCCTTACGCTACTTTGGATCCTAGACCATTGTTAGGGGTGGGGAGAGGAAGAGGTGTGTGTCATCAACACACATTTTAGAGGTTACATTGTAGGCCTGTTTCTCAGATTTTTAACATGCTGCAAAGAGTGTGGCAATGAGGCCTGTGTCAGGTAAGGATGTTTTTATTCCCAGCCAGTTGGAGCAACACTTTTTTACTTTAGGAATGCAGGGGATATGATGCTAGGGCGGTTGGTTGATTTCTGTCACTCCTCTTCTAGGATGTTGGTACTGCAGATGTAGATAATTGAGGACATGGGCCTTACTGCCTTAGGAGAGCCTGTTGTGTCTAGCTAATGTTATTTCATTTTAGCTGTGTCAAGCATGCTATTAATGGGAGTTTGTTATGGAGCAGTCTTGGGTGACCATGCAGTTAACTTGTGCCCTGTGGTTCTAGTTTTTTGCTGCATAAGTTGTGATCCTGTATTATATCAAACCCTCAGCCTCTCATTGTGGTACCATTAAAAGACATGAGCATTTCACCAGGTATGGCAGAATACCCACTGTGAGCTTTGCCGAGTGCATTGCAGTAGCAGAACCATGTTAACATGGAATTGGCAGTCAGAACTACTGCTGTCTTCTAATTTCGCTAGTACAACATGGTGCAATGAAGCTGCTTTTCTTGTTTGGCAGGATTTCAATTGGTAATGGGCTGAAATCCTAACTTCTGTAACTTGATCACAATTCAGTTTTGAATAAGGCAAAGCATGTATTGGGGAACTGCTGCTTGTGAGACAGGAGTATGTGTTCAGGCTTGATGACATAGTGAGGTTAACCAGAGCATTTTTGTTTAAAGGTTTCATCTTTGAAAGGAAATGGTCTTTGAACTTTCATCCATGATGAGTGCTGAAGTCTTGCTCTAAAAATGGTTTGTCTGTTTCATTTCAGTGATAAGCTGCTTGTCTTTGCTGATGAAGAACTGAAGGCAAACAATTGTTGGTGGTGTAGAAAAGCATTCTGGTGTGGTATAGGAGATCAGTTAAGGATGCAGGGTTAGTTTGTGGAAAGAGGAGATAAGAATCTCATATTGATTCCTCTGTGGATGTCCCAGGATATACCATGAAATGGGACCACAAAGTTCTTACCCACCGTTCAAGCGACAAGCTGAAGGTACTTGCTTACTTGAAGGGAGCGTAGCCTTTTGGAACCTTGATGGGTCAGTCTCCTGCATCATCTTGACATGACAATGGCCGCATGTGTTTGTAGACACGTTACTGTTAGTATGCACATCCAGTGCCTTGGCTGTTCAGTGCCAGAAAGTCATAGCATTATTCCTATAAAGATGGTATCCAGCTTTCTGTGTGAGTATTGGTACACTCAGTTTTCACCACCCTGGTTCAAAGTTTCCCTACAATTTGGGAAGAGAGTATAGTAACGATTTTGTTTCAACGTTATGTCTTGGTTTTTAAAGCAGACCAAGTCAATGGACACTGGTATCCTGTCCCTCAAACATATGCAGTGGTAGTTCTAGTCTTGTTGTTTTTAGGAAGCCACCAGCTATTGCCCAATGTATGAGACTTAGGTTAAAACAGAAAGTGTTTTCCAGTGGGAACTCAAGCAGTCTTATAGGTAAGCAGGATCTTTAAAGAAGTGTCATCCTAGGTAGCTGACCTCTGGGCAGGGTAATAGGGTGGGGGTCTGAAATCTGGTTTAGGACATACAGGGAAAGTAAGTGACCTTTATTAGGTGTTGGTGCTCAGTCTGTCCTTAGCCCCTTTCTGCTCCTTCTCCCACTTTTGCAGCTGTTGGGTTGCTCCAGTTCTGTACTTGTCCATCTTGCTTCTAGTTGGTTAGTTGAATGTACCGTTAACACATGACACAGTAACCTCAGTACTCTTCCATAACATTTGTGTTGTTGTTTTTAATAGAGTAATGGGATGGGAGCCATCTTTCATGCCTTGCTCATTTTTCTTTTAAGCAAAAACAATCAAATCTGTTAACGCAGCAAACTCTGCCGTGCTCTATTATCTCTCCATATGGATCCTCTTCTGAAACTTGGATTTGTCAATAACTTTTTAAAAATCAGCTAGGTTTTTAGAAGGGATGGGTAGCTACATTGTTAAATGCCTCAGTTATTTTTTTTAATCAAATTTCATATATGAGTGGTTTTATGGGGGGGTGGCGGGAAATTTCATCTCAGCAACATGGGTTTGGACAAAGTGGTTTTTTAAATTAAAAAATTCTAAGGATAACATTTCTGTTAGTTTACATTTTAACTTTCTGAAGACACTTGAACATAGGACCGATGTATCTGTGATGAGGACACCCTATGGTTGGAAGCATCGAAAGGGCATGGGTTTAACCATCCTTTTTTGGTTTTACAGACTTTGTTCTTCCAAGTCTGGCCTTCTGTTGCCCTTCTTTTTTGTTTATTTCCTCAATGGTATTGTTCCTGTATCTATTTGTCCTCCTTCCCAGAATATAGATCTTGGTACAACAGGGTGGTCTGGGTCACTGATATCCTTTGGAAAATGGATTTCAATGTCCTTGGCAGAAGCTTTTGCCCACCAGAGCCTTCCTGCTGTAACATTGCCATGTGCTATAAAACAGGAATGGCTGAATTCTCCTCTCATCGTTGGCTTTGTCCCTGCAGTGGTGCACTACCGTGGTGGTTGGGATTTCCAGCCTATGAAACTGTGACTCAGAAGTCAACACTGAGCTTTAAATGGTGGTGGTTGGAGCTTCCTTAGTGTGAAGTTGTGTTAAGCTGCTAAAAAAAACAAAAAACAACCCTTCAGATGAGGAACCTGCAAAAAGATGCAATGATTGTTTTGTATAGATGTCTGATAACGCCATCACAGTAGGAAAAGAACCATCAGTTTGTTTGGTTTGCTTGCTCTGCCTGAGCAGGCTTGTATGTATTCATGCTCCAACCTTGCCCCTTCTGCTAAAACAAAACCCCAGAAGTGTTTGTAATCACTTTCAGCTGTATTTATTATTGAGAGAACTTTTAAACCAACTGTTACCGTATATCACCTGGGAGGAAAAGATCTTGTTAATATGGCCCACCATACACAATCCCATCTGTTAATAGTATGTAAATCTTAACCCATGTGCTAGGATCATCATCACATTGGGGGAGGGGGAGGGGGGACAGGGGAAGGAAGAGGAAACAAATTGTAAAATACTTGAATGAGAGCCTGTATTATAAACAGTAATATTATTCAGAGTATCTGCTTTCTAGGCTGATGTGACTCATTATTCTAGTAGTGCTTTAGTCCTTTGTAATTTGTGGTAATTATGCTTTTTCCTTTTTAATACAAAAATGTATAAAAATAAAAACCTCAAAAGACCATGCAATTTGCACACTCTTGTTTCTACCTTGAGGCTATTTCTACTAATGGCAACCACATGTGGACCAGAGAACTGGGAGATGCATGATATGATGATGTAATGGCAGAATAAGTGTGCTAAAAATGTTACTTTTCAAGATGAATGTCCTTTTGCACTTTCAGCATTATGTACTCTAGCAAGATTCCTGGTTGCCTACGTTATTTAAACTGTTCTTCAAAGAATGAAAAATGAGGCAAAGAAGCAACCTGTGTATATGCCACTTTTGATTATAGACTCAAATGACTAAATGGGCCTCCATACAAAAAAAAGTATTACTGCACACCAACAGCTAAATATTTGGAATAGATCATTGTACTGTAGCATTCTCCAGGAATGAATAATTAAGCTCTTAAGTTTAGGGATGTTTTACTGTAGGACTCAAGCCTCTTGTATGTCTTCTGCCTAGAGTGGCACAGTGATATTTATTGCCTCATCTGCTGTTCCTTGAGGACTAGGCCCATGTGGAAGTAAAACGAGAATGGTTGTGTTTGCTTTCCATTCCAGGGTCACCAAACAGCTAATGAGTTTTAGTGAGTATAAAAGATGATCATCATAATGCTCTCTTTGGCTATGTTAATTAACTCCACTATCTCTTTAAAAATCTTCAATTGTTACTTGGAGAGGCATGGCTTACAATGATATTTATTTACCGTATTTTTTGCTCTATAAGACTCACTTTTTCCCTCCTGAAAAGTAAGGTGAAATGTGTGTGCGTCTTATGGAGCGAATGCAGGCTGCGCAGCTATCACAGAAGCCAGAACAGCAAGAGGGGGTTGCTGCTTTCACTGCGCAGCGATCCCTCTTGCTCTTCTGGCTTCTGAGATTCAGAATATTTTTTTTCTTGTTTTCCTCCTCCAAAACCAAGGTGCGTCTTGTGGTCTGGTGCGTCTTATAGAGCAAAAAATACGGTATATCCACATTTTCCCCTGATTGATTCAATGTGCCCTACAGCTAAAACAGAAACAGCTGCAAACATAAGGAAAAATAGAAATAAAAAAAATCAATTAAACATAGATAGAAATCTTTAATAGATCATATAGAGTGATAAAACTTTACCCCCCACCGCCTTTTTTACAGTTAAGCAGCACAAGAACTTCTTGCTATACAACAGCATGATGCCTTACATTGTACTGTTCAGTAGGACTACTCATTCAGCTTGGTACTCTGGGAGAAGGCAGATTTCAGTCCCCTGCTTTCTTCTGAGATTAGGAATACCGTATTTTTCTGTGTATAAGACACCCCCATGTATTTGACGAGCTCTATTTTTTAAAACCGAAATTAAGTTGTTTAGCTTTTTTGGGGTGTGGGTCAATTGCTCACCCGCCTGCCCGCCACTGCCGACCACTTGCCACAGCCACTGCTGATCACGCACCTTGCTGCAGCCAATTGTCTGCCCACTTGCCGCAACTAACAGCCCACCCACCCACAGCCACCAATTGCCTGCCAATTGCCACAGCCAATTGCCAGCAGGCCTTGTAGCCACCAATCACCTGCCCAATCGCCACTGCCAATCTTCTGCTTGCTGCTTCCATTAATCACACGTCCCCATCTGCATTCACTATCCATGTATAAGATGACACCCAATTTTTGCCCTTTTTTTTAGCAAAAAACATCCTCTTATACACAGGAAAATACGGTAAATGCTCTTGAATGTCCCTGCTTTTGGTCCTTTGTTGAGTCAGGCTGAAATTCTAACTTGGAATTCTATGAGAGTTGGTTGTTTTCTGTAAGCCAGAAAGTATATTCTCTCACCTCCAGCACCCTTTGTTATACAGTACTTTTAGCTGTTTGCTTTCCTTGGTCAACCACAACCATTTCTGTAGATCAGGGGTCTGCAACCTTTAAGACAAAAAGAGCCACTTGGACCCGTTTCCGAAGAAAAAAAAACTGGGAGCCGCAAAACCATTGCGACATTTAAAACAAATTTATCTCCGGAGCCGCGATCTGACAGCGGGCGGGAAGGTGACGGGACAGTGCGTGACTAACGCACGCCCCGCCCCCATGCAACGTTACAGCCAGTACAGTGCCCGCCACAGTGGGGAGTGTCGGGGGCGCACAATGCGCCTCCTCCCCTTGCTAGTATCCGCCCCGGAGCCGCGGCAAAGGTGTAAAAGAGCCACATGCGGCTCCGGAGCCGTGGGTTGCCTACCCCTGCTGTAGATGCTACCATTCATTCATCTGTCATGGTGCTCTACAAACATGAGTGTTACCCTGATCCTTTTCAGAGGCTGTGTTATAGGTCAAGCTGTCTCTTGCCAATGAAAACATGAAACCTGCCACAATACTCTTGTAGAGTGCCTTGCGAGAAAATCTGATATCTCCTGATTCTTGTGATTATCTGGATGATGGCGAAGGAAATAAGCTGCACTTAAGGGTCACTCTGATTTCTTAGGACAATCAGGAATGCTTTCAGTGAGGGGGGTGAAGCTCAACAGAACTGTGTGTCTCTCGTAGGCCTTTGATTGCTTGAACAACAGATCTGTTCCATGCAGGCGGTCCAGCACACCCAAGACACCATAGCACTGATTGAATCTGGTGAAAAATAAAGGGAAATAATTACATACTTATAATGGTGAACATACTGTAATAATGTAGGCGTTTCCCTTCCATTCAACCCTGACTTAATCATTTAAATTTTGATCGTCCATATTGTTTTGTACCATATTGTTGCTTTGAAGTTCTCTGCCATCTGAAAGCAGGATGAGGTGGGGGGCCTTGCATGTTTAAATTTTCTAGTTTTAAATAGATATGTTTGCGCAATAGTGACTTATCAGGTTTGTGAATGTTGTATACAGAAGGTTTTTTAATTTAAAAAGCCCAAAGTTTTTTTAAACACCCCACCCCACCCTGCAAAAAACAAAACCCAACCCCATAAAACTGCTATTTGCATTGGGAGGGAAACTTTCTATTGCTGCTTCCCCCACCCCCAACACAAATAACTCTGGCAATGGCTTTAGTTGCAAAGAGCATATTGGAAGAGTAAAACACTGCTGTTATTGAAAGTAGAAACACTACACTTAAGTGTAATGTGACTCACAGAGCCAGAGTAGGAAATCAGTGGACCTCTAGATATTGTTGAAGCTCAATTTCTACCACCCCTGATCATTGGCCATGCTGGCTGGTGCTGATGGGAATTGGCAGTGATCTGGAGGGCCACAGATTGCCTTAGAGGTAATATTTATATGAGTGCCTGTTGGGGAATATTTCATCCCATGGATAGCAGTATAGTTTGCCTAGACCAAATTCATTTCTGGCAGCGTGAGACCAGTTACATAAAGCCACAATAAGTAGCTGAGCACAGAGCGCAGAAGAGTATTTCCCCCACCCCCACCCCAGAAAACAAGATATGCCTGAAGATTTTGAGTACTTTCATATGCTAGGATAATAGTGGGTTTGGGGGGGAGGGGGGTATGGAAAGCATTAGAATAGATATTACAGAGATGCTGTGGCGAAAAGTTAGGATCTTCTTGTGTGTTGAACTTCAGCCAAGGCTTAGACAACGGTCCTAAGAATGCTGACAAAATTAAGTCCGTTCCAGCAGCTGTATGCATCAACCCGCCCCCAGTCCCCATTCTGAGTGAGGGAAATGTGGCCTGTAAGAACAAAATCTAATTACTTGAGGTGATGATAGTCATGGAACTCTGGTGAGGGCAGGAAAGGTAAATGGTAGCCACAGTGAGAAATGGTGGTGGCCAGAAAGGCAAGGGAGTGCCAAACCATGATGAATGTAACATGAGATCCCATGAGGATTGGGCCAGTCATCACAGGCAGCATGTTGGAAACCTGGAATATAAGTGCAGATTCATAATGGTGAACATGTACATAGAAAATATTCCTAAACAGAGGGTGGTGAGCTTCAAAGATTGATGCTCCACTGTTGAAAAGCTGGTGCTTTGAGTGTCATATATATTCTATGTGCAGATAAAAGGGTTTATTCAAAGAGATCTGCTGGGCGTTTTAACATCTGACGCTGCATATTGGTTGCAAATCTCCTTTGACGTTACTCCCCCGCTCCAAAAGTGCTTTAGTGCTAACCTGGTTCTGCCCTGGGCACTTGCTAACGTGAAAGAAGCAGCCGTGTCAAATTAATGGAAGGAAGAACCGTAGGCCTGGTCTCCCTCATACTTCATTGATATGCCAGGGTGGGTGAGTAGCAATTGAAGTCCATAAGCGGGAACAGGAGACTAGTAGGGCTACCTTTTGTATGCCTTATTTTACACCATCTTATTCCCAGAACCATGATTGGCTCGTATTACTTATTTTTGTCTGACATATGTCATCTATTCTCTTCTCAGCCTGTTGTGAGAGATCCCTTTTGAGGCAGCAGAGGAAAAGGAAATCATTCTGGATAGCTCAGTTGGTTAGAGCGTGGTGCTGATAGCACCAAGGTTGCAGGTTCGATCGCCAGATGGGACAGCTGCTTATTCCTGCAATGCAGGGTGTTGGATTAAATGATCCTCAGGGTCCCTTCCAACTCTTTAATTCTGATTCCTGTAACCCCCTCCGATTTTTTTAAAACGGTCAAAAGAGACAGGTTCTTACAGGATCACCTAAGTTGCTGCGTAATTCTACTAGGGTGAGATGAGTCACTTTAGAAATAGTCACCTTACTCAATAAGGAAAGCTGTTCCAACTCAAATGGGCAGACCAGTTCACTTAGCCTGTGGATATGGCCTGTGGATATGGCCAGCCAGAAGCCTGTGGATATGGCCTGTGGATATGGCCAGCCAGAAGCAGTGGCTTAGAGAGGTCCTTAAGAATGTTCACACTTCAGCTCTCCCCACCCCTTTCCACTATCTCTCTTCTGTTCCCCCAAAGGCCATCTGTAGTCAGCTACCTTCTGGTCTTTCACCCATTAGGTCATCCAGCTGAGTCATTCAGTTTCTCCCAGTTTTCCTGAGATACTCGAGGCAGCTTCTAGCTCCCTGGCAGAAGTGCACTGCAGAGGGTTTTCAATAATTAGTACTGCTATCCTTGCTGGCTAAAGGAGTCATGTTGCCCACCTGCAATAAAACTACTTTTTAATATCCCCAAACAGACAACTAAGGTCTCCTAAGAAAATAATGGGATATGCAGTACTTAAACTTGTTTGTATATTTTAAGGGACAGTAGTTCCACGCTAGGGACGCGGGTGGCACTGTGGTCTAAACCACTGAGCCTTGGGCTTGCCGATCAGAAGGTCGGTGGCTTAAATCCCAGTGACGGGGTGAGCTCCCGTTGCTCTGTTCCAGCTCCTGCCAACCTAGCAGTTCGAAAGCACATCAAAATGCAAGTAGATAAATAGGTAGCACTCCAGCAGGAAGCTAAACGGTGTTTCCATGCGCTCCTCTGGTTTCGGTGTTCTGTTGCACCAGAAGCAGCTTAGTCATGCTGGCCACATGACCTGGAAAAACTGTCTGCGGACAAACACCGGCTCCCTCGGCCAGTAAAGCGAGATGAGCACTGCAACCCCAGAGTCATTCATGACTGAACTTAACTGTCAGAGGTCCTTTACCTTTACCTTTAGTTCCACCTTGCCTTAAAGTAGAGTCCTACACCTAGACTGTACCATTTTGGTTATAAAGCAGAGGTGGTTTTGAGAGTCATCCTCCTGCGTCTCTCTCATTCCACTGTGGTCAGTGAATGGGAATGCCTGACTGGCACCTCATAGGAACCTTCCTGAAGCAGACGGAAATGCCTCTGAGAAGATTCACAGCTAAGAACATTATTTTCTGTGGTCTCTGTGCAGTCTATACAGATTTTATGCCTATGCAGAGGTATATTGGAACATTTTATTTTTTTTATATGAGCACTTAGCAATTGTCTAAACCACTGAGCCTTTCGGGGGGTGCTGATAGTAAGGTCAGCAGTTTGAATCCATGCAATGGGGTGAGCTCCTGTTGCTTTGTCCCAGCTCCTGCCAACCCAGGAATTGAAAAGCATACCAGCACGAGTAGATAAATAGGTACCACTGCAGCGGGAAGGTAAACAGCGTTTCCATGCACTCTGGCACTCATCATGGTGTTCTGGGCACCAGAAGCATTTTAGTCATGCTGGCTACATGACCCAGAAAAGCTGTCTGCTGACAAACACCGGCACCCTCGGCCTGAAAATGGAGATAAGCCCTGCACCCCATAGTTGCCGTTGACTGGACTTAACCGTCAAGAGGTCCTTTACTATCAATAATCAACAAAACTCAATTTTTTTTACTTCATTATGCAAGGAAATTTTCAGTTAACACAGAATTGCAGTATTTCTACTAAAAATATTTCAAAACCTACTTGAATTTTCTTTCGCAGGAGGTAATTATTTTTTCAATAATATTTTATCAAGGGCAACCAGTTTTCCCAGAATAGACCCTTGCCAATATAAGTAAGCTGCTTAAATAAGATGTTGTTTTGCCAATATTACCTAATCCGAAACTTTATTAAGCCATGCAGCTCAGATATTGCAATGGTTCATTAGACTTCCTTCAGCTGCCAGTTGTGCCACTTACCACATGCTCAATTGGATGAGCATAGATAGAAGTTACACCGATAGGAGCGGTCCATTCATGGTGCTTTTTATGAATGTGTTTGTATAGGAGAGGGTGATGAAGAAGCCTGCAGGTGAAGAAGCAGAGACAATGTGCCATATTTTATCTGTGGGCAGAACAGCTGGTGTTGAGACACCATGCAAGGCAGCTACTGTATTTACTCGAGTCTAATGCACAATTGAATCTAATGCGCACCTCAATTTTCAGAACCTTAAAGCCAAAAAAGGTATTTGCTGGCGAATGTAAATATGCCATCGAATCTAATGCACACCTTAATTTTCGCAATGTAATTTGGCCAAAAAAGGTGAGCATTAGATTCGAGTAAATACAAGGGGATGGGGATAACAGCATGATTACTTCACACTACATGTGCAATTGTGGCAACTACACTTCAGTAAAACAACCACCACCACTATCTAATCTATCGCATCCTGTTAGCTATGTTTAACTAGGAAATAACTTTTTTGAAGGTGTGGAAACCGGAGCCTTAAAATGCCAGTCTAAATTTAGCCTGTAGAATACTGCACATTAGAAGAAGAGGAGGAGGAGGAGTTTGGATTTGATATCCCGCCTTTCACTCCCCTTCAGGAGTCTCAAAGCGGCTAACATTCTCCTTTCCCTTCCTCCCCCACAACAAACACTATGCGAGGTGAGTGGGGCTGAGAGACTTCAGAGAAGTGTGACTGGCCCAAGGTCACCCAGCAGCTGCATGTGGAGGAGCAGGGAATCGAACCCAGTTCACCAAATTACGAGTCCACCGCTCTTAGCCACTACACCACACTGGCTCTCCCAGGAGGGAAGCCCAGCATGTTACCTCAATGTAATGTGCGCCTTACCGGTGAGAGTAATAGAAGAGAATTTCCTCCAATAGCGTAAAGATTGCCAGCTCGAGAAGAAACCTATGGAAAGTGGGCAAGTGCAAACTACATGGCTCCCCCCTCCATTTCATGATAGGGAGCATGAGGATAATCATGGGCAGAGAGATGAAAACATCATTGAACAGGGCTGTTCGTATGGCATTCTGCAGTTTTTTTCTGTCCACCTAGGGGGAGAGGCAAAATGAACCTGGGTCAAAATGTGGAACAGCACCGCCTATGCTGGGAGGAACATTCTGCAAGCCTGGAAGACTCTTGGCTACAGTTAGAGGCTTGAAGGGGCTTTTCCTCTCTACTTGCCAAATAAAAAGGCTTTACCGTATTTTTTGCACCATAACACTCACTTTTTTCCTCCTAGAAAGTAAGGGGAAATGCCTGTGCGTGTTATGGAGCGAATGCCTACGGATGGCGGGGGGATCTGCTGCAGTCGTGAGCAGAGGATCCATGGTTCCCCTTCCTTTCCTCCCCGTGGCTCGCTTTGAAACAGCAAAGCAGGAGAAGAGCCACTGAGTGGGGAGGAGAGAGGGACAGAGAGCCTGCTTTAAAGGAGCAAAGTGAGAGAGGAGAGGAGCCGCTTACATGAGTGTAAGCGCTTCCTGTCCGGTTGGCTCCTTTAAAGCAAGCGGGCTCTCTGTCCCTCTCTCCTCCCCACTTGCTAAATAGCAGCAAAGTTTTTCGCAAGCAGGCTCTCTGTCCCTCTCTCCTCCCCACTTGCTAAATAGCAGCAAAGTTTTTCGCAAGCAGGCTCTCTGTCCCTCTCTCCTCCCCACTCGCTAAATAACAGCAAAGTTTGTTCGCAAACAGGCTCTCTGTCCCTCTCTCCTCCCCACTCCTCCTATAAGAGCCTTCTCCTCTTATACCCCTCTTCTGCATTATTAACAGCATCCTTCTCCACCCACCCCACGCGTGTTCCTTGTCCCTTGAGTGATTTTCCTTCCCTCCCCACTTAAAACGTGGTTACAAAGCACGGATCCACATGGTTCCTCAGGATTTTTGCACTGGGTCACCCCAAATTCACCATCAGATCACATAGCATGTCCATGGCTACAGCTTGTACCAAAAAAATCACGCACCCACTGTTGCCTGGGGCCGCAGTGGTGCAAAAACGCGGTTACAAAGCACAGATCCACATGGATCCTCAGGATTTTTGCATTGGGCTACCCCAAACTCACTGTCAGATCACATGACTGTGGCCACAGCATGAACCACAAAAATCATACATCCACTGTTTAGTTTAGAATATTTTTTTTCTTGTTTTCCTCTAAAAACTATGTGCGTGTTATGGTCGGGTGCATGTTATAGAGCGAAAAATACGGTAAGTTCTAAATCTTCAGTCACTGCATATTCAGGCTTCATGGTCCTTGTGGAGCAATTAGGATAAAGGCACAGGAACAACACTGATGCTTTTTTTGTGGGACTGGGAAACAGTTCTCTTATTTTATTGAAGGTGCATCTTCTGTTAGGACAATTGGGACGATAAATTTACCCACCACTATAAAGAAAATGTTAGAATAACTAGCAGTCACTAAAAATGCCGCCGTCTTCCGCTCCAATTTTTAAATGTCTGCTGAAAACATTTTTATTCCGTAGGGCCTATGCAGGGAGTTGAAGCTCACTCTGAATGTGACCTTGGGCCAATCACTTTCTATCCTCAGTCTACGCTATTGCACAGAGCTAACGAAGGGAAGAAGACACTTCCTGGAGAAACAGATAAAAATAACAAAATGATATCTACCCAAATCAACATATTTTTAACTGCTGGATGTATCCCCTGACAAAGGCTAGAAAGGCTATCTGTGATGGGGAGGAATCAACAGCTCCCACTCAGAACAAACAAACACAGGGCTGCCATATTTGTGCAAGAAAATACCCACAGGATCATTCTTTCCCAACTGAATGCGGTATTGGGTGATGAAACTCGGCTTCCCAGTCACATCTGCTACCATCAAGATTCCATTGAAGCTCCAAAAAACCAGGACAGGAATTATTCCAGTGCCTGTAGTACAAGAAGAGGGAAAGAGTGAATGGGGACAGGAGGGCTTCTTTTGGGCTCAGACACAAGAGATGGAACCTAAACTTCCTAACCAGAGGACAGCAGCTCAATAAGAAAAGGATAAGAGCAGGAAATGAGCGGCATGGGAAGAGACCACAGTCATAGACGTTGTTCAAATGGACAAGCGGAAGGGAGAGACTAATTCTATTTTTGTCGACTGAATTTCATTGTGGCTTTCACTTGAGCAATTGCTAGAGCTTACGTTACTAGAGACTCTTACGTTCACGCCTGATGCTTCATAGTAGGAGTAGGGAACTTGTGGCCCTACAGATATTCTTGGAGTACAACTCCCTGAGCATTGGCCATGCTGGCTGGGGCTGATAGGAGTTGTGGTCCAACATCCTCTGGAGCAGGGGTCAGCAACCTAAGGCCCACAAGCGGCCCACAGGGGTCATTTAACTGGCCCACGAGCCGCCCGCTCGGAGAGTCCCCGCATGCTGCGCTAAACCGGCGCAGCGCTGAAAATTGCATCTGCGCATAACGCAGATGTTGGAAATTGTGCGCGATCCAGCCCATGGAGGGATCTACTGAAGTGAACCAGCTCAGGCGAGGTAAACCTTGCTGACCCCTGCTCTGGAAGGCCACAAGTTCCCCTGCTATTTGCATTATACCAGTGGGGGCTACATAGGAAGAGATGCAAAAGGTTCCTTGGTGAGATGCAGCACCATAACAACAACAACAACAACAACCTTATTATTTATACCCCACCCATAATAATAATACAGCAACAAAACATCAAAAATTAAAAACTTCCTTAAAAAGGGCTGCCTTTAGATGTCTTCTAAAAGTCAGATAGTTGTTTATTTCCTTGACATCTGATGGGAGGGCATTCCACAGGGTGGGCACCACTACCAAGAAGGCCCTCTGCCTGGTTCCCGGTAACCTCACTTCTCGCAGTGAGGGAACCACCAGAAGGCCCTCGGTGCTGGACCTCAGTGTCTGGGCTGAACGATGGGGGTGGAGACGCTCCTTCAGGTATGCTGGGCCGAGGCTGTTTAGGGCTTTAAAGGTGAGCACCAACTCTTTGAATTGTGTTCAGAAACGTACTGGGAGCCAATGTAGGTCTTTCAGAATCGGTGTTACATGGTCTCGGCGGCCACTCCCAGTCACCAGTCTAGCTGCCGCATTCTGGATTAGTTGTAGTTTCCATGTCACCTTCAAAGGTAGCCCCACATAGAGCACGTTGCAGTAGTCCAAGCGGGAGATAACTAGAGCACATACCACTCTGATGAGACAGTCTGTGAGCAGGCAGGATCTCAGCCTGCATACCAGGTGGAGCTGGTAGACAACTGTCCTGGACACAGAATTGATCTGCGCCTCCATGGACAGCTGTGAGTTCAAAATGACTCCCAACTTCCTTCCATGAACGACGAGTGTTGTATCAGTAGGCAGAGTACTGTTGTGAGTTTGTAGGGTGTGAGGCACCATAATGTTCCAATAAAATTAGAATTAATGAAGGGTTGGAGAGTTAATCTGTGCCCTGGCCACAGCCCCAAACATTTAAATTAAGTCACCTCACATAACTCTGCATGTTGTGAAGGAAAGGAGGAATAGGGACAGTATGTATTACTGGGCAATCAGGACGTTTTGCCTAACTTATGTATCAGCAAGCTTGGCTTCAATGGGGCACACGCCCAATGGTGAACAGATATGACAAGGTATTATCTTACAGGAATACTTTTATATTCAAAACCACCCTTATACATAGATAAGAAATGAGCTTATTATAAGTATTACTATTTCTGCCTTTTCCCCCAATTTGAGACTCAGGCAGCTTACACAGATAAAATAGAACAAGTTAAAAACATAGAAAAGACCATTATTAAAATGGAATTAAATACTAACAGAATTGAAAGAGCCATTAAAAACACAGACAGTAACTGACTTCAGTTCAAAGTGACTCACAAACTATGAAAATCGCCCATTCATTTCTGCCTAGGAGGTGGTACAAGTTCTCCCACTGAGTCTGCCAGAACAAGCCAGAGGCTCCCCAGAATTTCTCCAGGTGCCTGAAACACAAAAGAGATCCTGTGACAGTAGTAGTTGCTGCTTTCCTTTTGGCCAAACCATTATTGAGCTCCAGGGACCTGGTGGACTTACCATGTGACTGAGTTCCTGAAAGCAACAAACATGAGCAGGGCAGGACCCAGTATAAAGGCAGCGATCTTCATCGAATCCCAGAACTTCCATACCTGAGAATACAAGAAAACACAAGGACATATTCAATGTCAATAAGCCAAAAAATGGAGAGAATGAGAGGCACAGAATAGGGGAATCTAGCAAGTATGAATGTACTTTAAAGGAGTTATATAAAACCTTGGAAAGGCTGACAGAACTTACACCCCGCTCATCCACTCTCCAAAAAGCTACTGCTCCTTGCCTTGGGGAAAGACAGACTGGAAGCTCTGCAGGTGTTTGCTCTCAACCTCCTTCCATGAATGACAAGTGTTATATCAATAGGCAGAGTACTGTTGTGGGTTTGTAGGGTGCGAGGCACCCTAATTAGAATTAATGAAGGGTTGGAGAGTCAGTCTCTGGTTTGGATGCAGCTCATGTTGATTATTACGTAAGCAAAGCCTGGTGATAACCTGGAAGATTAATTTTTAATCCAGGCCCATAAAGTGCAAGGCAATGGCTAGAGCCCTGCCCTGAGCCCTGGGTTAGCCAGAAAGACAGTGCCAGAGTGGGGAGGGGGTAGGTTCACGATTGCTGTGGGCAACAATGCACCGTATCTTTCACTCCATAAGACGCACCTGACTATAAGACGCACCTAGTTTTTAGAGGAGCAAAACAAGAAAAAAATATTATGAACGAAACAGTGGATGTATGATTTTTGTGGTTCATGCTGTGGCCACAGACACGATATGTGATTTGACGGTGAGTTTGGGGTAGCCCAATGCAAAAATCCTGAGAATCCATGTGGATCCGTGCTTTGTAACCACGTTTTTGCGCCATTGCGACCCCACGAAACAGTGGGTGCATGTTTTTTTGGGTGCAGGCTGTAGCCATGGACATGCTATGGGATTTGATGGTTAATTTGGGGTGACCCAATGCAAAAATCCTGAGGATCCATGTGCTTTTACCTCCCCGCTTCCAGGCAGCCTCCTTTATCGCTAGCGTCCCTTATCTCTCTCCTGATCGCTTGCTGATCAGCTGCTCAGTGGCTTCGTTTCAACACCCCCTTCCCTCTTGTTTGCCCTAGCATCTTTTCCTTAGCTGGAACAGTTTTATCCTTTTTCTTTTCTTCTAATTTCTCTCCTCATTGCTTGTTTTAGTACAGTGGTACCTCAGGTTACATACGCTTCAGGTTACATGTGCTTCAGGTTACAGACTCCGCTAACCCAGAAATAGTATCTCAGGTTAAGAACTTTGCTACAGGATGAGAACAGAAATCATGCTCTGGCGGCACAGCAGCAGCAGGAGGGCCCATTAGCTAAAGTGGTGCTTCAGGTTAAGAACAGTTTCAGGTTAAGAACGGACCTCCGGAATGAATTAAATATGTAACCAGAGGTACCACTGTATTCCTGTCTCCTCTCCTTGCAAGTTTGCTGTCTTTACGTTCCCACTCCCAGGCAGCCTCCTTTCTCGCTAGAGTCCCTTATCTCCCTGCAGATCAGCGGCTTCCCTCTTTCTAAAAGAGGGCCCCTCCCTCAGCCCCTTCCCTCTTTCTAAAAAAAAAAAAAAAAAGGTATGATCTGCTTTTCGCCCCGGGCAATTCAGCTCCAGGGACCACACACTCGCTCCATAAGACGCACAGACATTTCCCCTTACTTTTTAGGAGGAAAAAAGTGTGTCTTATGGAGCAAAAAATACGGTAAGCTAAAGGAAAAACGGTTGTGCTTTGCAGGAAGTTTCCAAGCTGTAGAAAGGGGAATCAGAGCAATGTGGGATGACAGTTTGAATCCAAGCAGCAGCCATGGAAGAAACGGAACCCGCTTGGAGGGTAATGTTTTTTACCTCCCAATGTAGGCTCAGGTATGTATACCGTATTTTTCGCTCGATAACACGCACCTGACCATAACACGCACATAGTTTTTAGAGAAGGAAAACAAGAAAAAAAATTCTGAATGAAACAGTGGATGTATCATTTTTGTGCTTCATGCTGTGGTCACAGACATGTGATTTGACGGTGAGTTTGGGGTAGCCCAATGCAAAGATCCTGAGGATCCATGTGGATCCGTGCTTTGTAACCACGTTTTTGCACCATTGCAGCCTCAGGCAACAGTGGGTGCGTGATTTTTTTGGTGCAGGCTGTAGCCATGGATATGCTATGTGATCTGATGGTGAATTTGGGGTGACCCTATGCAAAGATCCTGAAGATCCATGTGGATCCGTGCTTTGTAACCATGTTTTTGCACCATTGCAGCCCTGTTTTTGCATCAGATCATTGCTATGTGATCTGATGGTGAATTTGGGGTGACCCTATGCAAAGATCCTGAGGATCCATGTGGATCCGTGCTTTGTAACCACGTTTTTGCACCATTGCAGCCCTGTTTTTGCATCAGATCATTGCTATGTGATCTGATGGTGAATTTGGGGTGACCCTATGCAAAGATCCTGAGGATCCATGTGGATCCGTGCTTTGTAACCACGGTTTAAGTGGGGAGGGAAGGAAAAACATAGAAGGGACAAGGAGCACCGAGAGGGGTGCGCGGAGAAGCAGCTGGCTAAGAATGCAGGAGAGGGGTTTTACCGGAGGGAGGAAAGGAAGGCAAAAGTTCTCCCCACGCACCCACCCAAGCCAGCCAGCTCTCTCTCTCCCCCCCACCTGCATGTTGCAGCACCGGAGCACGAGAGGAATTAGAAGGAAGGACGCTCTCCTTTCCCCTCTCTTGCCTGGAGGGGAGGGGTTTTCTCTGCTCTTTGTTCCGTTTGAGCAAACACAGTAACAAACAGAAGCGGGTGGGCAGTAAGACCCTGAGGCAGAATGCAGGAAAGCAGCAGCTTCCTCTTTTCAAGGCTTCCCTTCTCCGGACGATTGATATTTGCCTGATTTTTGCCTTCACTCGCGCCTGTCGGCTCCAGGGACCACACATTCGCTCAATAACACGCACAGACATTTCCCCTTACTTTTTAGGAGAAAAAATCTGCGTGTTATAGAGGGAAAAATACGGTATATGTGCAAATATACCATATATTATAAAGACACCACAGTCCCCATGGTGCCTCAGTTCCTAAGGAAACTCAGGCCCTGGGTTAAGTGCCTGGACCCCTGGAATCTCACACTGCTGTAGAGATTGGGGTGGTGTGTCACAGGATTGTTCTGAAATGTTGATGAGAAATTATTAGCATTGATCTGATGGAATAAGCAGTGGTCTTTAACACCAATTCTATTGACCGGTGAAGGTGACACCCTAGTTTAGTTTAGCTTCCATTTCGTCAATCACACACACACACACCATAATTAAATGGGTAACTACAGGGCTTGAACTAATCTCCACTGTTATTCAATATCTATATGAAGACAATGGGAATGGTTATTAGGAATCTTGCAGGGAGGTGCCCTCAGAATGCAAATGACAAGCTGCTCGCTCTCTCTCTCCACAGCATCTTAATCTGAACAGAATGTAGAGTTTTGAGAAAAACAAGCTGAGCTTGAATCCTGGAAAGACAGAGGCACTGTGGGTAATCGTTTCCACGTCCAAGAAATTGGTCAACTGCCTACCTACCCTGGATGGGGTTGCAATGCCCCTGAAAGAGCAGATTCACAGTTTGGGGGGGGGGCTTCTGGATCCAACTCCAGAAGGTAGTTGGATCATTGGAGGTAGCCTCAGTGGCTAGAAGTGCCTTTTACCAACTGAAAATGGTACAACAGCCATGACCATTCCTGAACTGGGAAACTTGGCCACAGTAGTTTATGCATTGGATAGTTCAAGACTGGATTACTGTAATGTGGGGATTCCCTGGCACCTCCATTTACTGCATGTTATTGTTTTATTCTGTTTGTAAATCTCTTTGAGGTTTTAAAATATATATACAATCAAGCATTAGATACATTTTATGAAATAAATGAAAATAATGGAAAGCTATCTTGCTCTCCCTGCTCAAATCCAGGCCTGCACGCCCCAAAGGAACTGTTACTGTGTATTTTAATTCTGTATTGATTTTGTAGTTGTACACCAGTTATATTTTGGGATATAAGTGGTATATAAAAATGAATAAAGAAAAATAATGCAGCGAATTCAAAAGGAAGCATCAGGAGCGCACTCTGAGCGCATTCCAAAATTCCTTTGTAGCTATGGATTGAATTCTCTGCTTTTGGAATTCGGCACCTTTCCCTATCAACTTTAAAACTGTACCACTGAAAGCTGTGGGAGTGGTACCTTTTACCTGTCTCTGATGTCCTCGGGAGCTAGGTTCCCAGCATGTAGCACCTTCCTTCATCATCTGAAATGCAAATCAATACACAAAATTAAACTGAAACTGGGATTGAAGATGAGGGTTCATGACTTATAATCTGATTGTGCCAGTCAAGGCCATGGGAAAAGCCTATACAGTGGTACCTCGGGTTACAAACACTGCGGGTTATAGACTCCGCTAACCCAGAAATAGTACCTCGGGTTAAGAACTTTGCTTCAGGATGAGAACAGAAATCGTGCTCCGGCGGCGTGGCAGCAGCAGGAGGCCCCATTAGCTAAAGTGGTGCTTCAGGTTAAGAACAGTTTCAGGTTAAGAATGGACCTCCGGAACGAATTAAGTTCATAACCAGAGGTACCACTGTACTCATCTAGTGGCCTCGTGGATTGCTGACACCTGGGGCGGTCTCACCCCCCCCCGTAGACTGGGCAGCTGGGGTTGGGGTGCGCACTGCCAGGGTTCCTTGCCTGTCATGGGGGCACCTGATTGCACCCCTTCAAAAATGTTGGCTCGGGGCCATGGCCCCAATGCCTCTCCCACACTACGCCTCTGTAATTATTGAAACGATGCCAATCTTCAATGAGTACACAAACCCATTCTCGTCCTCATAAACAGAACATGTCTTGAGAAATTTCTCTTTCAAAATCCATTTTCAGATTATGGGAGTTGCCTAACTGCTTAAAGCAATTTCTTACACAACGCTCCACAAGAGTTTTGATTAGGACATCATCATCATCATCATCCTTTTTATTCGACCGTCAGTCAGAAAAAAGTACATTTTGTCAATACACAGTTAAAAACATCCAGGAAGATTTTAAAACTTAGCCAACGGATTTTAAAACTTAGCCAACACTAAAATGGGCTAAACAGATAGCCCCATATCAATACAGTCAATTATAGTCTTGCGACGCTTAAAAGCTAAGAAGAGAAATTTGGCCACCAAGGAAGGTATAGCTCTAGTGGCGTTATTCAGCAAGTGTAAAACCTGGTTTTCTCCGGGTAGGAAGCTGAATTGACATAGGAGTGGGTCTATAAAATTTTGTCTAAGCTCTGCATAAGAAGGGCAAGTCAAGAGAATGTGTTCGGTGGACTCAACCATCCCCATGGCACAATGACAAGTTCTCTGGGCGTATGGTACTCCCCTGTACCTTCCCCACAATATCGCAGAGTCAAGGACATTTAATCCAGCCGCTGTAAGAAGTCTACGGTATTCCACATAGTGGATTTCTGCAAGGTAGGGGGCTGGTATGGTCCGATAAATCTGGTCCCCTAGGAACATCCCTGGTTTTACCTGGGCTGTGTCCTCTTGTCTGGCAATGTCACTCAGTCTCCAGGAGATCACAGCTCTAGCTTGATTGTACGTCATAGACTCGAAGTAAAGGAGAGACAATCCGCAGGATTGAACCTCATTAATGACCTCCCTTTCCCACGATGATTGGAAATCGTCCCTCAATATCAAGGGGGCAATACCCACTGGTTTAAAACAAAGCTTGAGCCATAGCCAGAGCTTCGTCTTCAAGGCCACATACCACAGAGCTTGCCAGCCGACCTCTAATCTCATAACCGCACCCGCTACCGAGGGGGGAATCCTAAGGATGGCTCTAAGGAATCGCGTTTGGATAGAATCCAGTTTCAAAAAATCCCTACGGGAGCCTAAAGAGATGCCCACCAAAAGAAGGGGGAGGACTTTCATTTGAAAGAGTCTCAAAGCTATCTTCACTGATTGAGCCTGGTTCTTAGCATATAGAGATCTAATCTGGATGGCTGCTTTAGATGCATTAGTTTTGAAGGAAAGCCATTCCTGCTCTGTTATTGGCATTCATGCCAGTTTTGCCTACCAGGTGCCTGTGGGAAGCCAGTAAGCAGGATACGAGTACTATAGCCCTCTGCTGCTCACGATCCCCAGCAACCAGTGTTAGAAATTAGCCAGGTGTGTTTTGTGACTGGCAAGTGTCGAATTGTGACCACATGGAGATCTCTGGATACCAGGTTGGTGACTGACATCTCTATCTGGCTGGCCCCTCCAGTCAGCAGGTAAGCAGAAGCATATATAGCCCACTTTTTTCTCTAAGGTGTACATGGTTCGCCCCCCTCCTCAGTTAATACCTACAACAACCCCTGTGAGGTAGGTTAAGAGGCTGTGGCTGGCCAAGGTCACCCAGTGAACTTTATGACTGAGTGGGGATTTGAAACCTGATTCCCCACCCAAGTCCTAGTCCAACATTCTAATCACTACACCATATGGGCTTCCCAGAGTACTTCTACTGTTCCGCCAGGCCTTTGGGCAGGATGCAGTTTGGCGTGCTTTTCTTTGTATAAAACAAGCCCGAAGGAGGCCCCTAACCAGCTCACAGGTCCTTGTATGATCAGTGAAAACAGTTAGTCCTGGCAAAGTATTAACCACTCTCAACTCCAACCTGACAATTGCCACCTGCCCAGATTTTAACTTGTCTGAATTAATTTTAAGATGTATTTTAATTAATTGATGTCTGTTTTTATGCATATTGTGTTGTTTTTATGATGTTAGCCGCTCTGAGCCTGGCCTCAGATACAAATAAAAATTATTATTATTTTATTATAGGGCAGCTATATAAATTAAGTAGGTAAATAAATATGGGGAAAGGAAAATGTCCCTTAGAGAAGGATCTGAACTATTCCCCTTGGAGCTTGAATTAGTTTTTATTCTGCATTGATTTTTTTTGTGTTGTAAACCACTTTGAGATTTTTTTTTAGATCAATAAATAAAGTGGTATAGATGATGATGATCATCATCATCATCACCACCACCACTACCACTACTGCTAAACAGGTGCCTAGATATTCTGTTGTGGCGACTGTAACCTAGGTGTAAGTTGCCATTTGGTGATTAGCTTATATATCTGAGTTTCTAACACTGTTCACACCTATTCTGTGTCAGTGCCATTGGGGAGAGAAAAAACATTGGACATCTCTCAACATACAAGAAGAAGAAGAAGAAGAAGAAGAAGAAGAAGAAGAAGAAGAGGAATTTGGATTTGATATCCCGCTTTATCACTACCTGAAGGAGTCTCAAAGCGGCTAACATTCTCCTTTCCCTTCCTCCCCCACAACAAAAACTCTGTGAGGTGAGTGGGGCTGAGAGACTTCAGAGAAGTGTGACTAGCCCAAGGTCACCCAGCAGCTGCATCTGGAGGAGCAGAGACGCGAACCCGGTTCCCCAGATTACGAATCTACCGCTCTTAACTACTACACCACACTGGCTCTCGACCATCCCTTAGCATTACACAACAGCCTTCTAGGCAAAACTATAGCAGTTTTCACAAAGAACAAATTCATATGCATATTTCCCCACTTCTGCTATTGTCTCAGATGCCCATTATTGGTTCATAAACACATGCACACCCAAGGTTCTCCTATGACTCTTCCTATATACAGCCGTACCTTGGAAGTTGAATGGAATCCGTTCCGGAAGTCCATTTGACTTCCAAAACGTTCGAAAACTAAATTGCGGCTTCTGATTGGCTGCAGGAATCCAAGGTCCAAGGTACACCTGTACTTAAGAACGTGGGTTAGACAACATGAACATTTGAGCATGAATGGTGGACGCCAGTGATGTCATTTTGAAGATATGGAGGTAGTTTATTTTGTGAACGTGCTTTATATTCTCTCTGAATCCTGAACATTTTGCAGTCCCCTTTGTGTCAACGGAATTTCAAGGACAAAGCAGAGAGCAAAATCAGGTGCATTTTCAAAGGACCAAAGAGAATATATTATTTCCAGAATATATTATTTCATAACACAAACGATCTGGATGTTGTTCAACTAAGTTTTCCTCAGAGTAGACCCATTAAAATTTATATCATTATAAGATCACCCTGGAGAATAAGTGGTTGGCCTAGAAGGCATAGATGTCTGGTCTGATCTTTAGTACACTTTCAGAATACAGAACATGGATTTTCAAAGGACCTCATCTGACATGCCCCTAGATCAGGTGTTGGCAATCCTGAGAGAAATACAAGGTCAGGGAAAAGTGCAGCCTGCCTGGTTTCTGTGCTGGACCAAAAACTGTCCGAGAGAACCCTGAAGGCCCATAAAGTGACAATTGACTTGTTTTCTTCTGAACTTTGTGCTCTGTTTGCTGACTCATATCTTCTGAACCAAAAGGCTTTTCACTAGAAAGAAAACTTTAAAAAGGGAAAGGAGAAACTGCTCTGGTATGGACACATCTGCTAAAACATACTCAATTACATAGAATAGGCCTAATCTTCCTGCTGAAGTAAGGCTTTTTTTCTTGATTAAAAAAGACCTTTTACCTCATTTTCCATAAGTCCCTTTGCCCATTATACTGCCTTTATCAATGCAGATTGCATTAATGTGCTCTCTGTAAATATAGATATGTTATCTCTGAAAGAAGATAAGCTAAGATGTTTGCTTTAAGAATGTGCATACTTAGCAAAAAATAAAATAAGCCTGGGAGTTTACGTTTTCTACCTGATCCCTTAATTAATTTCTCTAAGAGTCAAGGATAAATTCCTGTTTGGGCCTCATTCAAGTCAGGAGCTACTTTCCGTTTATAAGAGGGATAAAAAAATCTCTATCCCATGCTAGCAGATGGTAACAGAATGGAAATAAGTGCAAATATGTCTTTGCTTATTCCTCTGTCTGATACATTTGTCATTTAACAAATTTATAGACCATTTCATGACATGAAGCCTTCAAAGTGGTGGACAAGATAGAAACAGAAGGAGACCAAACACATGCTCTAAAAACAATAATTCCATCATTATATTCTAAATAATAAACCCATTTCTGGAGACACCTCAGGGAAAGGCTTCCTAAAGCAAAAATAGGCATCTATTTTTGGTACCCAGGCACCATGATACCAGGGGTCTGTCTAATTTTGGCTGGTAATTATCTCTATATGCAGGTAGTATTGTGCCTAGCATCATTAGCTGCGTCCTTTCCCAAACTGCTAGCCAACATTTTAAATATCTTTCCGTTTGTCCCTGTACTTGAACAATTCTTGTTGTTACCCATTTCTTCCCCTTCATGGATCACTGCCTTGCCGTGGCGAAGGGGCTTGAAGAACTCAGAGAAGCTATGAACTATGCCGAGCAGGGCACCCAAGATGAACAGGTCATAGTGGAGAGTTTTGACCAAACGTGATCCACCTGGAGGAGGAACCGGCAAGCCACTCCAGTATCCCTGCCAAGAAAACTCCATGGACAAAGACAACAGGCATATAAAAGTTATGACGCTGGAAGATGAGCCCCTCAGGTCGGAAGGCGTCCAACATGCTACTGGGGAAGAGCGGAGGACAAGTACAAGTAGATTCAGAGCTGATGAAGCGGCTGGGCTAAAGCCGAAAGGACGTTCAGTTGCGGATATGCCTGGAAGCGAAAGGAAAGTCCAATGCTGTAAAGAAAAATATTGCATAGGAACCTGGAATGTAAGAACTATGAACCTGGGTAAGTTGGATGTGGTCAAAAATGAGATGGCAAGAATAAATATTGACATCCTGGGCATCAGTGAACTAAAATGGATGGGAGTGGGCGAATTCAGTTCAGTTCGGATGACCGTCCGGATGACCACTACTGTGGGCAAGAAACCCGCAAAAGAAATGGAGTGGCCCTCATAGTCAACCAAAGAATGGTGAAAGCAGTACTGGGATGCAATCTCAAAAATGAGGACTTGAAATTGATCCCAGAAACACATAGGCAGCCAAAGAAGCTGGCATGTTATTAGGTATGGTAAGATCAAAATGCTCACTGGAAGGACAGATCCTGAAGCTGAGGCTCCACTACTTTGGCCACCTCATGAGAAGAGAAGACTCCCTAGAAAAGACCCTGATGTTGGGAAAGATGGAGGGCACAAGGAGAAGGGGACGACAGAGGACAAGACGGTTGGACAGTGTTCTCGAAACTACGAACATGATCCTGACCAAACTGCAGGAGGCAGTGGAAGACAGGAGTGCCTGGTGTGCTCTGGTCCTTGAGGTCACGAAGAGTCGGACACGACTAAACAACTAAACAACAACAACAAGATCAAAATGCTTGATCCCCATGAGCATCTTTGGCATGCTGCCTCTGTAGCTGGAGGCTATTGAAAACCATCACAACTAGTACTGTAACTGCAATATTCTGCACAATTTAATCTACAGTAATTGCCTTTTAAATCTTTCTTAATTTGCTAACATTGTTTAGAAAGCAATGCCAGTTTAACCACCCAGTCTGCCAGCTTTCCTAACCAACAGCACATCCTTTTTATCTGGATTAAGATTCAGCTTGCTCCCCTTATCCATCTCAAAAGTGCTTCCTGACGATGTGGTGATTTCCAACAGCCTCCCTGGGACTAGCAAATGGAATTCTGTATCATTTGCATACTGGTGTCACTGCAGCCTAAGCCTCCTAATGACCTCCCCCAAGGATGTCAGGTAGGTGTTGAAAAGCATAAGGGACAAGATAAAATTTCCTCCTAGCTAGCTCCATCGTTAGAGAAAGAACTAGAGTCACTATAATACTGTTAGTTTAAGGTGGAGTAAGTATTCTGACTTTCAAGCTGCAAAGAAATTTTCCAAACTGTCATTAAAAATATACTCTGCCTCCTCCCCCCCCTGACTGTCCCAGCTCAGTTGACAGAAACTCTGCGAACTTACTGCTTTACAGGAAACTGCCACGGGGATAATAGTCATTCCCTAATACAAGCCTCAGTGAAATGACTGAGAGATCTAAGTAGGCAGTTTGTACTGGAAAACTGCGGGTTTACTCAAAACCAACTCCCACTGAGTTCAGTGTTACTTACTTCCAAGGAAATAATTATAGGACTGCAGTCGTAACACCTATCACTAGTTACAAATCTGCAAAAGTTGAATTATCCCAGTTTCTCTCTCTCAAAGCAACGCAGCTACTATTCTTAAAATAAATTTAGGTACTCCAGAGTGAAAACAACTGTTTTAATTGTGCTTTCTCCGTTCCAATTTCTTGCTTCCCTAGCTATTTACCTGACCAACCTGCGCTCGCCAACTGCTCCGGCAAGTATTTCTGCCTTCTGTCTCGTCTGTTGTTGTTGCTGGTAGCTGCATTCAGCGAGCTGAAGGAAAAGGAGGAGGGGCGAGCCTGCAAGCAAGCAAATAATTGGCCTCTTTCTTTAAACGTCATGCATGGAGTAATTACACATAAAGTAACAGATACGTCCATTATTAGTGCTGGCAAACATGAATGGCTGCTCATGTATGAGGTTATAGCCACATGTCATCCATGTATTAGCGTGTCAGCAGTTTTCAGTACCTTCCCCCCCCTTAAGTTTAGTAAACAATATAAGGGAAGTGCATGCTTTTGCCTTTTTACAAGTATTCATATATATATATATATTCATACACACACACACACACACAATTTAAATCTTAGTGTGTGTTTTAAAACCCCCTCAAATATTTCAGGTCAAATACCAATCGTATAATGTGGGGAAAATTAACATGGGTACTCTGTTTTATTTGTATTTAGTAAACAAAGCTTTAAAAAGCATGCTAAATTAGAATGCTTTTTAGAATTTTGTCTGATGAAAACTGACTCTTTTCCTGATGAAATTAGCACATTCAAATCAGCCAAATTGTCCCTCCTCTTCAGCTATGTGCAAACATATATCTACATACCTTAGAACTGTTTATATTGGGGGGGGGGGGACAATGGCATCAAACAAACAACCAACATTGCTCCAGCTTTACTTAGGGAGCCTCATGAATTTCACTAAGGCTCCTGCATTCAATCCTCCTTTTCCTATCTCTCCTGCATGCCTTCTATAGATCCTCATCTGCACTGGGTGCCTATTTGTTTTGAAATCCAAGTTGATTTATAAAGCCTAAAAAGGGATTGGGACCCAAATATCTGATGGAGTTTTGTCCCTCTGTTCCCCATATTTACCCATTGGCCACTAAGATGTGCTGTGGGGAGTCTTCTTGTGGTACTTTTTACTGCCATAGGATAATTACGTAATGAACAGTGATCTGAGTGGTGCTGCCTTATTTATGGAACTCCCTGTCTTGAGAGGTTTGCCAGTACTTTCACCATTAAGACACACCTATTCAATAGGGCGTTTGGGACCTCTTGATGCATTCAGAGCAGAGTAGGCTGTATCACAGGTATGGGGAACCTTAGTCCAGGGGTCAGCAACCTTTTTCAGCTGTAGGCTGTCCACTGTCCCTCAAACCATGTGGTGGGCCGGACTATGTTTTGGGGGGGTGGGGGTGGGGGTGGGGAAATAAACGAATTCCTATGCCCCACAAATAACCCAGAGATGCATTTTAAATAAAAGCACATGTTCTACTCATGTAAAAACACCAGGCAGGCCCCAAAAATAACCCAGAGATGCATTTTAAATAAAAGGACGCATTCTACTCATGTAAAAACACGCTTATTCCTGGACGGTCCGCGGAACGGATTTAGAAGGCGATTGGGCCACATCTGGCCCACGGGCCTTAGGTTGCCTGCTCCTGCTTTAGTCCTACAGAAGCTGTTAATCTACACTCCCATCATCACCAGCCACACTTGCTGCAGCTGATGGGAAATGTAGGATTAATGTAGGATTAATCCTACACTGTTGGTGTAGGATTAATCTAGTATGTCTGCAGCTTTCTCCCGATATTGAAGTCCAGAGTGTTTGAGGACCGGGACATTCACAGGGAAACCAAAATTCTTGTTTACAAAGCTATTGTACTATCAACCTTCCTGTATGCTTGTGAAACATGGACCACTTATAAACACCATCTCCAACTCCTCGAAAGATTCCATCAACGGTGTCCCCAAAATTTTTTACACATCACTCGGGAAGACAGGCGAACAAATACCAGTGTACTGGAAGAAGCAAAGATCACCAGTGTTGAAGCAATGATTCTTCAACATCAACTTTGTTGGACTGGTCATGTTGTGTGGATGCCTGATGATCGTCTTCCAAAGCATCTACTCTATTCCGAACTTAAAAATGAAAAGCGTAATGCTGGTGGTCAACAAAAGAGGTTTAAAGACTGTCTTAAGGCAAATCTAAAAAAAAATGTAGTATAAACACTAACAATTGGGAAACACTTGCCTGAGACCCCTCCAAAGGTGTCATGGGCTTTGAATACACTCAAACTCAGGACGCAAGGGAGAAACATGCTAAGAGGAAGGCACGCTTGGCAAATCCACACTGTGAACAACTCCCGTCTGGAAACCAATTTCCCCACTGTGGAAGGACGTGTGGATCCAGAACTGGCCTCCACAGTCACTTACGGACTCATTGTTAAAACTGTTTTTATGGAAGACAATCTTGGCTACGAGTGATCACCAAAGAAGTCTAGTATGTATTTTACTTGCTGTTTGTGATTATGGGTTGATTTATTTGGATGTCTATGTGCCTGTTTATACATCATTTTATGGTTTTATTCTGTTTACTACTTTGTGTTGTTGTAAATGAAGAGTACCACATAAATGAAATAAAAATAATTATATTGATGATAGTAACAATGCAGTGATTGTTAGAATTTTGCAGTGCAATTTATTGGTTTCTGTGTTGTTGGCGTGGTTTCCTGACATTCTGGAAAGTATGTGGGACGCAGCTTGAAAAGCTTCAGCATTCAAATACAATTCCTCCTTCTGAAGCTTGATGCAGCTGAATGTGGGTGTGGTAAAATGGAATGGGGTGGTGTTTCTATGTGGGTGCTGTTTTGTATTATTCATCATATCATCAAGGCATTGTTCAGGCAGGGCACTGCTCTTTGGGGCTGGTGAGGTAGAACTTTCATTGTGGGTTTCACTATTGGCTTTGGGTTGCTATCTTACCGAGGGCTTGACAAACAATACGTTCAGATTCACTGTGCTAATCTAGGACACTGGGTGAAAGGAGATGGAATGAGGAAAGAGATAAGAATGCAGGACATCAACTCTCTGGGAAGCATTATTGGAAAAGCAGAGGAGGCATACAGCCTCATAGATCTACTAGGTGGAGTCCCAGAGGGAGGCAAGGATAGTGGTGATGACTCTGTCAGACAGTCCCTCTTTCAGGCTCTGGTGTTTAGTTTCCATGCATGAAGCTGTGGACACTCCAGATCCAGATGAAGAATGGACCTCTGAGAGAGGAGATGTAACCTCAAAGGGAGATGCCAGGGTAGGATGGAGCTGAGGTCCATCCCAAGTCCAAGAAACTTGGAACCACTCGTGTGTGAAGAACCTGGACTCTGCTTAGGAACCTGGGCAGAAGTGGAGGGGTCACAACAACCCCTGTGGCCATTAGGGCAGTGAAGGCATCCATGTCCTCTGCCCTCTGATAATGGACTTGGAATACGTACCTGTCCACTTGCATATTTGTTGCTGAAATGAACAGGGCTATGCATGGGAGGCCCCACTTCTGGGAGATCTGGAGGGACTCCTCCCTGTGCAGAGTCCACTTATCCTGCTAAATCTGCTGGAGCCTCAGCCAGTTGGCCTTGTTGCTGAGTATCCCCTTCTTCGCATGAATGGCTGAGATGGATGTCAAATGTCACTCAGCACATTTGAATAGATTGGTCTCATCCTGGAATGTCTATCACCACTCCTATATGTTGGAGACATTGGTTGGGGATCAGTAGGGTCTTGCCTCTGTTGATGATGGAGCCATGTTCCTTTAGGCAGTGGATGGTTGTTCCCCAATCCTTCTGTGCTCCTATGACTGAGAAGGTTTGGTAACCATAAGGTTGTCCAGATGTGAACATATCAGGTGCATTGGTGGGCAACCAGGTGCATAGGTGGGCTATCATGAATTTGGTGAAAACCTGGGGTACTGCGGAGAGGTCAAATGGGAGAGTTTCTCCTGGCCATGGGCAAAGTGCAGGAAGTGATTAGGCTGTTGTAAAATGGGCATATGGCGGTATATTTCCATGAAGTCTATTGAGACGAGGTAATCTCCATGCTGAAGAGCCTCTGAAATGGATCAGACCTATATGGAACAGTTCAAGAAAGCAGATCAGAATGGTGCAGAAATCATTATTTTTCTTGAGAACCATTAGAAGACTCTGGAGGAACACTGATGCTGTGGAACTGGTTCTATGGTGCCTCTCTCAAGGAGGTGTAAATTAGCTTTCAAGTTCTCTGGAGCTTTTATGGGTTCCATGATGGCAGAGCAGCTCACCATTTGTCCCTCGGGGTGCTCTTGAACTCTATGGAATAGCCCCTCCAGATGATGTCCAACACTCACCATTATGGTGTGGAGTTCTCTCAGGCTCAGGAAATGCCGTTTATCTTCCCGCCACAGCACTACCTATTTATCTACTTGTACTGGCATGCTTTTGAACTGCTAGGTTGGCAGAAGGTGGGACAGAGCAATGGGAACTCAGCTTGTTGCATGGATTCAAACTGCCAACCTTCTGATCAGCAAGCCCAAGAGGCTCAGTGGTTTAGACTACAGTGCCACCTGTGTCCCTTTGTCGTAAGTGGAGGTATGCTGCAATTATTGCAGATCATAGTGCAGATGCCAATCAGGGCAGAGGCACACTCAGCAGAAAACATTCTGTTCTGATCGCTCTCAAGGGCGGGGGACACCTCATGCTAAGTCCAACTTGATGATCTCTTGCTAAGACTTTGACTTAACTAACATCAATAAGTTTATCTGCAGTGATTAGATGATGTGATATGGATGTCACTAGAACTAGGATCATGGACACTTTCCGATATGCTTCACTCTTTCACTGACCGAGAATAGCACATTAACAACTATCTCCTATTCTATGTAAAGAAGACATTGAAATTTTGCTGATGGAGGGGATGTCAGTGTGTGTTTGTTTGTTGATATGAAATGATAATCTACACCCTCATCTGGTACATAGGTCAATAATCCTTGGATTTAAGACAGTTTAATTCCATTGAAACATACACCAGTGTGTGGCTGTAGTAAATTGAGTGGAAAGAATGGTTAAGATCTTTTTCTTTGAGCACAAGGGAGCAATGAAACATCATTTAGAAAAATACTTACATGAGAGGGGCATTTAGAGATTTGAGAACAGATAAAGGAAGAAATGAGTGAAGTGAGGTATCAGCATAAAGGTGGCCCTGAAAGCCATGGGGTGTGCTGAACTCACCTACAGAACAAGGAAATTATCAATTATTTTGGTTTTGGAATAGAATGCTGAGGGCAGAAGTTAGTTGGAGAAGAAAAACTCCAGAAAACTGGAGTAAGCAAAATACTCCATTTCTTGGAGATAAAGGGTGAAGGAAAACTGGGAATAATGGGTCATAAACTACAGGCAAGAAGGGAGAGGATGGTGCTTCAGAGAAAGCTCCTGGGTCAATGGACTGAGGTAACAGGAGCAAGAGGCAAAATGTGGGAAGGGTAGGCAAATGAGCATTGTTGAAGAGGAGATAATGACCACAGAGAGAAATTCCATACCAGAGGAAGAGACAGGAGATCAGATCAAGTAAGTGCTCAGGGCAGTATCAAAGGTGGAGATATGTGTGGGATGTAATCCATTGGAGCAGTCAAATACAACATTCCTTGTTTGCCTACAGTGGACACAGACAGGGGCATGTTGATCAAACTAGATAGTTGATCAAACTACTACTACTACTACTACTAATTTATTATTTGTACCCCGCCCATCTGGCTGGGTTTCCCCAGCCACTCTGGGCGGCTTCTACAGAAACCAAAAATACACTAAAATCACACATTAAAAACTTCCCTGAACAGGGCTGCCTTAAGATGTCTTCTGAATGTCAGGTAATTGTTGATCGCTTTGACATCTGATGGGAGGGTGTTCCACAGGGTGGGCGCCACTACCAAGAAGGCCCTCTGCCTGGTTCCCTGTAGCTTTGCTTCTTGCAATGAGGGAACCGCCAGAAGGCCCTCATAGAGCGCTAAATAAAGAGATTCTAAGAAAAAGCTGCTCCTTTTCGTTATGGGGTACCCAAGAGCCCATACAGAGCCCTTATGTAGGTTCTCTATAGGTAGGATAAAATAACAGAGGCCAACCAGAGAATATTGAGAAGTAAAGCAGCAAAGCATGATCTTTAATAAACTGTTGCAACAGGGTGCTCACCCCCCCATGCAGGAGGGAGGAGGAACCCAGAACAATGGTGTGCAAGCCATTATATAGACTTTTGAAATTGCCCACCCTGTAGCTCAAGACCACCTCCCATATACATCAGAGAAGAGGCGATCTACAGCAGAAAACCTGGCGTGCTCTGGTCCATGGGGTCACAACAACAAATCGTAGTGAGGGAAACTTTCAACTTGCAGGCTCTATTTCGAAGAATGATCCCACTTTACCTTGTGTGATAGGAATTTTGAGGTCTAGATATATGGTAATGTTCATAACTGCACGTACATAGATCAAGCACAGGAAGACTGACCTGAAGCCATTTTTGATTCCTAAACTGAGCAAATGTTTCTCTGCATGGTCAAAGAGGAAAAACCTCCCCATTGTCTTTTCCTTCACAAATCCTGTCTTAGGGGTATGTTGATGTGTTTCGAATAGGGTGTGAGCCTGTGACACGGCCCAGGAACTAAGTATTTATCACTATTTATCACTACAAAAGAATGGCCAGGCTCCTTAGGCAATCCAATCAAGTAACCTGCCAGACAGGAAAACAAACAAGGATAAGAGAAAAACAATATTGAAATTTCTGTTTTAAGACCACCTTTTCTGTGATGTATCTGAGGGGTGGTCTTAGGTTACACCCCTTCTGTGATGTATGTATCATGTTTCTGGGGGTGGTCTTGGTCTACAGGATGGGAATTTCAAAAGTCTTTATAAGCCCTTGCACAGCATTTTTGTGGGTCCTCCTTCTTTCCTGCGAGTGAGGGGAGCACCCTGTTGCAACAGATCAATAAAGATCAAGCTTACTAGCTGCTTTGCTTCTCAATATTCTCTGGTTGGCCTCTGTTATTTTCTCCTACCAATAGGGAACCTATGTAAGGACTCTATATGGGCTCTTGGATACCCCATAAGGGAAAAGGGCATATTTTTATTTACAACAGATGGCGACCACGCACGAAGGGACTTTTGGTTACCCGGATTCTGGGAGCGAGGAAGGACTGGTGATCCAGCGTGCACCAGGCAGTTTGCCAGGAGGAATAGCCAGTCCTCCATCGATCCCAGGGTCTAGAAATAACTGGAGGTTCAGCGGGGTTAACCAGAGGAAGCAACGCTTGACCAGGCCGGCCTTAAACAACCAGTCAAGAGATCGCGGGATCACCAGGAACAGCGCATGCGGAAGTGAGTATTAAGTAGGAAACACGGGTAGTGGGTTGGGTTCTCTAAACCACAGCAACCAAAATTCTTTAACTCTTCCTTTTCCCTTCAAATATAAACTTTCTACTTTTCCCCTCATCTAACCCTTGAAAATTTGCCTTCTCCTTTCTGTCCCCTCAATCTCAACACCAGCCCTAACCCTTCGGAGTATGCCCAGGGAAAAGTTGTGTGTGACTTCTTTCATTTCCCTTCTACAGTCTATATGCCGACCTATTCCTTCGGAGTTTTGCCCAGAAAAGGTCGTGATTTTTCTTCTGTACTGAAACTATTAACTCCCAGGTGCAGCCGCACCTCTGCCATGGCGATCTTTGTTAGAGATGACCTGTGAGCAGAGAACGCAAGGGCAGCTGATTCCTTTTCTTCTTTGTCATTTCTGAGTCCCAATCTGGTACTGCGCTACGCAAGCGTCCAGTAGGGAACTCTCAGGTTAGATTGTAAGAGGTTGCTGTGGGCTCCCTAGCTGAGTAATGACCAAAGGGGGGGGGGGTTGAGATCGCTGACCGCACTGTTAGCTTAGTAGCCAGGAAAGGCCAACAGCTGTAGCAGCCTAGTAAGTCAGGCCAGACAAACGGCGGTGTGTCACAGTACTAATTCTCGGAGTTGTCCAAATTGAGTCTACTGTGGGTTATTTATTGTGTTTCCTGAAAAGTGGGGATAAAACCCCGACTGCAGTATAAAAGTAAAAGCTAGTGCTATTAAAATTCTTAAAATGGGTGCACCTCAATCAAAAGAAATGAACCTGCAGACTCCTGATGGGAAAGAAGCCCAGTTGGTGCTTACTTCCCACCTGGACTCTGACAGTCCCCTTCAATTTGTGTTTAAGAAACGTTTTTCCTGTGTTTAAATTGTACTTAATTGTGCCATCTAAAATAAAAATGCAAGCTTGCTCCAAATTCTAAATCTAAGGAAGCCATGTTGAGCCTTATCAATCTTAAACAAGACAAAATTGAGAATGAAGTGTGCAAATGTTTGTTATTTGAGAGAGGCTCTAAAAGAGAGTTTTCCTCCCAAGTGGTAAAATCATGTATACGTGCTGCTTGTGTTCTGAAAGGAGGAATACCCCACCTCCTTCCTCTATAGTTTAAGTGAGGAGGGTGATTTTAAGTCTAATGGTAGATGATGTTTTGCTGCAACTTTTGAGTTTGTGAGTCTATGAAAGTATGGTGTTCTTTCTGAGAAAATTGTTATTAAATGTAGAGGCTTCCATGGCCAGCAAAATTGTCTGAGTCCAGTCCTGATATCAGTCTTTATAAGACTTCCTGGCCTCTTTTCTTAGAAAATGTCCCCCCCTTGTTTCATTCTGTCTCTTTCAGTTTTTTTCCCCCCTTCTTACTTCTGCGCCAGGTAAATTTACTCCTGAGTAAGCTTCCTTTAAAGGAAACAGCAAAGGGAGGGGCAATCTTTCCTAAAGGTACCCTGCATCTCACTTTCCTATGTGTAGTTATTTAAAAAATAATAGTCTAAATTAGGCTTACTATTCCTCTGCAACTTCAGGTAAAATTGTTCACTTTTGTATTCCTTTTAAATCAAATCTATGGCTGTTTTAACTATGCTTTATAAGAGATCCTCTCCCTATCTTAGAAAAAAATGTTCGCTTCAATCTTCCTTTAAAGATCATTTCTCTAGGAACTTGCACTCTTTAGTCTAAGGAAGTAAACTCTCACTCAAACTAGCTTCAAGATCTGCTAAAAGGATTCTGTATAAAGTTGGTTACTTTTATTTCCCTCTTCCTTAGTACATGATAGGAGCATGGCTTGTGGTCTCTTCCCCAGTTGTGTCTGTGTACATAAGTATGTGTGTCTCTCTGGTAGTACAAATCTTGCTATGAACCCTGTATTTTAGGGTTGGACTAGATGACCCCAGGGTCCCTTTCAACTCTCCCAATTTGTGGCTGTGTGGAGGGCCATGTGTCTGCAAGCATGTGAATTGAAATTCAGCCCAGCTTTGCTCTTTGTTTTTAAAAGGTGAGAGGTGAAAGCCGTGATGTTTTGAAGCAGAACTGGTGATATCAAGCATTTGAGTGATACAGTTTTTATCATTTTGTCTATTTTCTAAAGATCAGACTTCCAAGTCTATTCAAAGTTTAAACACATACAAATTCTTATAATCAAGTAGAATGAGCCTTGACCATCCTTTAAAATAAAGGGCATAAATTTTTGTCTGCAAATGTTAAGGCTGAAATGACTGAGAATGTTAAAGATCCTATGCATTTTGACTCTGGCCATTTTCCCCATATATAAGGGCGCGGCTGATTGTTCCGCGAATGACCAGAAGAGAAATCACACAAAATAATGATAGCCCACATTTTTAAATAAACACCTGCTCTCAATTTCCTGTAAATAAAGGAAGCACTCGCTTTGCTTGGGCTGCAGGAAAGATGATCCCTTAGAACTGAGTTAACAGAAATTTCATTTGACCAACTTCTATTGCTAGCTTTGGTGAATACTTGAATTGCTGAGTTTGTTTTGTTTTAAATCTAACCCTATTTTTTAAATCTACTCCTTACCCTTCATTTCCTTTATTCAAATGGTAATTTAGCTAAAAGATGCAACACTTTCAATGATATCAAAGGTTTGCTGAGACATGAACTCTGCACATGCACAGAGGCTAGATCAGCTTAAAAAAGAGAGAGAGAGAGAGAGAGAGAGAAAGGAGGGGGGAAAGGATGGGGGGGAGAGGAGGTTTGGAGAGCGTGTGCTGCAGGGAGAAACTTATCAAAATTTCCTTATGTAAACTTGGAACCATTGAGGGAAATCACCCTTAATGTGTCCTTTGCTCCAGGGGCTACTTAAGACAAAAGTGTTAAGTACTGGACCATCAAAAGTCAAGAGGTTGCCAAGTTTTCAAATCTAACATGCCAAATTCTTTTCACAGGTAAATATCAAACCACTCCCACTGTGAGTTCCTCTCTTGAGTAGTTCGCCTCCCCAATGGGATTTAAAATTTTATAACAGGTTTTGTTTGTGTATATGTCAATGCATTTTAGGAACAGCATTTCCTGACAGACTTCTCACATGAAAAAATTTCCCCTTTTAACAGGATATGGGAACCTCTAACAAAGTGTCCTTTCTTTTCTCCCACAGCACAAATGATAATGAGGGAATGCAAACAGTGATTTAAATACTCTATAAAAAAGTAATTGCATTTGTATTTATTTTCGTCTTTCCCTTACAGCCAAACAGTCACTTTCTTTGCCATTCATTTTTTCTTGGTATTAACTCATTTCCCAGTATTTTGCTATTAACATTCTAGCCGATGTTGTCACATCAAGAAACACTCTTTTATTTTCATTTGGGATGTTAGAATGCCAAAACAGATTACTTCAGGTTACTTCAGGTTTCTTAAAAATTGTGTGTCTTAGCATTTAGTTTTTGGTTCCTCATAGATCATTGTGTGTGTGTGTGTGTGTGTGTGTTTTACTTTGGGGACATGTCCATCACATATTGAAAGTCATTTTAAGCCTTTTTCCATTGTTTTCCCATTTTTTTCAGTCCAGTAGTAATCTGTGTGGTTTTGATAGTATCATTGTATTATTTAATAATAATTCTTTTCTGAATCTGATGTCTTTGTGTCAAGTCCGTTTTCATCTGACTGGTAATCTATTTTTTTGCTTTCTTTTATTTTTCAACCTTTCTTGTATTTTTTACAGTTCTCTTTCTGTACATGTGGAGTAATTTTTTATTTAATAATATAAAAACAACAACTAAGTGAAGGAAAGCAAACAAACTTAGCAGATAATAACAGTAATTATATGGAAATGTGATAATAATATTGAAATGAATAAAATGCTTAACGTGCTAAGATTTTATTATTTGCAGCTAAAGGGGGGGGTCTTTTGCCCCTTCCTTTTCTAACTCTGTCTTTTAAGTCCCTAAAAACCCTGCCCCCTTACAGGATGTCACTTCTACAGATGAGTTACTACAGACCTATGATGAAAAAGCTTCGCCACCACAAGACTATTACCTGCAACAACAACAGACACTAGAGTTTTCAAAGTGCCCACAGCTATCTCTTTCAAAGGATATAGACTGGCGGGGGAGTGGGGCTGACAAAGGGGGGAGGAGTTGAATTGCAAGGACATTTTCTCACTTTTGAACCTTAACACTGTGCTCCAGGATTCAGAAGATACATACATAAAAGATCACAATTGTCTCAAGATATGCAACTGATATTTAATTAGTTTGTTGTGTATTATGTGTTATTATGTAGGAATGCTGAAATGTGTCTGATAGTGTGTTACCCCCACAAAGGGGGGACAAAATTTCTGTGTGTAATTGATCAGGCTATATTTAGATTAAGTCAACTGATGCTCATATTTGCTTGTCCCACCTGGCACTCTGCAGTGTGCCAACCTTCTCTACCCATTTTTTTATTATTATTCAAAGGACACAAATAGTGATTTTTTTTTCTATACACGAAGTTCCCAGAAAGAAATTACTTTTTTACTATTTCTTTCTTTCTTTGCAGTCACTTTCTTAATGTTCCAGAAAACTATTTTGAATCCCTTCTATGACTTCTCTGTATCCCTTGCAGATTCAGTACTGTCTTTAAGTAGCAATTGTTCTGTATTTATTTATTAATCTCGGTTTTCCCGTAAAGCTGTGAATTTAATCTGACCACAACCAAGTATTAGTCTTGGAACCATATTTTATCAGGTAGTTTTGAAGCAACACTCTTTATTATTATTTGGGATGTTTTGATTAGAATGCCAAATGGAAATGGGTGTAGATCATGTCCCAAATTTTATTTATTTATTTGAGGACATGACCACCATACGTCAAATAAGGTTTCTTCACTTTGTTTACATCTCCAACATATTATTATTATTATTATTATTATTATTATTATTATTATTTTGCTAACATCTGCATATCATTTTCATATAGTTCCCCCCCCAGATTGCACACAGTGAATCTTAAGGTTTTTCCCCATAATTGCTCTCATTTTTTCATCTCAATTGGACAACCAAATTGTGTGCTTACTCTTCTCTACCGAATTTTAATTTTACCAAGGAGAAGCTTCAGGATCCATGAAAGCCCAGATAACAAGAAAAGTGTATATGCCTTGATTTAGCAGGAATGATCCCTTAAAGAATTAAATTAACTAATTTGGACAGGTGCCCTTTTAAGAATGGTTGTTTTAAAAGTTGAGAACCATGGGCATATATAAATTCAAATCGGACTCTTTTTGAATTGGGCAAGTGTATCCAGGCTGCAATTAGCTTTTTGGTCCTTTAAGAGCAAGTGAGCAACTTCCCATGAGTGCAAGACCAGAGCCTATAATAATAAAATCCCATAGAAAGGCCAAGGCAAAGACATTTCTCTCATGACATGTCCAAACCTGTGCCAGCTATGGTGAGTGCCAGACGACATGGTTGATATGAAAGCCCTAAGTGGATTCACCTCGGATTGCCACTGCTGTACCATTATGCCGGTGTGAGACCACAGAAGAGCTAGCTTGACACCTGAGAACACATAAAAAACTGCACAGGACAAAGCACACTGCATTTTTCAGTCATTAGAAGACCTTCCTGCTAAATGTAAAGCATAGACCACTATTAAGAGCTAGAATGCCACAAGTAATTTAGTAACAAAATGCAACATCTGTTATTTTTATATGATATATTTACACAAAGGCATCCATTTACAACATACAATGTTATTATTTGTGGGGCAAAAAATTTTAAGAAAAATTCTAGCCCCACAGGGGGGATAATGTGATAGGAATTTTGAGGTCTAGATATATGGTAATGTTCATAACTGCACGTACATAGATCAAGCACAGGAAGACTGACCTGAAGCCATTTTTGATTCCTAAACTGAGCAAATGTTTCTCTGCATGGTCAAAGAGGAAAAACCTCCCCATTGTCTTTTCCTTCACAAATCCTGTCTTAGGGGTATGTTGATGTGTTTGAATAGGGTGTGAGCCTGTGACACGGCCCAGGAACTAAGTATTTATCACTATTTATCACTACAAAAGAATGGCCAGGCTCCTTAGGCAATCCAATCAAGTAACCTGCCAGACAGGAAAACAAACAAGGATAAGAGAAAAACAATATTGAAATTTCTGTTTTAAGACCACCTTTTCTGTGATGTATCTGAGGGTGGTCTTAGGTTACACCCCTTCTGTGATGTATGTATCATGTTTCTGGGGGTGGTCTTGGTCTACAGGATGGGAATTTCAAAAGTCTTTATACGCCCTTGCACAGCATTTTTGTGGGTCCTTCTTCTTTCCTGCGAGTGAGGGGAGCACCCTGTTGCAACAGATCAATAAAGATCAAGCTTACTAGCTGCTTTGCTTCTCAATATTCTCTGGTTGGCCTCTGTTATTTTCTCCTACCAATAGGGAACCTATGTAAGGACTCTATATGGGCTCTTGGATACCCCATAAGGGAAAAGGGCATATTTTTATTTACAACACTTGGAAGCAAAGTCCTTAGGGTTTCAAAATGCCTTGTGGTTAAAGACTGTAACGCAATTACTTGGGAATGACTCCCAGTGACCTGAAATGGATTTACTTCAAAGTCCAGAACCAGGTCTCAAGTGTGCTTAACATTACTGTCATGGCGTATTAGCATGCATTCTCACTCGGGAATAAATCTTATGGGAATGAATCCCACGGGGTTCAAGGAGGCTTATTATTCCCAAACCAGGCTGCTTTTCGGATTGCTGCCTCAATTGCTGAAGCAGAGCTTGCCAGAATCAAAACAAAACAGCTCGATCGCTTTCACAGCTGCCTCTCCTCCTTTCTGGACGGCCTCTGCCGCCGTTGAATCCTGCTCCATAACGCATAAAACAAAAAACTCAGCCATCCCTTTCGACAGGACACGCGTTGCTCATTGGGTTTACCCAACGCCTCCCAGGCGCAGGCGCAGTTGGAACCCAGCGGGGCGGAGGAGCCGCTGCAGGCAGTGTTCACGTGCAAAAGGGCGCTCTCTTTCCTCTTTCCGGCGTCTCTTACGGAAAGCCGGATGCTTCCTGCCCCAGAAAGGCTCGCTTAGAGCGCATGCGTGTAGGGAGAAAACTAGAGCGATAGAGAGAAAAAGACGCCCAGCTCAGCAAACCATCGAGCGATGGAAAATCGGTAGCCTAGAAGGGACCCCACCAGAGGAAGACCAAGGCGGCGGAAAGGAGCAACGGCCCGGCGCTCGGTTTCCCCGCGCTCCTGGTGAGGCGTTGGGCTCGCATTTAGGCCTCAGACCAGGCGGGGGGAGGTTGGGGGCCGAGAGGGCGGGGAGGGGGAGGAGCCTCTGGAGGGTCTCGGGCGGGAAAGCGCCTTTGTTTGCTGACCGGATTTCCTGGTTGTGAGTGGTTTTTTTTTAAATCCTCGGTTCTCCCTTGCGTAGCTCCCAAGGTGGGGAAGGCAGAGCAGGGGCTCTAGCACCTCAGAGGTTTGTGGCGCCGTCGTTTCCTCCTCCTCCTTCCGCGCAAGGCACGTAGAAGCGAGGGCCTAAAGTTCCGCGCGGAGAGGTTTTTCTTGCATCGCAGGGGGCGGGCGAAGAAACACACACGCGCGCAAGTTGTCCTGCAAGTGCTTCTTTCGTGAGAGAGAATATTCCCTCTCTGTTGCAAGGGATCAGGGACGAGAGAGGCTTCTGCTGCGAAGTCACAGAGTCCAGGTCGGTCTAGATTTCGTCGCGACAAAAGACTCTCTTGAGTGTAAGAATATTGTGCTCTTTATTAAGCCGATTTGTTTCTTCGTCCTTGTTTCCTTACATTTCTAACCCCGGCCTCCTTCCCTGTTACGGAGATCGAAGGAGGCCTCGCATTTAAGCAGAAAATTGGTATTTTTTTTACTCCAGTCTGTATTCCCGCTCGGGGGAGTTGAGACAGTAGCCGAAAAGTACAGGTGAACGAATGGAGGAGGGTGTTGGATGCGGGTGATGCTTGGAGGGGTGGAAGCTTCCAGGGCAAGGAGAGAACCAAAGAGGGAGAGCAAAGGCTGCAAGAAAATACAGATATTTCTTAACCTTCTTAGGAAGGTAATTCTGGCAAAGAAATGTCTGGGTGGATTGCCTTGTTAAAGGGGTTTGAGGGATGATTCAGAGCATAATTTGGAAATCCTGCTTTTTTGGATTTGTATAACTCACTGAAAGCAGAATGTGAAGTAGATTGATCAGTAAGCAGTATTACCTGCTGTTTGGGTGAGGCGGAACAGTCTGATTAAAATGATGTGCTGTACAGTATTGTATTGCCTATTTTAGATGTAACACTGGAGTGTTGTGGTGAAGAGTAATTAACAAATATACTAATATACTTGGAACTAGTGGACATAGTTTAAGAATTTTGAGATTGTTACATGAGGTTTTCTTTAAAGACTGTTGGGTTAAAAATGATTATACATAATGAAAGTTCTTAATATGTAACATATAACTTGGTTTCATAGAATATTTTGGAAACAGCACAGTTTGAAGCATCTGTAGGAAGGCAAAGATTGTTCTTCTCAAACTTGTGAGGCAAAAATGTTCCTGTTGATTTTTATGCATTTTTAGTACTGTTACTGCTACTCTGAAGAGCAAATATAAATAAGGAAATGCAAGAAGAATGTTCAGAATAATGGCATGGTTTTTAGGGCAGATAATTTTACTGAAGGTTACTTGGGTTTAGAAAAAGATGCTGGCAGATTCATATAAAATAGTGAAAAGAATGTTCACTTGGTTGTGAACAGCAGTTCACTTGGCTGTCAGAGCAGCAGGCTTAAAACAAAATCCTTGTTTCACAACAAGCAATTCTGAGAAGCCTAAAGTTTTCATAGTCAAAAGGTTAGACAAAGTAGTGTGAAATATAGCACCATAAGAGAGGAAGCCAAATTACTACTAGACCTTGAGACTGGAAGTACCGTATTTTTCATCCCATAGGACGCTCTGTCCCATAGGACGCACTTAGTTTTTTTGGGGGGAAATAAAGGATTTTTTTTTTTCTGCGGGAACTCCCGAGGGCTCCCCAGGCTTGCTGATAGCTTCCTGAAGCCTGGAGAGCGAGAGGGGTCGGTGCGCACCGACCCCTCTTGCTCTCCAAGCTTCAGCGAAAGCCTATATTCGCCCCATAGGACGCACACAGATTTCCCCTTCATTTTTGGAGGGGAAAAAGTGCATCCTATAGGGCAAAAAATACAGTAAATATTGTCACCAATCTTGTGGTAGTGAATTCCATAGTTTAACATTCTATTACTGTATTACAAGAGAGGGAAAAATGTGTTTTTATTTCTGATTTCTCTATACCGTGTTTAGTTTTTATAAACCTGTATTATGTTTAATCTTTCTTTTTCTAAATGGAAATAATTTTTTCCTGGTTAGTTATTACCAGTTCAGCGTCCATTGGTATATATATGAAATTGATATTTTTTGCACCAAAGTTCATCATACTACTCTTAACAACTTCATTTGCCTCCTTCTTCTTTGGCGATCACTTGTAGCTGAGTAAGATTGTCTTCCATGAATATGGTCTTAATAGTGAGTCCATAAGTGACTGTGGAGGCCAATTCTTATGTTGTTGTTTCACTCCATGCAGAAAGATCCTTTTGAAATGCTTTGTGATCTGTTTTGGTGTTCACTACTGTAAAAGAAATTGGTGCCACCCACAAACTTGGCCACATTGAATAACTCTGTTCTGTGAACCCAGCATAAATATTCTCCCAAGTTCTTTGCCTTTTGCCTTTGCATGGGAAGAAATAAGAGTGATTTTCAATGGACTTTTTCAGGAGGCAGAAGCAGCAATGCATGCATTGTGCATTTTGAATTTCTTTTTTTAAAACACCAGTCTTTTAGGAATGTGCATATCTTAACAGTCTTTTTGTACATTCTCTGGTCAAGATGCATATTTATTTACTAATTTTATATCGTATCCTTAGTTCCAGAGGAACCTGGGCAGCAAACAAGAGGCAAAACAGCAAAAATACCTTCAAAAATATCTTAACAATAGTTCTGATATGCACAAAATCAGACTGGAAAAGATCTCAACTTAAAAAGGCTGTTGAAAGAAGGTCTTCAGTAGTCACTGAAAAGACTACTGAAGACTTGTTTAATATTCAAGAGGAGGAAATTCCAAAGGATAAGTGCCACAACACTTAAGGCCCAATTCCTGCATTGTGTGGAATGGATCTATTTAAATTGTAATATCCAAGATGCATTGGAAAATGTGTACGCTGTGGCAGAATTGTGTACAATGCCTGCTCAAAAAGAACATCCTGTGGCCAATATATGGAGCCTTGAAGGAATATGTCCTGTTTCTGTCTCTAGTTGCTGCAGTCTACAAGGATCCAGGGCACAAGCCTTATGCATAGTCTCTGGGGTGTTGCTGGAGAAAGTGGATCTGTCTTCCAGTCAGTATAAGAATTACACAAACGCATGTTTCAAAATAGCAAAACACAAATGTAGAAAATGCAATAGTTTCAGTGTTTATACCCTTAAGGAAGATACAAAATACTGTAATAAACCACTGATAACCTTGCTCACCAGACAGTGGCTACAGCTTTGGTATTGTTTCCCCTCAGAATCTGATCTGGGCGTTGGGGGGAGCCCCTAGAGCTGATTTTGAGGGTATGCAGGGAGAGAAAGGGGAAGTCTTGAGTGGAACTCTGCCATCTGTGACTTATTTCTAAGTAACCATGTATAGGATTGGACTCCCTGTCCCTGATGTTTTTCTCCCTGTTTTTCTCTGAAATGAATATCTTGCTGGAATAAGCACTTGTCATTTTTCCTACATATTTAGGGTGGTTTATCTTGACATCTTGGCGCTCCCACCCTGCTCTTGTGATTGTGGTGCAAATCCCTCAGGATGCCAGCGGCACTTGCAGAAAACAGTCAGGTGATCTGCGAAGTATGGGCAAATAATCTAGAAGAGGAAATGAGAAAAATTCGGGAAATAGTTCTTAGTTACAGCTACATCGCAATGGTAAATATGTCTTCCAGTATTCAGCTTTCTAAATATAGGATTTATATGTAGACAAATGAGTTATTATAGCTTAAATTAGTGTGTTAAGCTAATTGGTAGATGTGATATAACACCTGATGAAATTTAGGAGGATTTTCAGTGTCCTTAATGCAGATTGAGATATCAGATGAGCAAATGCCTAGCTTCTTTGGTTTGGGCTGTAGGGGATGAAGCTATAAGCAAGTACAAAGTTCCTTTTGCGATGAGGTTAAACCTAAGAGAAGCTCCTTCCCAGCCAACTCATATGACAGCCTAGATTGATAAAAGACACGGTATGTGAAGATGCCTTTAGCGTGCACCATAGCCTAATTATTAAAAGATTGTAGAGTTATGTAGATTAAATAGTCTCTAGTTCACTGAGTGACCACAACCTAAGATAATGGGTTCTTCTGTTCCAGAATCTGAAAATATGTAGTGTTCATGTGCGAAAGAGCCATGTCCCTTCCTCTTTAGCTTATGCTAATCCTATGTGAAACTGAAAAATTGTATTTCAGTCAGGAACAGTTCACATGTTCCGGAACATGGCTTAGAGTTGGGGGAGCAGGACTCTAATCAGTCTGAGGTTTGCTTTTTTACTTTTATTAAGCTAATTAGACTACTACAGTTTAAATTGTAGGCGAAGAAAACCTTTTTTTGTTGTTGTTGCATTCCTGTTGTCCTTCATTCCCTTGTCCCTCCCAGTCACCTTGTATCTCTACTCCTTCCGTTGAATTCAGGGGCACATGAAGGATTCACTTTGCAGATAGTGCACAGATAGTGCCTGCAACAGGCTGGAAAAACAGCTGCCAAGGGCATCTGAATCACCATGTGCCTCTGTATCCAGGGGGAGGAGTGGCTATGCAGTTGTAGTGATGCAGGCATTCTCTCACTTTATCTCCCATTTTAGAATGGCTGGGGGGACCCAGATGTTTCACCAAAGAAGGAAAAGGGCCACAAAAAGAGAAACTGCAGTTGGCTATAGGCATTATTTTATGCATGCTTAATTAACTTTTCGTGACGCTGATGCCAGGAAGCCGGCAACTGCAGAATTCAGGAGATAGTCTGTGGTGTTTATTGCATTGGTGTGTGTGTTATATCTGTGAATAGAACTTACAAGGTTTGGGTTGGACTTCTCTTTGTTTTTCTAGGACACAGAGTTTCCTGGGGTGGTTGTTCGACCAATAGGTGAATTTCGCAGCTCTATAGACTATCAGTATCAGTTGCTCCGATGCAATGTTGATCTGCTGAAAATCATCCAGCTAGGTCTGACCTTCACAAATGAGAAAGGCGAATACCCTGCTGGGATCAACACATGGCAGTTTAACTTCAAGTTCAATCTTACGTAAGTCTTCAAAGTTGGGGAATGTCTGAATCAGTTTTTCTCTGAAAGGTTCCCACATAGGAGGAAGAGCTGCTTGCCAGCTAGGAAAAAATCCCATCTCAATATGAAGGGGTTATGTTTCAAATCAATGTGCCAGCACAGAATGATGGTTTTTTTGTCAAAATGTTATTAAAAATCACTTTTAAACCTAGGATTATTACCAATTTGTTCGGGCTTTAAGTCTTTAGCAGGCCCTTCACCCTAATCAGGAAAAAGTATTTCTTGTAAGTATCATTATAACTTTTTAATTTACGAATTGCCTTTTACATGCTTCTCATGGTAGTTTGCAAATATGCCATACAAGCAGCACAAAAAACAAATCAAGGCAAATGTTTATTATTTTTAAACCTAAAGGAGATACTTTTTTATCCAGCTGGAAAATATTGTCAAAACAAAAATGTCTTCCATTTTTTTTTTTACCCCAAGTATATGGCAAGAAGCTGCCATTTTTTATGGTAAATGTAGACATAGTGGCCCTGCATTTACTCAAATGTTCTGGGGCCTTTGTACTTACACACTCCCAATCTCCTATTTCTTTGTGGACCTTCCTCTCTCATTCCCCAGTGAGGAGTTTATGCTGGAGAGTCTGGAAGTGTGCTCTCACTTTGCACAGGGATAGCAGCTGTTCCTCATACAAGCTTGCCTGGGTTTTGATATCTTAGGGGGAGGCCCATCACCTTCACAGGCATGCTGTGTGGAGCCATGGGAGAGGGCCTTCTTGGTGGCTCCTCCCAGACTTGGGAACACCTTCCCTAGAGAAGCAAGACTGGCTCCCGTTTTGCTGTCCTTCTGAAGCAGGGTTGGGGTGGGTTTAAGACTTTCTTGCTCCAAGATGCTTTTGGGAATTGACTTCTTTTAATGAAAGGGCTACTGTCGTGCTGTTTCTGTTGTAATTATTTCCATGTTTTACCCTGATTTTATATATGTATATAGTTTTAATTCTATCAATATTTAATTGCTTTTAGATTATTGTTTTTCCCCTGTGTTTTTAGTGGTTCATGTTTTTATCTGTAATCTGTCTTGAGCCTCATTGGGAGAAAAGGAGGGTTATAAATAAATATTATAAAAGTTCCATTGATTCATTTAGGCACAGTGAAGACCTGATATATAACATTTATTTGCCCTTCTCACTAGGGAAGATATGTATTCTCAAGATTCAATAGACCTTCTTGCAAGCTCTGGATTGCAGTTTCAGAAGCATGAAGAGGAAGGGATTGATACCTTGCATTTTGCTGAACTACTTATGACCTCTGGTGTGGTGCTCTGTGACAATGTCAAGTGGCTTTCATTTCACAGGTTTGTCAAATAGCATTTCACTTCTAACATTTAGCCACTTTTATGTTATGTTGTGAAAAATTTATGCTTGATTGTAGAGTTTTGAATATCCCATAAAACTTACATTGGGGGCCTTTGACAGAGAAGCTGGGAGCAAGTGCTTTCCGCCCTCCCCTTCTGCTTAAGTCCCCTTAACTTGAACGGGTTATTGAGTGAGGTAATTATGAGAGATGGGAAAGGTGCTGAAATTCTTTGTGCTAAAGTAAGACTCCACAGTGTAGGATTCTGCATCACTGTTCTGTGCCCTTTGCAAATAAATATAAGCTTATTAGTCGGCCCCCTGCAGAACAAAGCCTGCATTGTAGGGGGTTGACTAGATGACCCTCGGAGTCCTTCCAATCCTACAATTCTGTGAAGCATTGTCTTGTTTTTAGTTTTCAGAACTACCAGCACTCAAGTGCTTGCTGTTGATTAAATTAAGTACATGATTCACTATGAATTCCAAAAAGACCCTATTTGGGAAATGTTCTTTCCCTGCCAGAAATCTGCAGTAGTTGAGCGTTGAGCATGTACTGTTAATTAATGTTGATAATAATGATAACCTTGGCTTCAAGGTACCTTCTAGTAACTGCTTCTAGGATATCTCCTAGTAACAGCATTTTAGTAGTACCAGCCAGGTTTGAAAATAATGCATTTAAACCACTGGTTGATCTGTCTTTGCATAATTCCTTCCTCAGTGGCTATGACTTCGGTTATATGGTAAAACTTCTGACAGATTCAAGGCTTCCAGAAGAAGAACATGAGTTCTTTCATATCTTGAACCTTTTCTTTCCATCTATATATGATGTTAAGTACCTCATGAAGAGCTGCAAAAACCTAAAGGTACAGTACTTGATTTTACTGTAATTGCAAAATTTGAGATACATTGGTTGCTGCTTTGTATAGATGTAAACAAAGTGAGCTGAAATATGGATTATTTGGTAGGTTTATGGCTTTTAAAATAATAAATAGTATAACAATAGTAGAATTGGTTTGAATTGCAACTCCCTCTTACTGCTGGGCTGGGTACATGACCAGCATCTTCACAGTGTTCCATCACTTCCTTCCTATTAACCAGACTACCAAATCTCCCTGATAGCAGAGCAGATGAGCTTTGCCAAGATGAGGGGTGTGTGTGGGAATCTTCCTTGCATTGAGAGGGAGTGTGGGCTGGTAACTGCAATGGAGGGTTGAATAGAGCTGAAGAAGGGACAGAAAGAGAGACTGGGGGTTGGGGACAGCTGAAAGCAGATAAAACCAAGCTGCCTTTATGCTTTCTTAGAGATGGGTATAGGGTGTGGAAAACAATGATGGAGAAAAAGAGCTGACTCAGCCTCAGCCACTGTTAATATGGCCCACAGAAAAATGGTTCCCTGCTACTGGCCTACTATTTGATGACCAGTGTCACATGCTCCTTGCAATAAACAACTATTGTGTGAGTGGCAACCTACTGTACCATGGTGTCATTCAATACAAATGGCAGAAGTGTGCACTCGATCCTTGCTCTGTGTGAGTAATCGTGCACAAATGCCTCATTCACCAAGCTGTTTTCACACCAGTGTTATAGGGAGTCTTCCTGTGATCTGATGTGGTACTCTGAAAGAAGTTTGCGACTGGTCTCTGGCGACCTAGAATTTTTTTGTTTTGTTTTACATTTTGTGAACTGCACTTTTATTACTGTTCACTTAAATTTATGACTCATGGGTTGATCAAATTGAGTTTGGAGGCAAATGTCCAAATGCCAATCCTGAGGCTTGTACTAAGATATCCCGATAGCAAAATTGAACTTGTTTGATAGCTCTGTGTTTGTATTGTAGTTTCTAAAGCTTGCTGGTATAGTAACTATAAATTCTTGTCCAAGGTTAACCTTATTAATAAATACAAGTCTAACCCTTGGCCTTCGATTTGAAATTCTTGTAAAATGCTGTGAGCTCTCTAATTGTCATAGGCAGAGAAGACAAGAAGTGAGGTGGATTAGGTCTGATTTCTTCTCTCTTGCAGGGAGGCCTTCAGGAAGTTGCTGACCAGCTGGATTTACAGCGGATTGGACGGCAGCACCAAGCTGGATCAGACTCGCTACTCACTGGGATGGCATTCTTCAGAATGAAAGAGGTAGGCATGTCTTGTCTCCTACCAAATAGTGAGAGTGTGCAGTAGCTTGCCAGCAAATTCTAACCACCTTGGTATCTCCAGCTTTCCTTTGACTAGACAGAGTTTCCCTTTCCATGGTTTCTGCAGTTGGTTAGTCATATGATACAACTTGTGACGTGTATTTTTTTCTGTTTTGCAGTTGTTCTTTGAGGACACAATTGATGATGCAAAGTACTGTGGGAGACTCTATGGCCTTGGTACGGGAGTGGCTCAGAAACAGAGTGAAGATGTAGAAGCAGCTCAAGAGAAAATGAGTATTCTGGCTATTATCAACAATTTGCAGCAGTGACAACAGAATGCTGTTCAACAGAACATGGGTCCATGAGGGCAAGCTTCCTCCTTTAAAGTGTTACATCTCAAACACATGGCAGAAGAACTAGCGTTTTTACAGAGGGCAAAAGGCATCTTTGCTATGAATCTTGGCTGATTCTGATCAGCAGTTTCATAATGGCTGGTAGAGTGTCATGCTCATAAGTAAAAACAGATACAAACTACAGTGTATATACCTCTGTTTTCTTTTAAAACTTGCTGAATTTGCAAGGCGCAGGTCATTTCAGAACTTTCAGCAGTGCTGCAGTTCTCTCATGCACTTGCAGATTTAGCTTTTGAAAGCTTATTTTAAACCTTTTTTTGCTCTCTGTGAGGGTGATGTGTTCCTAAGCCCTCTGCTAGCTTTTATCTTTTGTGTAAGTAATTCTGTGAAAGTGATCCATTCAGCCCTGGTGGTGGAGACATAATGCATGAGATGCTTACATCTTAGTAGCAGCCGTAAGGGTTGTGCTGGCTTGTATTATAGCTAGCTTCTCCTTTTAGATTGCCGGGCCATGTGTCATATAGCAGTATGCTTCATCTTAAGAATCAAAACTGCCTGCATGATTGAGACTACAATAACAATGTGGACCGAAAATTAATTCCAAGTTACCCTTCTACCAAGTTGTTGAGTAAATGGATAAAATCACACGTACCTACCAATGAAGGCTAGTTCAGCTTTTAGATGTCCCTTTTATAGTACTTTAAAGAGCAACCCAAAATTGTTAAATGGTTACAGACTAAAAGTGCATTTAATAGCAATTTTCATACAATCTTGAAAACCAAAATCTGTTTGAGGGAGAGACAAAATCCTGATAGTGTGGTATTTTTAACAAGCTTAATAACTCCCCATTATGTAAAAGTATTCACTGGTTGCAGTTAAATGCTCATGTATATATGATTGGTTCTTAATTTTGTAAAATAAAGAATTTTCTTAAGGCATGAGACTTTTTGACTTTTTCCACACTTCTTTTGAAATTGTGTTTTAAAAAGGTCTCCTAGATCAAAAGCTACAAAGCAAAGCTGGCAGCATGCCTTAATCTGCCAACTGATTTCTGTGAGATAAGTTACCCCCCCCCCTTCAGTAGTTTTAGCCAATGAGTGATATCAAGCGAGTTTTTGGGATCTTTGGGGGTCTTAAAAGGCTGCTGTTTTCCACCCCACCCTCAGCTAGTGGCTTCTGTCTCCTTAGGTCTCCTAAGACTTGTGGCAAATATAATGTACAGTGGTACCTGAATGCCACAAACCCAGAAGTGTTCCAGTTTGCAAACATTTTTTTGGAAGCCAAACCTCCATTTTGGCTGTTGGCATTGTTTCCGGGGCCAATCAGCCGCGCCTTGGTTTGTGAATGTTTTGGAAGTCGAAGAGACTTCCATAACGGATTGAGTTTGAGAACCAAGGTACCACTGTACTTACAGAAAATGGTATACTGAGGGGAGGTCAAGAATATCTTGCCTTACCTTATACGCAAGATTAATTGATATGCATACTACAATTAGCACCATCCATGCATGTTTTTTTTCTTTATTCCCCATCCTACTTTTGGTATAAGATATCTTCACAAGGTTGCAATGATGAGCGGTAAACTGTGCTTTGTATCATCCATACTAGCATTTTTTAAAGGTGCCCTTGCAGGTCCCTTTGTGCAGTAGGCAGCATCCATCCTCAAATCTTTGCAAAATTTGCTTATGAAAGCAGTGATGAAAAAATAAATTTCATTTTTAGAACATATACTATTTATTGGTCAATTGTCGTGCACAGAAAGTTAATAGAAACTATGTACGTTAGAGAATGTACATTAGAGAATCCTTCCACAGAGTATTGCATCAAAATAGAAAATAAGTTGACAGCACTAGAAAAAAAATGGATACTTCTGGTAGGTTGGGTTTTCTTTCTGCACATTATTTCAGAAAGCTCTCACGGACCGGCATGACTATGTAGAAGTATCTTGTTCATCCATTCTAGAATGAGACATATTTCGTCCTTACAAATGTGAGTTCCTTTGTATTTTCTAAGTAGTTCTAATGACTTCTCCTGTAATTCTGGAACTACTTCATGGTGCTGGACACTCATGTGAAGCACAACAAGACAGCACTCAAGTACGTCGGGGAAGGGAGAAACCTGGAAAAAAGAAAAAAAATTGTATTTTTACACACTGGAAACTCCTATGTATAACTCCAAGCTGAGGTGATATATCTTACCACATTTCCCAGCTGCATTATACGATCAATATAACGACATTGCCAGATTTAGTGCTATTCCAAAGAGCACAATATGGCTTTGGCTGGGGAGGGCGGGATATAAATAAAATTTATTATTATTATTATTATTATTAAAGCTACACTGCTGCTGCAGTAAGCAGCTTTTCAGCTGCATGGGTATCTTCAGTGATGACTGCTGCATATTTCAGGTGAACATAACTCGCTTGCTCATAGGTATATTCTGGGGTCACATATTTTAGAATTCATTCACTTTTCCAACTTGAAGCTGTACAAGTCAGCTGTTTTGCTAACCAGTCATTGACATCATTGAAAGGGTAGCTTGAAACGAGTGCTATGCAGATTTTTAAACCAACTGATCTTGTAAAAAACAGGATTTTGCCCTCCAGCTGTTGCTGGACTACAACTCCCATTCTCCCTGGCGAAATTGAATCTTAACATCTGTAGGGCCACAGGTTAGCCACCTACTGCTACAACAAAACAAGCATCTTCAAACATATCTTCAAGGAGACTCAAATCTCTTGATTTCCTTCTGTCAAGTTATAACAATAATAATTTATTATTTATACCCCGCCCATCTGGCTGAGTTTCCCACAAGCTTGTGCTGTTAAGTAAAGCAGGGAAACAAGGATTTTGCTCCATGTTAAAGTCAGACTTACCTTTATACTATCTGGGAACTCTGCCAGTTTCTGATTTGCTTCTGTTAGTTGTTTTGTCAAATCTAGCAGAGAAACTGGTTCATTCACTTGTTCCTTACTGTAAAGAAGTTTTAAGAGATCACAATTTCAAAAATACAAAAAAGTTAAATATTCCCAACCTGCCACTCACTTTAACTTAGAAATTAAAGTGTGATTATAAGGCTTGATAACTGTGTGTCATTAAACATTATGAAACTGACTTCCATATAATAAATACCACTATAAAAGGAATGCAGCAAAAAAATCAGATCAGTTTTTTGTGAAGTGTGTCAAAGGTTTCTCTCAGGGTTAGTGTATCAAATATTCACAGCCAAGGTCTCCCTGAAAAGCTCACACTGAGTGGAGAGACTATTAACACCTTTTCCATGTGTCATATCCAACTAAATCAACGCAAACATGGAACAACATCTGCAAGTACAACAGAACTTCTCTCATCTGGTAATCCCAACCACACCGTCAGAAGGTCTGAGGGTTTGCTTGGTTTTTTTTTACAACTATCACACAACAGAAATTTATGAATTGGGGCCTAGTTCAATGGGATTCCACAGCCAGCTTTGAGCACTACCATCACTAAAATGCACCACTTACTTCTGACTCTGGCTTGCTGGGGATTCAGCTAAATCCTGGCTGTTGGTGGCACTTTGGTGGAGGTTGTTTTTCTGATGTTGGTTGATCATGTCTGCCAAAGTCTGCTGAATTCTAGAGATCTCTCTCTTTGTACTTTGGATTGCAGCATATTCTTCTGAAAGGAGCACTCTACAGCCCCTCAGTTTTGCTTGTCTTTCCACTAAAAGGCTTGAGCTGGCTACTGAATCAGTCTCTGAGTGTGTGCAATTGTTATGTCCTCTTGAAAGCGGATCTTCAACTTCAGTTTCTTCAGGCAAAGAGACTCTTTCAATGTTACTCTGGCCAGGAGTGGACAGCTCAAAAGTGCAAGCCTCCGAGGTCAGCCCTGGTTGTTCCACGACACGCAAATCCACACGTTCCGGGTTCCACCAAAGATCGTATAGTTGCCCATAAGCTACAAATGCCTCCAGGCTTTTGCAGGCTGCCATACTTTGCAAATCTGTGCTGTCCAGCTTCTCTCTTAGATGAGCGCAACCTGCCAAAACATAATATATGCACAGCTGGAAAGGAACATGGGTTCACTTACCATACCTTCTAGGCTGGCACAGTGAGGAAGGCATTCATGTGATGGGCTGCTTGCCCTGATTCACTCAGGAGGGACTACATGACAGGTGATTTAATGTAGAACTTCCTCCCCCTAGATACCCTCCAGTTTTTCATCTGTGACAAAGCTACAACTTAGTAGTATCCAAAAGAAGTAAAACACAGAAGACATCCCCGTCACTAAGCAGAGGCCAGTTCCCTTTTGACTGGTGGAAATGAAATACAGTGGTGCCTCGCAAGACGAAAAGAATCCGTTCTGGGAGTCTCTTCGTCTAGCGGTTTTTTCGTCTTGCGAAGCAAGCCCATTGATGGGATTAGCGCTATTAGCGCTATTAGCGGCTTTTAGCAGCTTATCAGCTTATCGGATAAGCAGATAAGCGGCTTAGTGACTTAGAAAAAGAGGGGGGAAAGGAAAAAAAAAACCCAGGAACTCGCAAGACATTTTCGTCTTGCGAAGCAAGCCCATAGCAGATTCGTTTTGCGAGGCACCTCCAAAACGGAAAACTCTTTCGTCTAGCGAGTTTTCCGTCTTGCGAGGCATTCGTCTTGCGGGGCACCACTGTACAAGAAGTGTCATTGGAAGTGGCCTTGTAGATGCCTCACTATGCTAGCCTAATCAGGGTCAGATACAGAGTGGAATGTTAGTTATTTTTTAAAACAATGCCTTGGTTTACACAACAGAACTTCTCTAGAACACTGCGCTGATTATCCATAATCTGCATACTGTATAGAACAAGGAGGACGTAAGCAGTCCTCTCCCTTTCAACAGTTCAGTACAACTGCTTTGTTAATCTATTAATTATATTTAATTCTCTGCTAAACTTACGGTTTGTGGTGTACCAGGGCAAAAAGTCATGGGTTGTATCCAACTAAATCATTATGTGAGCATGATGAAAATTTCCTTCCCTCTCCTCCTTCATGTGCCCTCACAGGGGAAGTTATGATGCCCCAACAGTAGATGTTCTGTGTATGCAATGATTGAGATGGATACAAACTCATGGTCCTAGCTTCTGATGCAACACAGCTATCCCTTTCCTGGTTTGCTTATCAACGTGCATCAAAGCTGGAGGAACATGGTTGCATGCAGAGTATGGTTTCTTAACCCAAGAACCTTGGCGTCCCATTACATGCAAATGCAGCCTCTGCTCAATATTGCTTAAGTGACAAATTGAACTATGACCTTTTAATGAATAAAAGGGAAGCCAGAGGTGCCAATGATGGGATCCAAGAAAGCAAAATTCTTATAGGAAAGTTACCAGAATACCATCCTTGGATAGGAACTTTGTAAGTTGGGGGGCTCGAAGTCTTGATCTGTTCCAATGGATTTATATAAAAACTGACCTAAATGTGGGATGAGTTTTTATACCTGTAGGGAGGAGGAGGTTGCAGATTTCTTGCATAAGTCTGAAGTTTCCAGCATCGTAGCTACGGGTCACAGCTGCAAGAGTGGCTTTCACTGTCTCCTCCCAGGAAGCAGTCTGATGGCTCAGAATTGCCAGTGTGAGATCGTGGGAAATATGGAACAAAACCTAGAGAGAGAGGGGGGTGAGGTGGGAGGGACCGTGAAAACACAAAAGGTTTCTGAAGATCCGACATGGGGAACCTCTGGCCTATGGGCCAAATCAGGCCCACCAGAGGTCTTAATCTGGTTTCCGCAAGTTGGTTCCTCCCCCTGAGTAATACGCATCTGCCCCAGACCCAGTGTCATGTGATGTCAGGTGTGGAACAGGCTCCAAAGGGACAACAAGGAGCCTTAAAATATGCCCCCAGTTGCTCCTTAGCAGTGAAGTTTGCATTTGGTGACAACCTGGGAGCTCCAGAGTGTGGACTTTGACACTTTGGTTGACCGTGGGTCAGTCAATGTGGACCAAAAAAGGGTAGCCACCCCTGCTGTAGAAAGTGGCTTGATGCTTTTAGCTGTGGTGATCACAGGGGCTGTTTTTAAAAGCACCGTTTTTACCAAAAAAGTACGGTTTTGAAGCAGGAAATGAAGCTCTCTCTGTCTAGCTGTCTCTCCACCCCATGAACTATCACGCAAGCCTGTCCACAGGAGACAGTATGTGAAGGCTTGCACCATTAACTTAAGGGGCTGGCAACCAAAGAACCAGCCTGATATTCAGCAACATCCATGCCTGCCTACTCAGAAGCAAGTCCCACTTAATTCAACAGGATACTGAATGTCCAGTGGGACATCTAGTCCTTGGGAGATGAGAGTCTCTTCACTTGGCTCACTCCTTCAAGACGCCCCTGCCTAGCAAACAACGCCAAATGATGGAAAACACGCAAGTCAAGAAAACTGATGCAAGCTCTCTCTCAAAGCACACAATGCATACATCATGAAGCATAAAGTCGCCCTACCAGTACTTTTCCTAAATACAGAAGGAACAAAATGGATTGATTGAAATGGGGATTTACAGCACTAACTTCTTGACCCATTTTGGAAAAGCATGGCTAAGAACTATGATTAATTCTGCACTGTACTCATGGCAGTGAGATCACCTTTCCTCGCCCTTCTCTCCAATTCAGAGAGACCATACAGGCAGAGCCCACATGCAAATTACCTGCCTGGGATGACTATGGCTAGTAGCGGGAGGATACTCAATAGTTCTCAGCTGTTCAAGCAGGTTCTTGGACTGCTCAGCAGTATCGACACCAAATATGCTCTGCCACACATCGGCCACCATTTCTGTGAAAGAGCAGCCTTGCTTCACTGTCCAGCTGTGGTAGCAAGGTAGGGATGGGCTTCGGTTTTCCACCAGATTCTTTTCAGCAAGGCACTTTTGGAGCAATTCATTGACGCTGAACACCAGCCTTTGTCCCTGTAGATTAAAACCATAGTCAGGAGGAACAAGGCACCCAGGGACCGATTCATTTAAACAGAAAAGGAAAAGCAATCCAGAACGTTTCTCGCAAAACTTGATGCAATGTATTCAATGGGGTTATATGGCTGAAAGGTAGATGTCACATCACAAATACAAATGTCTCTTGGGAGAGTTAGGAATATTTTATCGGAAACTTAAATAATGAAGGTATTTCCTATTAGCAGAATTTTCCTATGGCAGGAACTGAAATTCTGATTTTACAACAATAAGGAAAAAATAAGACCACTGTATTGAATGAAGAGTACTTCTTAGTAAGTATGTATTTGGACTGTAGCTTAAGGATTTCTGTTTGGCTCTAGTTGTATATATACACGTACAGCAACTAAGCAGACCTGCATGAAGTGTCTAAAACTAATAAACACTTCAGAGGCAAGTGCTAATAGTTGTGAAAACAGTGTTTCTACTTGAAACAAGAAGTAGATTACCATGTTGAATGGTTGACTGTATTGTATAACTTGTCACATTTGAGATACTTCATCTCATAAGTTGTGTTATTGATAACTTTTCCATGAAAAAGCAGGCTTTAACTCTATTTGTAGTCATGGATTCTGTTTTCAAGCAATTAAGATGGTAGACTTTAATAAGTTATTTGAATTACAAAGAGATATACTATTTAAACCAATTATTTTAAATGACACAATATACATTAAAAAGAGCACTTTTAAAATTCAGATTTTTTGAAAAAGAAATCACTTTTTCACATTTACCCTGAGTAGGAATGATCACTTGGGCTTGCAAAGCTAACCAGTATCTCCCTCTGAACAAAAATGCACAGGACTGAACAGGTGATACAACTCCAGAGTCATCCATGGTGCAACAGTAAAAGGAGTAACACACACTGACCAACAAACTCTCATGCTGCTGGAGGACATCTTGTGCCCCAACCCAATTCTTGGAAGACAGAAGTTCTTGGGCGCATTTGAAGGAGAACATCGTTGACAGATCTTTCTCTCCAGCTATCAGAGCCAGCTCAGCAGCAGCTTTAAGGGAGGTGGTATCGGCCTTTTTAGCCAGCACTTTGGCTGCATCGTAGGGAGAGGCAGCTCCCAGGTAACTGAAAGGGAACCATCAACAAAAGAAACTCTTATTTCACCAGCAGACACTTCGTTTCAAGACAACTTGAAACAAAGTCAAAAGACACCCAAGTCAAAAGTTAAGTCTAATCTAGTGCAAAGAATTGATGCTTTTGAATTATGGTGCTGGAGGAGACTCTTGAGAGTCCCATGGACTGCAAGAAGATCAAACCTCTCAATTCTTAAGGAAATCAGCCCTGAGAGCTCACTGGAAGAACAGATCGTGAAGCTGAGGCTCCAGTACTTTGGCCACCTCATGAGAAGAGAAGACTCCTTGGAAAAGACCCTGATGTTGGGAAAGATTGAGGGCAAAAGGAGAAGGGGACGACAGACGACGAGATGGTTGGACAGTGTTCTTGAAGCTACAAACATGAGTTTGACCACACTGCGGGAGGCAGTGGAAGACAGGAGGGCTTGGCGTGCTCTGGTTCATGGGGTCACGAAGAGTTGGACATGACTAAACAACAAGTGTAAAGGCGCTGTGGTTCAACTGCTGACTGGAGCAAAGTGCTACAGCAGCTTTAGAATGCCTAAATGAATGTCTCTCCCTTTAGACACCCAACCAATCTCTACGCTGCAGTGAACTGGACCCAGTGTGGCAGCACCCACCCTCTGCAACACCCAGCAGGTGCCCTCTCTTATTATCTTTACAGCACTTGATGAAGACCTTCCTCTTCCAGAAAGGTTTATAACTGGAGATTCTTATCCCAGTCTACATCTGTACCAAATCTGAAATTGTTTTTATTTTTAAAACATATGGGAAGCAATTCACAAATGAAAAAAAATCATTTTCACTTTCTTGAAGTACCTGATTTTATATCAAGGCTGGTTCAGGGGGTACTGGGTGACTCAAAATGAGATCACTAAAATGATTGCGTACGCTTGTCCAATTCTGATGGTCAAAATCAAATCTAAGATACATATGTGAATCAAGCTGGTTGAACAAACAAACAATGTCTGGCACCACCAGTGCAACATCCTGCTAAGACCCAGGTTCGTTTATGGCATGAAAGGGGCAAATCTTTATCTCTCTTGACCTTGATGGGCCAACTACTGACAGGTGAGCAGGACTACACACCTATCAAACGTTGGCCCACCCAGGGTGGGGGGAGATACTCCTCAAGCCCATCACTGATACATGGGGAACTCTTTCCTGTTTTATGCAGCATTTCCTGGTGGGAACTGGCTTGCATGACCCAACTGAGCAGGACTGATGACCCTGCACAAAAGAAGCAATCAGAATAGAGGTATGTGTTTTAGTGCTCTTTGCTGAAACTTTGGGGCAATCCACACATTCCTAGAGGGAACGGAGCAGGATTCAACTCCTTATGCATCAGATCCATCCTGCTGTCTGCAGCTGGCATTTCTACCTTGCATATGATGTCAGGTGCAGGTGGCTGGAATTTTGGAAAAATGACCTTGTGGGCCCAGTACGTCAGGCAACCTGCAGGTTCCTCACCTCTGCCTAAGAAGCAGCTGAAGGGAAGCGATTCAATATTCACCATGGCCATTACTGCACATCACATTGAGGATGGCAAAGATCAGGTTGAAGTGAACAGCATTGAGCTGGCTGTCACATTCCAAAATCTGTGGATCACAGTTCTACAGTACTCTGCACCAATTAAATGATTGTGCCCTCCAACATCTCATGTTGGAAGGAAGACTCTCCAAAACAACCAAATTATTTAGGAGATCCTGGCTCTTAGGTTCAAAACAGCTCTCATTTAAAGTAAGAAAAGTGTTGCTTGCACCAATACCATTTGGCTGCCATGGAATAATGGCCGTCCTTCTCCAGCACTGCTGCCCAGCTGGTGTACAAATCCTTCAGAACGGGATCTTCAGGACGCAACCTAGCCTTGGCAACTGCAGTGGCTTCCCTGGAGGAAATGAGAAAACCATTTAGATACACCACACTAATGCACAGGAAAAACGAGCATGCTTCCGTTACTTCAAAAGGAAGTTGATCCTAACAATGATCATGAATTGATTCTACTTCATTCAGATGCCAAGGCATTCACTAAACCAGCAACAGTCTAACTTGAATGACTTGTAGCACTGTTGCATTATCTGTGAACTTTACAGGCTCACATACAGCAGTAGAGAAATCACACGATTGCTCAAAAGTTGGCAAGTCTTTCATGTATGTGTGAATTACTGTCACTGGAAGGATTTTATCTGCGTAGTAACAGGCATGTATGACCTATCTATGACCATTCATCTGCAATGGTTCATGTACAAGCGAGTAATCACTTGATCTTTTGGGGCTTGAACACATGTGCGAATTGGGCCAGGTTCTTTACCAGGTGGGATAGAATACAGTGTTATTTAAAATGAGAAAAGTAACTACACCAGCTCCTTACGCAGCTCTAACACAACCGTTTATTACACCCTTGCGCTAAATTTGATATATCCATCTTTGCCCACTGCCACTTAAAAGGCTGCCAGCTATGGATTTATCTGGCAATACATTTTCCTTCGTTACATATCCAGAAATGCAACTGAAGGAATGGATCTGAGTGTTCACTATTCCCAGGACTTTTAATAACTAGGATTTAATGTATTTTAGTTTTTAAGCGGCCGGGGGGGGGGGTGTTCTACATTGTAACCCATCAAAACAACAGGAGTATAGTAACCTGAAAAGGTTGTGTGATTTCAGCAGCTCCACAGCCTCATACACTTTATGAATGGAGAGGAGATGGGACGCGGCTTTAACGTACTGCTCTTGAAAAGAGAGCTGCTTTGCGAAGGCTTCTACAGTCCATGCCCAGGTCTGATAGCCAGCTGAAACAGTGACAGCAAAATTATAATACAACAATGAAGTGAACACATACAAGAAAGGACTTCCTACAAGAACGGAAAAACATTCTTGTCTTGTAGTGTAAAGATAACGCAGGATTCTTAACTGTGGGGGAGGAAACCACTTTATAATTATTCTGTTCTCCGGAGTCCAGCCACTAAGCCCTCAGAGTAGCCTGGTTTTGCTGTGTCTGGATTAAGCCTGCTTGGTAGCAAAGTAGCAGGTGCTTCTTTCGGGGTGAGGGATATCAAAACATACCCATTGGTGAAATGGCCACCAGCTGGTCTGTCAGCTCTCCCCTTTCTGCAGCGGACTGAAGAGCACTTTTCAGATCTCCTTTCCACAGCATGAGCTGCTGAAATAATTCCGGGTGTCCATTCTCCAAGTGGCTTTTTCCTGTGGGAAACAAAACGTGTTCCCTGGTTAGCACCACAGAAGGAGAACGGAAAAATGCGTACAGCAAAACAACGATAAAATATTCAAGTCACCACTGGAACACAATGTCTATACCGGCTTTCTACTATGAGCTCTTCAGTTTAATGGTGAAATTTTGAGACCATGCTGCCACCTCAGCCCTTAAACACCTACCCTACCCACACCACCCTTATTTTCTGTAGTTGGAATGAATATTAGGCAATTTGTCATACAAGCGTACAAGAGAATGTAGAGGAGCCACTTATTTCAAGGTTAAAGCTTGATGGATTCACTAGGTACTAAACAGCCACACAAATATCACCCCCCCCCCCCAAAAAAAGAAGGTGGGAAAACCTGAGTTAGGATTCAAGGACTAACCTTCTGCTTCTATCATTCTGTACAGGGCAGGTCTGTCTGTGAATAGCCCCAAATGGATAGGATCCTTTGAACAAGAGGATCTATCTTCATTCTGAGCTATAAGAAAGAAAAAAAAATCACCTTCTGTTTCACATATACGTTTATGTTCCTCATGACAGGGTAAAATATTTTGAGTAGTTTTACAGTTCTCGATTACTTATAAAGCACTATTAATATACAAAGAACTCGGTGAAGTTTGCGGCCCGGCCTAAAACCATAATTACCGTACTTTTCGCACCATAACACTCAGTTTTTTCCCCCTAAAAGGTAAAGGGAAATGTGTCTGCGCGTTATGGAGCGAATGCAGGCAGGAGGAGCCGCTCTTGCTGGCTGTTCGGCAGCCTCTCTTCCTTGCTGAGAAGCCGGCAACAGCTGAGCAACAGCTGAGTGTCGGGAGACAGCCTCTCTTCCTCCTGTCTGCCTGCTCTATGGCTTTTTGGCGAGGTGGGAGAAGGGAGGCAGCTCGGAAGCCGGCAAGAGCTGCACGCAGCGTGTAAAAGCCAAGGTGGGGAAAGGGAGACAGCCTCTCTTTCTCCTGTCTGCCTGCTCTATGGTTTTTTGGTGAGGTGGGCGCTTGGAAGCCGGCAAGAGCTGCGCGCAGCGTGTAAAAGCCAAGGTGGGGAAAGGGAGACAGCCTCTCTTTCTCAGTGTCTGCCTGCTCTATGGCTCTCCCTTACACAAATGTAAGCGGCTCTTACTCTGCTTTCTTTACAATGAGCTGGAAGGAGGGACAAAGAGGGCATCCCCTTCCGTCCCTCCCCCAGCACCTCACCGGTAAATTCAAACAAAGCGGCTTACAAGGCTCGTGTCCCTGAGTCTCCTCCTCCTCTTTTTGCTCCGGTTCGAGGCAAGGCAGCTGCACAAATGTGAGTTCCCCCTCTCTTCCTTCCCTCCCTCCCTCCCTCTTCCAACTTCAAAAAATATTGGGGGGACAGCCAGGTAAACCCCACTCACATACCACAAGGGGGGGGTGGGGGATGACTCCCTCAAATATTTAATGGGGTGTGTGTGTGAAGGCACCTAGGCCCATAGGAGTTGGCTGCTTTGCCTAGGACAAATGTGAGCTCTCCATCTCTCTTCCCTCCCTCCCTCCCTCCCTCTTCCAACTTCAATAAAATATTGGGGGGGCAGGTACAGGTAAGCCCCATCTCACAGACTGCAATGATCTCAAGACAATGTGCATGCACACTGGTACCTTATATGAATGGCAATGCCCATCAGCATGGGGAGAGAATGACTCCCTCAAATATTTAATGGGGGGTGAAGGCACCTAGGCCTATAGGAGTTGGCTGCTTTGCCTAGGACAAGTGTGAGCTCCCCCCCCCCCCTCCTTCATCACTGTATTGGAGACACCATACATTACTGACAGTTCCTTCATTCACGTGGTTACAAAGCACGGATCAACATGGATCCTCAGGATTTTTGCACTGGGTCACCCAAATTCACCATCAGATCACATAGCATGTCCATGGCTACAGCCTGCACCAAACAAAATCACGCACCCACTGTTGCCTGGGGCCGCAGTGGTGCAAAAACGTGGTTACAAAGCACGGATCCACATAGATCCTCAGGATTTTTGCATTCGGCTACCCCAAACTCACCGTCAGATTACATGTCTGTGGCCACAGCATGAACCACAAAAATCATACATCCACTGTTTCGTTTAGAATTTTTTTTTCTTGTTTTTCTCCTCTAAAAACTATGTGCGTGTTATGGTTGGGAGCGTGTTATAGAGCGAAAAATACGGTACTTTAAGAACTCCCCCCCCCCCCCGCCGCCCAAGAACAGATTCCAGATGACCACTCAGATTGAGGCTCTCCCATACACACATTCTTCTTATGTTCAGTTTGATGTCCTTTTGTTCGCAAGTAGATTTTCTGCTTAATCTCTGGAATGGCAATTTACTGTTTCATATGTATTCATCTATTAAAGACACCCTGGCCTACTTTGCATATTTTCAACCCATGTTATTTAACAGAACACACATTTCAGCTGAGCACAGTCAAGCGTAGCCATCATTACTGAATTTGCTGCCCATACCTTTGGAGTGCAAGAAAGCTGCTAGTCTCATACAGTCCTGGTGCAGGTCTTCTTTTGACCTATGGTCCATAGATGTGCTGAGAGGTAGGATGGAGCGAGGCTTTTTCCTCTTCACAGAAGAATCTGATCCTGACAAGAGAGTTGCCATAATATCGTTCTAGGCTACAAGTGGGAATCTCTAGCCACAGGCTTGTATCATTATTTAAGAGCTAAAGTAGCCTTCCCCAACCTAGTGCTCGCCAGGTATTTTGGACTCCTATAAGCCCCAAGCAGCATGGCTGATGGTCAGGTGCGCTAAACCACAATTAGTAATACAAGCAAATGTATTTCCTTTTTAAAGCAAAGAAGGCTTAACATGTCCCCATCCTATGTAGCCTCCCTAGATTTCTCCTACAGGATGCATACCTACCTGGTTTAAACTGATCCTTCCTCACAAGCGGGGTCTTGTGGATCACAGGTGGTTTTGGAATATCGGTCACACAGGCAAGCGGTGAACACACTGGAGAATCCTTATGAACTACAGTGAATAACAAAACTACATTTGCATAATGTCTAGCATAAAAATGGCCAACTTTATACATGCTATGGAAACAGAAACTTGAAAAAATAAATAAAAGCTGGGCAAAATAGAACTGATGTTCACATGCTTCTTATTTCCTATGAAATATTTCATGGCCTCTGGCTTTCAACGCTGGTTGAAAAACAGGTAAAGTGTAGGGGGCCGCTGGGGGCGCATTGGAAGATGGCCGACAATACCATCTCTCCGGCTCACATGAGGTAATTAAGAGGCTAATATGGGAGTAATTAGCCTCCCAGGTTTTCCCAGGGGGATTGGGAAAACCCTGCCTCGTCTGCGGTTGCCTATAAATCACCCCCGAATTCGAAAGAAGGAAGGGGTGAGGGCACTAGACGGAAAGCCCTTGTGTGAGTTTTTTTCGCTCTCCCGGACGCTACTTCTGATCGTGACCTGGTTGCAGGAGCTCAAGATAAACAATTAGGAAGAGCAAATGCACATGTTTCGAGTGAAGAAAGGGAGTATTGATTGCTAACTGAATTGACCTCTGTGAAGCTGAGCGACGGGTTGGACTGAACAGGAAAATATATCAAAGAAGACTACATCAAAGATGTCGGTATGTTGGAACGCGGCGGAAAAGGGGGGGGGGACTTCTTTTTTTCTCTATGTGATTGCCTAACAACCCCCCCAAGAAGAAACGTTGCAATTACCAATAACAAGTAAGATCGAATAATGACCTGTGTGGAAATGAATTATTAACCAAAGGCTTTGCTTTGTGGAAGATCTGGAAAGGAAATGGAAGGCTTTTGGGATGACACAGTTCTAAAAGAGAACTGCCATGACAAGACAGGCTCTGTTGCAGGATTGACGGTCAAGAGGGGGAGGAAGCCACGGTTTTGTTATCATATTTGACTCTCCGTTTGATCTGGCAGAACCCCCTGAAAAGATTGATGTCGGAGCAACAGGTCTGAGAAAGCTAATGAGCAGATGCTGAGACTGTATTTTATGGAAATGTCGAAATGGCGTCTGCCGTCTGAATATGACTTTTGGATTAATGTGAAAATCCACACAGGACTATAACAACGTTCGTTTCAACTTGCTTGTGGAGACTTTCAGAGGTTATAAAGAAAGGAAAAAAATACGATAACAACAAGAAAATTGAAAGATGATTTGTAAAGGAAAATAACAAAGAGATGAATGGACAGAACTGTGAACATCAAAGCAGTAGAAAATAAGAGATGATTGGACCCTTTCTGAGCTCGAAGCATGGGTACCCCCAACAAAAATTTAAAATTCGGTTTTGTAATTTGGAACTAATGTGATTTGATTGGTTTGTTAATAAAAATCATTTTTTTTAAAAAGAAAAACAGGTAAAGTGTAAGAGAGCTGAGAAGTGTAGGCCAACTTCCAGTTCAGTTTAGTTTACCTCAAAGACAACACAGTCTGATTTCAGAGCTACATAAACTAAGAGCCCAGAGATCTTACTTGTGCCAGATGTCAAGGGTTCATCCTACTTTGCTTTCGGTATTCAAATTTCAAATAAAATGAATAAAGATGACAGCCATTCTCATAACCACTTAAAAGTTAATCTCCGCTCTTTGAACTAGTATGAAAATGATTATATCCACAGTTCCATTTGCAGACCAGAGAGGGACCTTCTGCTCTTTAAACAAGATCTGGGGAATCTTTGGACAGATGGTGTAAGAAAACATACAAACGAAGTAGATACCTTCCATGGAAATCCTCTCAACTGTATCCTGCTCCTGTTGCTCCTTTTCTCCCTCTTGGTCAGACAGGCCATTCTCCTCTAAGAAAGACTCTTTCGCGTTCTCACCACCATTCACCCAGTCACTTACATCTGGTATTGAAGGCACCTTTCCCAAGGTCTTCTTCTTCTTCTTGGCTTTTGGTTTGAGCTGAGTGTTTCTCTTTTTCTCCAATTCAATGTTCTTCTTACCTACAAAATAACAGAAATGTCCTGAAAATAAAAGCTGTGTGCGTTCAAAATGCGCTTGGGAGAATAGCCACACACCCTCACCCAAGGAGGGTGAACCAGACGAATTGCACTGATGAGTTGTGCTCACCATCATTCTTTGGAGCTCTGTCTTTGCTGCCAGGTGAGCTCTCATCTTCATCACACTTCATGAGGCCTCAATTCCTGCTGACTTAGGAACACTCCCTAGGGCTACGTTTGAGAAACACTGAACTAAATGAAGCAAATGCATCTACTTCCCCTCACCCCCTTCCTCGTCCCCCTGGTGTCAACACATCAGCAATCTACTGACCTTGGGGAGGGCGGCTGTGCTCTTGCTTTGTAGCTACCCATTTATGAACACAGAAGTCATCTGCTCCAGTATAAATGGAGTCCGCTTCCACAGGTGACCACTGCACACAAAGCAGCCGGCCCCGGTGTCCCCTGTAGTTGTGCAAAGGCTCTTCCTTCAGAACATTCCAAACCTGTAAACATAACCTCTCATTAAGAAAAGCAGTCAAAACTTTTCCTGTTTTCAGTAAGAAGGCTAATGCAACTGGGTCATCTCAAAGGAGGAGCATCTGAGTCTCCAGACCCCTCCACTTTGGAGTACAGCAGGCAGCACTTCCAACAGAGTCTGTGCAAAGAATGCCTACTATCTGTTTGGGCATTCTCTTCACCCACATCCCATTTTTCTTAATTTGCCATTTTTTGCTCATGGCATATTTGTACAAGATCAGTTTCCTCTCTCTCTCTGTGTACACACACCCAATGTACACTTCCTGGATTCTATATACACACACACCAAAGTACACTTAGGAAGAAACTTATGTTGTTTTTTCTTATTACTTATGTTTTGCAAGAAAGGCAAAATACAAGAATGCACCCGTCTATAAAAGTGCTGATTTCACCTACAAAATATCCTAAAGCAGGACCCTTTCATGGCAGCTGCCTCCATTTATTTACACAAGTGCCTCCTTAACACCTAACAAAGCACACACATATTGTGTACTCTGTACAAAATGTAGCAAAAGAAGCCACTATTCAAGATACAACTCTCCTTGATTAAAAAGAAGAGCAAAATAGGCATCCCTAAATCCCTTATCTATTTAATTAGCGGTGGCAGAGGGAAGAACTGTACAAAAATCACAACCCTTTCACAATCATACCTGGGCAGTGCCATCATAGCAAGCAGATACGAGCCGCCCGTCATGATGTGGGCTCCAAGACAAGCTAGTAATCTTAGCTGTGTGCCCCGCCAAAGTACGGAAAGGTTCAGTTATTGTCACAGGTCTCTCTGGAGAGTTTTCTAAAGACAAAATACATGGTGTTGGAAGCAGCTGGACAAATGTTCCTAAATGCATGTCAGAGAATAAAAATTGCTTCTAAAGGTGCCAATGTTATTTGGTCAGAGACCCTTGGCAGCGCAAGCACAAGGGAACAGTAGCCCATGTCCACACTCTAGAAATCTTCTGTCACAATGGCTAATGCCATACACACCAATGTGCTGTTAAGTAATGTGTTCCCAAGGATAGTTTTCTTGCAGTTCTCTCAAGACAGCAACAATATTAATGCTTGAATTTCTGAAGAGTTTGACTTCAGTGGATTTAACACAACAATACTGGGGGGGAAATGCAACCATCACAACGTAAGGGAAGCAAAGCGTACTGTCAAAGCCAGGCATAGGCAAACTCAGCCCTCCAGATGTTTTGGGACTACAACTTCCAGCATCCCTGGCTAACAGGACCAGTGGTCAGGGATGATGGGAGTTGTAGTCTCAAAACATCTGGAGGGCAAAGTTTGCCTATTCCTGGTCAAAGCTAATGGTGACTCAATAACAATATACTCCTTGCATCCTATTTGCTCAGCAAATTTGAATCTACCAAGATTAATGGTTTCATCTGAGCAGGTATTACCAGTCCAGGATCACAATTTTGGTTGGGCATAACATAATTTCTGTCAAATCTCTGACTGCACAATCAGCTCCTGAACATGCTAGTTCTGTGTTACTGTCATCATTTCAGTTCTCTGTTACCCCATTAGTTCCAGTGCCCCCCAAACCCAAGACAACATGCTAACATTAAGGCTAATTTTATCATATAGTTTACAGTTTTTTCAGAAATCTCCCATGAATGCCAAACTTCACTGAGAAAATAGTTTCACAGGAACACAGGTTTTTGCTGTACCACACACAAAAAAACGAGGTTTCCAGACTTAGCTGCTGTTATCTCTTGACACTTCCATAAAAGCAGATCTGTGCAATGACGCACATACACACAGAGCATTGCTCAAACAAACGGAGAAGGAAGAATCCTTTAGCGTTTGAAGCCATGAAGGAACCAACATTGCCCAGGAAGAGGAGAAATAGCAGCACCGCCAGTTTGCTGTCTGAACAGAGCGACTGATGGCAGGTTCTAAAAGCATGAGCAAGAGTTACCTATGACACTCTTGATATTGTGTACATAAATGGCGGCGTTGTTTGAGCCAGAAGCTATCATGTAACTCAGTTCTGGCTGTGCCCCATGATCGTGATGCCAGCGAATAGCATTGATGAGCTTGTGGTGCTGCTGGATGGTGCACAAGAGTTTCAAGTCAGGAGCCCGAAGTATTTCAATAGAACTGCAATATTAAAAATAAAGGAGGGGGAGAAAGGAAGAGATGATCAATTAACAAGTTGAATAATGTGGCAAACAAAAACGTTTGCCACCTGCCTTCCCAAAACAATATATGCAACTCCTTAGGCTAGCAAAAAAATAAAAATTAAACAGCTTAGTACGTCCAAGTAAGCCACTTCTATTTTTGTCATGTTTAAAATTAAGTTAGATTTGGAAGGTTGTTAAGTACACCCTGTACTGACCTTAAATCCACAATGCCTACTGCATATATAAAGTTAGCATGAACTTAAATGTTAGTACATACCCATCTTCATTACCAATAGCCAAGATGCTGCCATCTGGTTTCCAGCTGATCTCTGTGTGTGCTGGTAGTTTGTGCTAAAATGAAATAGACAAAGAAGTAGAGAGCTACCTCAATAGTCCCGACACTCTTTTTATATAACCAGCAAAAAAATAAAATACACGAGAACTGATTATTATTATTATTTGAATTCATATACAGTGGTGCCCCGCAAGACAAATGCCTCGCAAGACGGAAAACCCGCTAGACGAAAGGGTTTTCCGTTTTTGAGTTGCTTCGCAGGACGAATTTCCCTATGGGCTTGCTTCGCAAGACGAAAATGTCTTGCAAGTCTTGAGATTTTTTTTTCGCTTTTCGCCCCCTTTATCTAACCTGCTAAGCCTTTAATAGCCTTTAATAGCCTTTTAGCAGCTAATCCGCTAAGCCTTTAAGCCTTTAATAGCCGCTAAACCGCTAATAGCGCTAATCCGTTAAGCCGCTAATAGGGTTGCTTCGCAAGACGAAAAAACCGCTAGACGAAGACTCTCGCGGAACAGATTAATTTCGTCTTGCGAGGCACCACTGTACCGCCCTATACGGTATAAGTCTCAGGGCGGTTCAAATAATAAAAGCAATGTATGAAACCACAAAATACACAATCAAAATGAAAACAACAACCCATTAACACCCCCCCCAAACAAAAACCACACCCCACATTTTGAAAGGGCATAGGATGTCAATCAAATCAACCAAAGGTCTGGTTAAAAAGGAACATTTTTGCCTGGCATCTAAAGGTGGATAATGAAGGTGCCAGGTGAACTTCCCTGGGGACAGCATTTCAGAGACGGGGAGCCACTGCAGAGAAGGCCCGTTCTCGTGTTGCCACCCTCCTGACCTCTCGAGGAGACACACAAAGAAGTGGCCTCAGAAGATGATCTCAGGGACCAGGTTAAGTTCATATGGAAAGAGGTGGTCCGTGAGGCACTGCGGTCCTGAGCCATTTAAGGCTTAATTGGTCAAAGCCAGCACTTTGAATTGGGCCCGGAAACTAATTGGTAGCCAGTGCAATCGGACCAGGATCGGTGTAATATGCTCAAACCATCTTGCTCTGGTGAGCAACCTGGCGCTGAATTCTGCACTAGCTGAGGTTTCCAAACTGTCTTCAGAGGCAGCCCTACGTATAATACATTGGAGTAATCTAACCTTGAAGTTACCAGAGCATAGACAACATTAGTTAGGCTATCCCTGTCCAGATAAGGGCGTAGCTGGGCTACCAACCGAAGCTGATGGAAGGCACTCTGGGCCACTAAGGCCACCTGAGCCTCGAGCGACAGCAAAGAATCCAGGAGGACCCCCAAACTACGAACCTGCTCCTTCAGAGGAAGTGTAACCCCAACAAGAGCAGGTGATCTGCCACCTATCTGGTCTAGAGAACCACCCACTAACAGTGCCTCAGCTTTATCTGGATTGAGTATCAGTTTGTTGGCTCTCATCCAGTCCATTACTGAGACAAGACACTAGTCCAGCACTTCCACTGCCTCACCTGCAGATGTAAAGGAGAAATAGAGCCGAGTGTCATCAGCATACTGCTGACAACGTACTCTAAACCTACAGATAACCCCACCCAGTGGTTTCATGTAGATGTTAAACAATGTAGGGGATAGGATTGAGCCCTGCAGAACCCCACATTGGAGGTTCCACGGGGCTGAAAAGCATTCCCCAAGCAACACCCGCTGGAAACAACCATCCAAGTAGGAATGGAACCACCACAAAGCGGTGCCACCCACCCCTAGTTCAGACTGTCGCTCCAGAAGGATACCATGGGTTGATGGTAAGAGCTGCTAAGAGGTTGAGAAGAACAGGGACATGTTTCCCTCGTCTCTCTCTCTCAACAGAGGTCATTATATAGGGCGACCAAAGCAGTTTCTGTGCCAAAACCAGGCCTAAACCCCGATTGAAATGGATCCAGAAAATCAGTTTCTTCCAAAATTGCCTGGGTTAAGAGAGGGGGCACATAGGAGATGGGAATCCATGAAATTCCTGCACCAATTTTCACAAGTGAACAATTTCAGTTAGCCAACATGCCAAGGCACAAGAAACACCAGCGGGGAAAAGCCATTTGTGGCCATATAACTACCGCCTCCCTACAATCTCCTGAAAACATTTGATTACGTTTTTCCATTTGTAGTTGGATTTCCAAGCCATGCATCTTGCCGCAGATGTGTGAAACCTATAAAGCAACTGCAACTTCTCCCTGAATGTAGAATGCTATGACAAAAGTAAACAGGAAAATTCAGGAGACACACCATTGTCTGACAAGCCAAAAGGGGGGAACTCAAAACCTCTGTTCCACCCCTGTTCTCTGGCCTCTCATTCCTTGCCTTATTTCCTTAATTCAGCAGAACGGCGTTAAGGACATTTGCTCACGCCAAGAAGGAGGCGCACACTATAGCTTTGAAACTAAATTACGAGTGTTTATAGACTATGAAAAGCTTCAGGCTAGCACCAGCCAACACATGGCTGGCCCAGAAGCCAAAGTCATGTCAATTGTTCATCCAGGCTTTCCTGTGCAAATAGGTTACAGAAGAGTAAGAACAATGGATGGCAGCCTCACCACAAGAGACGATGCAATGCCCGAACATGCAGAAAGAGAGCCCCAACAAGGGACAGATGTGCTGAGGTTTGGGGAGGTCTTTAAAACATCTGCTCAAGTTCGTAATTGAAGGTTTGGAATCTCAAGTGTGCTAAATCTACAACAGATTTGCAATTGTGGGATGGATGGAAATCAGAGTAGCAGCCTGCAGCTTAAGAACTGGAAGTGTGAAATTCAGCCCCTTCGCCAGCAGCCTCTTACTTTGCTCTTGCAGTAATCCTCTCAGGGTTACTAAGTCATAGCGCTGTAGTGACAGCTGATGGCATTCTCCTCTCATTCACTCATCTGTCTATTTGTATGTAGCTTTCTTCCACCAGATTGTGCCCCAAATGGTCCACAATGTATCAAATAAATGGCAAAAACATTTTTTAAAAAAACCCTATATATAGTGAAAAACAACACCTCAAAGTTTTGTTTATCAGTCATACATCTTATTTGTATGCTGGTTTTCCACACACACAAAAACCATGCTCAAAGCGGCTTACAACAAAACAACAGATCCATGCAATGCTATATAAAATACAAATAAACTAATAATAAATTTAATAGCTGAAAGCTAGAAAGGAGCCTGCTGGATCAGCCCAGTAGCCCATCTAGTCCAGCATCTTCTTCTCACGGTGGCCAACCAGATGCCTATGGGAAGCCCGCAGACAGAACCTGAGCTTAACAGAGCTCTCCTCTCCAGCAGTTTCCCAGCTACTGGTATTCAGAGAAATACTGCCTCAGAGACATACATAGTCATCAAGGGCAGCAGCCATCAATAGCCATGAATTTGTTTAATCCTCTTTTAAAGTCATCCAAGTTCATGGTCATCACTAGCTCTTGTGGGAATAAATTCCATAGTTGAAAATTTAGAATAAAGCCTGACAAAAAAAAAAAGTAGTACAGAAGACCAAAAGACGTCTTCCAGAAAGTGTCCCTACAATTAACCTACACAGCTTTCACTTCAATTGTGGCTGCCTTCCTCCTAGCACCTCTTTCATTCTTCACTGCTCAACAAGGAAGGAAAAAATGTTTCTCTTTCCTCAGAGCCCCATACACACTCATGGCGATGACACTGTGTGCACACTCTCTCCTCCATCAAACTCCCATTCCAGATCTGGAATCTTAGGCCTAGCAATCCTTTGATCCTTTTACTCCCTTTCCTTCCCACTGTCTTCCTCCTAGTAGTACACAATTCCCATTCCCCCTCATGCCTACGCTATTTCCCTGCTGTTCTAATTTAATCATGGTTTCACTTTTCTACAGTTCCATGTTTCAAACCCCAATCCTTTTCTTAGGTCTTTGCTTTTCAGATCACTTTGTTCCACCTCCTGAACTTGAGCATACTAGGTCTTCGGAGGCCCTGCCATTCCCTTGCCCTTCCTTCAGCCTCTTTGCCTCTGGACTCCCTCAGCTTCCCAACCCCCTGGAGGCTCTTCCTGGCCCACAGTTTTAATTCCAGCTGAACTGACAACTCTCTTTTCCTTCAGAAACTGTACTGCAAATTGTTCGGTTCCCTGAGCAGCAGCACACCTAACTCAGCCCATCAGTATCAAAGGCTGCACTGCCACGAGCACAACACAGAACAGATGGAGAAGACTTTAACAGGTGAATTTCACCTATGGCCCGTAAATTCTTACTCACTTTGACTGAATTAGTTTCTCTGATTAGTTTGTTGATGTCATGGGCTTCATCACCAAGTTTCCAAGGATTGTGCTGAAAGACAATCCCCTCTCCTGCGCAACTATACAAAGTTGCTGAAGGTCTGTCACCATCCCCTCCTGCAAGAGAGAAACAAATAAATAAATTAAACCTGTTAGTCTTTTTAAAAGCAGACACCTTGAATACAACTGGCAGAAAGAAGTGTGCTAACCAGCTTAGCAAAACATTTCGGACGGGATTCAACTAACTAAATCCTGCTAGCAAAACCCCATGCAATGATTAACATTAATGCAACAGGGCTCTTCTCCCCATGACAACAAAATCACTGAAGAATTAAGCCAGATGCACTACTGCCCCACCCGATACTTAACAGGCAATGGCAATTTCTTTGACTCACGATTCACACTGTGTGGCAACATTTTTAGACAGGGCACAATGAATACAAATTTCTTAAACGTCAGTTGTTTTTCTTTGTACACAGTAATGTTGGAGAATGCAGGGACAGGCATACAGTACATAGAATGTATCAGAAGTCATAGAACAAGGGACTCAAGGGTCATCTAGTCCAACCCCGCCATGCAGGAATCTCAGCTGATGCATCCATGACAGATGGCCATTCAACCTTTGCTTAAAAACCTCCAAGGAAGGAGAGTCCACCGCCTCTCATGGGAGTCTGTTCCACTGTCTAACAGTTCTTCCTGTCAAAAAGTCCCCCCCCCCCAATGCTTAGTCATAATCTCCTTTCTTGTAACTTGAATCCGTTGCCTCAAGTCCTACCCTCCAGAGCAGGAGGAAACAAGTATAGTACTATGCTTTGATTCTTAACACTGGAGACTATAGACACCCCACTGTCTGCTAGTTAGCTTCTTAAAGGCTATTTCAGTGATCCTAGATGGATTCCCCAGACTCACCAAAGGACAACGGAAGGACGGGAGGTCCCCAGGCTAATGTGTACACAGTTTTCTTGTGGAAGGTGCTGGAGATCTGTGGGGGCCTAAAGGAGAATTTGGGTGTCATATTTAACAGAAAGCTCACCGAGCATGCATTATCTGGTGTAAAATGCAAAGCATAATTGAAAAAGATTGCAAACAGAAATCAAAGTGTGAAAATGGCTAAGCAAGTTAGGAAGCAAAAGTTAGAACGGCAGAACTTTTCAAGATACTTTTGCATTCTTCCACGGCAAATTTTAGGAGATTGTTGGTGCTCTATTTTGCATATGCAATTTTTTATGCCGAGTCTCAGTTCAGAGAATAGTAAATCACTGTGAGCTTTCCAATGTCAGTTTTGCTCAGATTTTAACCTTATGAATGACTTTAAATGAAGTAAATCAGCTTAACAAAAACGGTTTACATTTTATATTCAAAACAAATTCAAAGCTTTATTCAGAAAATTATGTTTACTGGAATATCTGTAAATATTTTCGGCATGACATTTCAGGAGCACACAGTTCCTTTTATTGCATTAGAATGTGAATTTTGTAGACTTCTATCATATCCACCTTCTATAACCTCCTTAAAAAATACTCCCCCCCCCCACCTTTATAACATTTCCTCAATTTTTTTTTTTAGTTTGGTTATAATCTGCCGACTCACACAGACCAACAAAAGCCAAGTCATTTCTTACTTGTTGGAGTAGGTGTCATAGATGCCGACTTTCCCATCATCTGTTCCAAAAGCTAAACAGCCTTCTTTCTTTGGGTGCCAAGCCAACTGCAAACAGAAAGAGCCACAAGGCTTTCAACATTTTGTGGATGTCTGGGATTCATTTATATCTATACAAGGTGCTGCTTTCCACATTCGTCAGGTTATCAAAAGGCGAAAATTTTAATTGGAAAGTCAATCATTTTAAATCAGATTTGCCATTTTAGAAAATGTACTTATTTTTACTATTACAAATCTGCCAGGTATTGGACTCTGCTACTCTGGGTGCTTCCATACATTCCTGGTACAGCAAGCATTAGTCGTACCCCCATTTAGATTGCTACCAATATCAATCTCGGATTCAGAAGAACTTTTTTAAAAAACAGAGAAACATCAAAGCACACACTTACAGCTGTGACCTTGGATTTAATGCCCTGCCAAAAGGTTTTCACATCATAGTGATTGTTGATAGACGTGGTGTTCCACACCCGAAGCATGCCGTCCCCAACTCCTACAGCAAGGCAGCCAGTATCCACGGGGGAAAAGGCCAAACAGTACACAAAACCCCCAAGAGAAGGCAACGTCCAGCAGCAATTTAAAGTTGCCAGGTCCCAACACTTCACCTAAAGAGAGAGATGGGGGGGGGAATTAAAGGTTATGGGGGGAAATTAACAAAACATTTCTCCAGAAGCATGCTGTTTACAAAAGGGGAGCAGTGCTGATGAGCAGATATCAGCTCCAAAGATGACTAAGTGGCCCTATATGGAATTTTAAGAACTTGCAGACCAAAATCATTTCCCTGTCTCCACAAAATACAAGAAAGAAAAGAAAAAAAAGGCCAGACTGGGTCTGATTATTTCCTGGCTGAAAACTTAATGTTTGATGTATTATAGTATTTTAATATTCTTTTGGAAGCTGCCCAGAGTGGCCGGGGAAGCCCAGCCAGATGGGCGGGGTATAAATAATAAATTATTATTATTATTATTATTATTATTATTATTATTATAAGATTACAGGACTTTCAATCACTTTTCGCGTCTATAAAATTGACATTATCAAGGAAACTAATTCTCAGAAGACGGAAAACAATCTCCAAAACCACAGGTAACACAAAAGACAGACAGTTGTTTGAACTGATAGCTGAGCTGTTAACAACTGAAGGCTGAAGAAGGCAAAGACCAGAGCAAATCATGGGAGGTCCAGAGACAATGTTAATGAGACAATAAAGCTGGAAAGTGAGTCAAGGTGAATTATGGGAACAGTTCACCCTGAAATGCCCTTGACAGACACCATATTAATTCATTCAGCACCCTCCCCTTCCGGAGTTATTTGCAATACGTGGATACAGTGGTACCTTGGGTTACATATGCTTCAGGTTACACACTCCACTAACCCAGAAATAGTACCTTGCGTTAAGAACTTTGCTTCAGGATGAGAACAGAAATCGTGCGGTGGCGGCACGGCAGCAGTGGGAGGCCCCATTAGCTAAAGTGGTGCTTCAGCTTAAGAACAGTTTCAGGTTAAGAATGGACCTCCGGAATGAATTAAATACGTAACCGGAAGTACCACTGTAATTATTTTGGAGAGATGTAGTGTGCTTTTGCATAAGGCTAGAATAGGTGCTTGCTAAGAACAGATTCATGGCTACTGACAGCAACTTAGCAGGGTAACCCTGCAAAACAATAAAATTCTGGAGAATTTTAAAAGACTTGCGGTTCTTACATCCCTGTCCATTGAAATGGAGAGAAGTAGCTGCTTAGCCTCTACTTGCAAGGAACACAAATTGAACGCTATTCTGGAGTGGTTTTGTCCTTCGGATGAAGCTCCCAGAAGTTCCCATTTCCGCTTCCCATGTTGAGTCAAATCCCACTGCAGCAGCTCACCTCTGTGAAGAAAATAATAGCAAGACATGCAAAAAAACACTAGACATGGTAATGGTAATATACACGAAATCCTTCCATTAAGAATGGGAAAGACTGCATCACACCAGGTTTCACAAATCACATTCTATATATGGCTCAGGCTGCCGAGAAAGGAGGAAGTCTCCAGAAATGGGGAGACTACAGAATGCCAAGGAATTATTCCCAAATCCCATGCTTGCATTGAGTTTTCTATTACTGTTGCACTGCATTTAGTACTCACCCAAAGCAGCTGGATAAGATGTGTGTGGGCTGACTTGGGGGCCAATGTAGTGTCAACCAGAGGCGTTCTTTCACAGGTGTTTCAACACCTCCACCTCTTCTTTTCAAAAAAGGCAATTTCAGAGTCATTACCACTGCAGAAACAGAAGGAATGGTTACAGCATGCTTACCCACAAGTGCTGCCAGGCTCCACTGATATCAGGACAAGGGAGAGAACAGCTCGAAACAACTATCTTCCAAGATGAAAAGCTGACTCTTCACATGTATTTGAAGTGCACTTATGAATAACCAGGAACTTTATGAAATGTTCTTGCCTCAGTTCTTAGAATCCAATCTAACTCCTGACCCTTGATTATCTGGAGTACAAGGCACCAAAACTTAGGACTAGCTAGGCCAGACTTCGTAGGTTTCAATTTCTTGCACACTTAGAAGGAAGAAAATCCATAGAATGCTTATTTCTGACTGAACATGCAAAGGATTGCATTTTTGGTTTAAGAGTCTCCTTCACTTCAACCAAGGAACTGCTCTGTCTTCATGTTTCACTCAGTCTTGGATGACAACAGTGCCAGAAATTACATGGCATCAGAAGAGGTTTTGTCATACTTGCTTAGGGAAGCAAAACATAGCATGTCAGGGGTGCTAAATGCAGTTACAACATGTCAGTACTATGCAGTGAACTGTCAAAATGGTGATGCACAAAGCAAGCAATGAGAAACACGCACAAAGCATGCCTTGCCAAAGAGAAACAAATCTAATTTTTATACACTTACCTCTGCTTCTAGTGCAGCTCCACACACGGATAGTCTGATCTTTGCTTCCTGATGCCAAGTAATAGCCTTTTGTTACAGCTGCCTCTTCCGTCACACCTCCAACAGCAGTGTCTTCTTCCAAGAGTACCATGAAATCAAGTTAAATAGTACTACTTTATTTTTGAATGAAAGATCTTCTACATAGTCTTCAGGCGCCCTTAGAGCACCCAATACATACAGGGTGATGATCACAAGAACAAACACTACCCCTTTGCCCCATGTACAGGAACATACCTTGGAAGTCATCTTGTCGACCACATATACCTTCCTCCCCAAGCTCTGGGCACCAAGCCAGAGAGTGTATTTCATCATCATGACCTCTCAGCCGATGAACAACCTCTCCCTTTCTGCTGATGTCGATCACAACCACTATTCCATCTTTATAGCTTAAAAGAAAGGGCATACGTTAGGGGAGGGATGCCTGAATTCTCAAGCTATCAATAATGTTTTACCGAGTTAGGTCAGTACAAGATGCAACCCATAAATATTTTGTGCAGTCTACTGTCCCTCCTCCACACACACATTCCTCCTCTCCCATTATACAAGGAAAGAAAGAGCAACATATGTCTAGAACAGGGGTGGGGAACTGGATACAGCTAGTGGAATGAATACTTGATTTCCCCACTGTTCATGGACAAAATACTGCCAACCACCCAACATAATAATGATGCCAGGCAACTGACAGTTGTCAACATTCAAAGGAGATCATTGTAACCAGCAAGTGCCTTCAAAGGGACTTGATGTACCCAAAGATCAGCTGATCAGCCATTACCCTTCGAAGTCCACTCAGAGGATACAGACACTCTGTTGGTGGTGACCTGTTTAGCCTGGCAAAGGGGCATCACCGCTCAATCCAAACCTCCTCCCACAGACTGGTGCAAAGACTTTGGAACCATTGGTTCCCAATAAGGGAGGATGCAAATATAAAAATTTATAGAACATGAAGAACAGCTCATGAACAGTTCACGAAGAACTACAAACACACACTGCTGCCCAATTCATGAATGTTTACAGTACTTGCAACATAAGTCCCATTGTGACTAACTGGATTTGCTACAAAGTGAAGTGTGAATGGGGTTGCTACCTTAGGTTTCCCTGGTTTAACCCACAGCGCCACCCGCGTCCCACCTTGTAAGGGTAACTACAGGACAAAATCGTTACCACTTAGTAAACTGGCAGGATGTATTAACTCTGAAAGGTTTCATTGTAGTTTACAAATTCCAAAAGCAGGTGCAAAATATATAAGGATATCTAGAATGTGACATGTGAAAATTATTTTCTCTCAAATCGTTTTTTCTTTCTCTACCAATGCACCCCCCCACATGTGTTATAGGCATCTTCTAAAAGCAAAAGTCATTGCAAAAAAAGGCAACCACAGACTATTCATGAATTAGGGAATGCCGAGAACAGAGTTGAGTCCTTAAGTTCAGGCACTGATGATCAAACTACCGTAGTTTCATCTACGTTCCCCTGGTGAAAATTGAGTGAAACATGTAATCACTCAAGTCAGTGAGAATTTCATTTATTCTGTATTCCTCTTTCTGCAGGGCCGAGTACAGTTCTAAATAATCTAACAGCACAATTCTGTATGTCTACTAAGAAGTAAGTGCCAATGAGTTCAATCAGGCTTGCTCCCGGATAAAATAATGAGATTTTTGAATATAGAGCTGCACAGTAAATCATGTATGCAGCCTTAGTATACTTACCCAATGGCTACCAAATTCTCATGGTGCAGAGAACAGGTGAGACAAAATATAGTTCTGGGCTCTGGGAAGAACTGCTGGCTGTCATTTCGATTATGCCAGTAGCAAATTACTATTCCCTTCTCATCACCAGACACAACCAAGTCTTTCATTTTCGGCGACCAGTGCACTGTAGAAATTGTATTCTTGGAGACGGGGGAGAGAATTGAGAAAGAAGATTAACATGGATGCTTTTTGGAAAGCTATATTGTATACACTGTTCTTGTAGAGTAGACATCAGCAGCAGTTTCCCTCGAGAATGCTGCCTGATTCCCCATTTGTCAAATGACAGTGGCATCGCAGTCAACTGCTTTACCTGATGCAACGTATGTTCAGTCATGACAGTCAATGTCTGCGTATCCCAGATTTTCACGGTTCCATCATCAGAGCTGCTGGCACAGAAGTTGTTCTGACCAGGATAGGAACAAAACGAGAAACCCGAAACTCTTTCAGTGTGGCCGACTAGCTCCCCTGTGATGAGAAAACATTATGGCTGTAAAATAAAGCAACGTTTGGTTTCAAGCATTTTGGGGGGGAAACAAAGCTTATTATTAAGACAGGCCTATTGTCTACACTTTTAGCATAACTTCCAAATTAAGTTTAAAGCTTCCACACCCTCTCTTCTTTCTTAATTTCTATTTAAAAATTATTTGTGAAAAGTTACAACCTATTTCCTGCTAAGGGAGGCACAATTGTGCAATTGCTCTAGTACGGTGATTCTTAACCTTTTGGTTTCGGACTCCTAGAGAGTTCATGGGCCACAATTTAAAAACCCTTGCTTTAGTAATAGTCTTCTCATACAGTGTGTCTTACCCTTCCTCACATCGGTTTGACTAACTCTATATTCCATTCACTGTTAATCTCATTCTCGAATTGCCCCCCCCTTTAAAAATCAAATTGCACCCCCCCCCCAGTTGGGAACCACAGCTTTAGAGTTTCAGGCAGGATCTTTCCCCCAGGGGCTGAACCAGAGACCTCCCACACTTGCAAAGGAAGGCGCGTGCGGTCCTAAGTGTGCTTAGGGCTTGCTGCGCTGGAGGGCACGCTGGAAATAAGAGAGACACCCGCTGGCGAGGGATCCCAAGTGATCTGGTATACTGCCTCTGGACAAGGAGGCTCTACTTCAGCCGCTCCCCCAGAATTGAAAGCCCGCCCTGAGAACTCGCGCACGGATGGAAAAGCCCGAAGTTTGAAGGGAGCCCCGCGCAGGATGCAGGCAGCGGAGGCGCCGGCTCCGTACCGTGGAAGGAGGGCGCGGAGGGGCGGATCTCCAGGAGGCACACGCTGTTGCGAGCCGCGAAGCCGAAGAGGCGCCCGTCCTCCGAGGTGTCGCTGCAGCGGCTGCAGTACCAGTTGGGCGAGGCCGTCAGCACCCGCTCGGCTGCCCCGGGGCGCCACGCCGCCGCCATCCTGTCTCCTTCTTCCCAGACGGCTTCCCCCTCACGTTTTCTTTTTCGCTGCTCACAGCGGCCGTCGCCCCGCGCCGCCGCAAAGCGCCGCCCAGCTGCCCCTCCTTCCCCGCGTGTGCCGCAAAGCATTTCGCGCCGAGCTACGGCGGCTGTTTGAGGACATTCCGGAGGGGAGGGGGGAAAGCGCCCTTCTCTGCTGTCGTGAAATAGGCAGACGGGTTGTGGCTGCGAAGATGGCGGCGGCCGCAATGCTGGGGGGTGAGTTTGGCAGTGGGGAGGGAGGAAGAGGAAAACGACGATGGAATGTGCCCAGGGGAGGGGGGCTGAGCATTTCTCCACCACCCCACAAAACAAAACCTCCAGCTTCCTGCCCTTAATGGTTCGTTTCTCGTTTTCAGGGGCCGCCCGATTGTGGAGCTTCTTCAACTCCGTCCGGACCGGGAGGTGAGTCTGCCCTGCGAAAGGGTTTGGGGGCCGGTCGCTGTTGTGGCTGCGGAGGAGACCGCAGTATCTCCCTCTCTCTCTCAGGGTGATGAAGAGGCCTCTGGCGCACGAAAACAGCTAATGCAAAGCTGTCGTCTTCTTCTTTGAAGGGCACTTTTTGTGCATTTGGTGGTGTAGAATTATGGCGCCCAATGCAGCACTTTGGTCGTAGTCAGTATCCAGGAGTTCGAGCGCATGACCAGCAGCAGTAACCACTGAGACTTAACAAACAAATCTTCCAAAGGTTTCTGTACTCCGGTGCTTAACAGCCTTGTATAGGGATTGTGGGTTAGGCAGTGCTGTTGCCGTCAGCTGGAGAAGAAAGGGTTAGGCTGCTTGTGCCTCCAAGGCCCAACCTGCCTCTAGAATCATGGAATCAGACTTGTAGAGATGGAAGGAACCCTGAGGGTCAACTAGTCCAATCCTCAGCAATGCAGATACAGTGGTACCTCGGGTTACATACGCTTCAGATTACAGACTCCACTAACTCAGAAATAGCACCTCAGGTTAAGAACTTTGCTTCAGGATGAGAACAGAAATCGCGTGACGGCGGCGTGGCGGCAGTGGGAGGCCCCATTAGCTAAAGTGGTGTCTCAGGTTAAGAACAGTTTCAGGTTAAGAATGGACCGCCGGAACGAATTAAGTACGTAACCAGAGGTACCACTGTATATCAACTAAATCATCCATGACAGGTGACCATCCAACCTCTCTGTGTCTGCTTTCTTAAATCAGTGCAGGAACAGAAAACATCATCCATCAGCAGCTACTAGGCTGCCTGGCTGAGGAATTTGCAGCCTTGAAGTGACAGTATATAAATGCAATCAATCAATCAATCAATCAATCGGAGTATCCACCTGATGGTGAAATGAAACACCCTCAGATTGTCCTTGAGTACAGATAATATTTAAGTGAATGAAGGTATGTGTAGAATGTCTTCACTCTCAGGTTATCATGCCTTGGACGTCATTTCTTGGTAACCTCTAGAATGGACTGCTTTGAAGAGGGTCCAACAATTACATTTAGTTCACAGTACAGCTGCCAAATTGCCAGAAAGGACCAGGCACTATAAGTCAATTGCTCTGCTTCCTGATCAGTTTCTGGGCTCAGTTTAAATCCCTTCACAATTTTGGACCAGAATATCTAAAGGATTGTGTCTCCCCACGTGTGGTTAAGATATGTATTAGAGGTTTTTCTTAAAGTTGACGTGCAGCAGGTGATTACTCTGGAAAGCCTCCCCCCCATCATCATCACTGAACACAGGAGCCTTTGATAGGGTACAAAAATGTTTATGAAACTTCACTCCTTGTCCCTCAGCTGCAGAGTTACTAGGAAAGAAAAGTGGAGGCCAGCATTTCATTAGGTGACCAGGAGGGAGCACACTTCTACCGCACAATGAGAAGCCATTCTCATTCAGTAGGGTATTACAGAGGAACAGTAGGGCTCTGATCTTCGTTAATGAAGAATCACAGGGGAAAGATTTGGGAAGAATAAAAACACATGCACAGTTTTTATTTTATTTTATTTCAGTGAGATTACACTTATCTGCATGGTTAATGAATCACACCTTTATATAAGATGGCTTTAATGAGTATAATCCAAAGCCAGTATTTTGCATCCTAATGGCAAAAATAAGCAATAGTTTCCATTTGTTTCCTTTGGAGAAGTTAATTCTAGAATTGAAATTCTTCTGGAATAATTCTGTTACTGGTCCAACCAACAGGATCTAACAAACTTGGGCTGTGCTGGGAGACAGCTTGTGCCTGCTTTTAATTTTACAGGCTGTCTCTTGGTATTTGAATACCATTGTGAAGACACAAAATACAAATGTGCATGTGCATATTTTTACAGATGGAAAAATTGAACATTTCAGGAAACTTGATATATATTTAAAATATATATATATATATATATATTGCTTTTTATGGACATTAACATGATTTGATAGTACTAGCTGAGACCCAAGGTGGATAAATGCTTTTTTAATTATGAAAATAATTTAAAAGATATGTATCTGTAAATACGAATAGCAATAGGTATTTCCTGTGTTCTCTCTATAGGGGTGTCTTGAGCACTAGAGGGTGCCATCACCTAACGGTTTCTTGCACATGGGTAATTTGTCTCTGCTGAAATGTGACTGGATATGGAGACAGTGGACAGAAACTAAAGAAAAAATAAATATTCCAGTGCCCAAGTTGTGTTTCTCAGACAGAAATTCTCCTATGCTATATGGCACCTTGCTTCTGAAATTGAGGAGGCTATAAAAAGAATTTTGCAATATTCCAGAAGCTTCTGTGCTTCAGAAACGAGTGGATTTGTTTTGCTTGTTTTAAATACCATTGATACTGCAGAAGCCTTAGTTATTTCTATGGGTCACAGCTGTGCGAATGGATCACATGGAACTACTGGCTGCGTCTCACAGCCTGTGAATTGCATCCTACACTGCATGTGGGGAGTTCTGCTCACACAATAGGACTTCCTTTTCTGCTGCTCTCCCCGGGCACCCTTAAAATTGGCTTTGGGGGGTCTTCCAACCCTCTGGAGCAGATTTTAAGGGTGTGTGTGCGGGGAAAGGAGGGAAATGTTCAATTGTGCAAGTGGAATTCTACCACACTAGTTGAGCAGCAGTGTTGGATATGGCCCCATGTGAGCATTTTATTCAGCCTTGGGACCTTTCCCTCTTTCTGCAAGTGGCAAGAACTGATGTAGCCCTGCAAAGAACAACTGGGCCTGAATTCTTGCATAGTCATTTTTGGGCATCAATAAGTTCTTACAGTGTTCCAGAGGGAAACTTAAAGGGCCTTAGTCTTAAGAAGATGCCAGGCACACTTTGTATCACTAACAAATTCTAGGTCTTTGTCATTATCTGAATAAAATTATAAATAACTTGCACGTATTCTACACGGCACCTGTACGTGCCAAATAAGGTAAACATAAAAGGCCACAATTGTGATTCACAAGACTGTAAGCGTAGAATTCTCAATGACAGCTCAGAAGGGGAAACTCCATATGCATTGGAAATTTGCCTTCTCATAATACCTTTCATGCTATGAATGCCTGGCAGCTTTAGTGTCCCTCCCACAACTAACCAGTGTGTAATCTTTTTCAAGGAAGTAAGCAAAGCTGAATTATAAAAACTGCTAATCACTGAAATTCTTTCCTTTCCCCCCAGAAAGACCCAGCTTTATTATTTTCCTGTCTCCAATCCCAGGCCAGAAGTTAAATCATTTAGTTGGAATAATAAGAGAAGTACTGGGAGACATATGCCCAAATTAAAACGTTTAGTGTGTGGTTTCTGTTAGTTACTTCAAGCTCAGCTTTTCCCATATAGTGTATCTAACTGAATCAATACCACTTCATTTAATAATTGATATTGAATATATATTAGGAGCATATGCCCATAATGTATAAATAGGATAACATTATGGATGCTGCCTATTGGGCTATCTTTGCCCCCTTTCCTTGCATTAGGCCTACTGCCCCTCAAACCAGCAGGGTAATTGAGCCATCTTGGAGTATGTTGCTCATTGATTAGGAGAGACAATGAAAGAGTACGTTCTGATAAGTTGGGATGAAAAGCATCTAGCAATCAACTTCTTAAGTGATTATTATAATCTTGGTGGAATGACAAATTCTTGTCTCACAGGTTACTAGCACCTTGCAGTGTTCCTCTTCTGTCAAATATCCATACAAGTGCATCTCTTGGGGATATTGGAAGATGGGAAAAGAAGAATAGGATGGTTTATCCTCCACAGCAACCAGGAGAACCTCGAAGACCTGCAGTAAGACTTACATCTATATATTACAGAATTGTAGAGCAATGAACAGGGGTTCATTTTGTCTATTTTTGCAAGGTTGTAATTTCCGAGAACAAGGTTGGCACCGCATTTGTATCAAATGCACAGGCCTAAATGTTGGAAGCAATGACTCCCATTTAAAAACAACAACAATTTGTTAAATTTTTTGAAAAGCAATAAAAATTAATTCACAAAAAAGGAAGCAGTGACTCCCAGACTTACCACATCTCAGCAGCTCTTTGGCACAATTAATGACTGAAATAAAACATGATTTGTTTAGGATCCTTACTCAGTTTTCATCCACAAGCCTCTTTGAGTTCTGTCAGGGAAAAAGACAGGGTATTGGTATTGGTATTATTATTATTATTAATTCCAGCCCTCCCAATTTTGATTTTGTCCTCCGTAATAGCCAGTCAGTCTTGCATGTCAGTCCTCACTGGCTGGTTTTTTTAAAAGATTTTTAAAAGTTTTTTTTTTAAATGTAAGGTCAAAAGTACAAACGATGTAACTTTGCTTAGTAACTGTGGTTATGTTTTTCTGGTTTGTTTGTACTTTAGAATTTATATTAAGAAAAAGCTCAGTGGCCATTATTTTGTGTGGTGTTTTTTTGTTTCACTAAAGATGTACTGCACTTCTGCAGACCTTGTGGTTTTCCTGAACATGTTGAAACCTCCTTCCATTTTGGCTACATAAGGATCCAGTCTCAGGAAATTGAGTTTGCTGTTAGTATCTAGGATATGTGTGCTTGGCTAGATGGCCAAGCACATCATACTAAGTAAAGTATCATTTATTTTATTCCCCCCCTCTGGTAAACAAAATAGATGCTGGATCTTGAATAGACATCATAGGATAAGGCATATGTATCCCTAATTCTGTAGAAATTGAGTCTCATTCTGTCTGCTGTGTACAGCTAATGGGTTTTATTCTGGCCTGAATTTCACTGTGATCGCATCCTTATTTCTCCTGCCTTGGGCTGTACTTAGAAAACTGTAGCCGTAGTGGTACCCTTGTCAGCTTCCATTGTGTGCGGAACTAGATAAACTAAATATTAAAAGGCTGGTCACTGCAGGAAAGAGATGCTATTTTTAAAAAAGCTTGAAATCACTAGCTGGTAGCATGATATATGGGGCACTTGGGAGACTTGTATGAAAACTCTTTCAAGTTTTCCCATCAGGTATAGTAATCTTGGTCTTGCATTTTTTACAGCTTTTCTTTACCTTTAAATAATGAATTTACTGTCAGATGGTTTGGCTTGCTGCTGAGCACAGCTAAAATGAAAAATGGTTTCACTGCAGACAAATACAGTATTTATTTTTAAGTTCCTCATTTTTGTCTTCTGTGCGCATTTATCGGCTCTGCAAGCAATATGATTTGAAGTATACACACTATATTTTTGAGCAACAAAGCACACATGAAATTTCACTTCTCAAGTGATTAATGTATCTGGGTGAATTTTGCTTCTCTTTTACAAAGCTTTTTTAAAATATATATAAAAATGCATTCCCATTCTGTAGCTGGTACTGGACCTTACGTGTGTTAGCAAAACAGTAGTTGTGAAGGGATTATTATAAGCAGCTTTTTAATCAGTTGTATATTGAGAACTTAACCTGCACTGACCTATTTTGTTAGGCTTGCCATACAACAATAAATTGTTGAGCTTTTTTTGGGGGGGGCGGAAATTATTGAGCTTCTTGAGCATGGGTTGCCATACGTCTGGATTTTCCTGGACATTTCAGCAATTACTGCCAGGACACTGTTTCCGACGGCCGAATCCTGGCAGTGTCCAGGAAATTCCAGACATATGCCAACCTTATGTTCTGTGCATTAATTTCATGAAATGTATCTCACCTATGAAGACTGACTGAGGCACAGCTGAAAATTAGTATGGTAGCTGAACAGCTTTGTGTTGAGCAGTGCTAGAAAAATCTGTGTCAAAGGCCTGTTGGCTAATTTTTGCACCTGGAAAATGGAAAGGATGAATTCGTTTCAACACGGAGTGAACTGCATGTGGAGCATGGATCCTTTCCTTCCATGGCCAGCTGCAAAGATCAACAGGTGTTTGCAGGTAGGAGAGGGAGAGGCAAGCAGACCCATTCAGCACTGTGGTGGGGGAAGAGTACTGGAAGAAAGTGGGGTCAGGGAAGACCCATGGCAGTGCATAGCTAGACAAAGCAAGCAGCTGGTCAGCTGTTCCCTATGTTATCTGTAAGTCTGTATTAAATTTCACTGCTTCAGTATACAGTGGTACCTTGGTTTACGACCATAATCCATTCCGGAGGTCCGTTCGTAAACCAAAACAGGTCGTAACCCAAGGCGCACTTTCGCCAATGGGGCCTCCCCCCAAAAAAAGCAGGTCGTAATCCAAAAAAAATTGTTCGTAAACCAAAATAATTGTTCGTAATCCTAAAAAACTGGGCCGTAATCCAATTTTTTTTTTTTGCAAACTGGGATGCGCACTTCCGGGTTTGAATTGGTCGTAATCCAAAATGGTCGTAAACTAGGCTGTTCGCAAATCAAGGTACCACTGTACTAATGTGTGCCCACCTGAGAAGGGACTATAGCTTTGAGGTAGAGTGCATATTTTGCATGCAAAAGGTCCCAAATTCAATTCCTTGCAACCTCCAGTTAAAAAAAAAAGATATTTTCTAGCAAGCTCAGAAAATATATATTCCTGAGAACCTGGAGAGATGCTGCCAAGTAGGGTAGGTGAGACAGCAGTATGATGCACCATTTCTGATATCTTTTTAATCTGCACCAAGTCATTGCATAGCACTGTTTAAAGGTAGGAACAAGTCAGCCAGACTATAGTTGGTGACCATAAAGCTGCCCACGTGAAATACTAAGCGTTATTTATTATGTAGTAAGAGACAAATAACACAACATAGTTGGAATTAGTTTTCGCTGCTTCCATTCTTGCCTGTTGCCATGTAAAGTCTGTCTGACATAATTTTTGGCAGGTGGAGGAGGAAATGTTTTCTGTTTTCAAAGTAGTAGAGGAACTGGGGGTGGTGGGGAGAAAACAAAAGACATTGTTGTCCCCAGAACATAAACATCTCTTTTATATAGGAAATATACCACTGTCGAAGACACATTAAATACAGTAAGGACAAGATGTGGTACCTGGCAAAACTGGTAAGAGGATTGATTTTTGTAGGCTTAATCTTGTTAGGATTATGAGATTTCTATTCTTGGTGATGGTTGTATTTTCGTGCCCTATTTACACGGGGTTGCATTTGATTTTTTTAAAAAACCCTTTCCTTGTAAAAGCCCTGGATAAAATGTTACGTAAGTTTACTTAAAGAAGCAGAGGATGCTTTGCGCTACTGTGCTAGAATATCCTGCTTTGCCATTTTGTCCCGGTTGGGGGGTGGGCGGGGAATATACCAGGAGAAGATTTAGATAATATAAACTTTTTGGTGGGATGCATGGAGTGTAGCAAATACTGAAAAATGAAGAATTACTTAAATTTCCTCTGGAAAAGCAAAAACATTGCAGGATCATTTGCAGAGGTCACGTCAGGTCATCTGTATCTGTTGACTATGGTTTCCCATGTTACAGTTTCCATGTGGAAACCTTTTGAAACTTTATCCATGCCCTAAACTGTTATTTATGTGTGGAAAACATTATTAGTGACAGCTTATGCCAGGTGAAGGCAAGCCACATAGTGGGGGCTGATCATACAGCAATTGCATAGGTTGCTGTGTCAAGCAGCTGCACATGAAAATAGTTTTAAATAGCCTTTTCCTTTCTGCAAAACCCCAGCCAGCATGGCCAGCAGTCAGGAATAACAGGAGTTGCAGTCCTTCAGATTTGAAAGCCTTATTCATCAGAAGCTTTCTATTTATTTATTTTGCAGTGCATTTGAGATTAGGAATTTTTCTTCTCGATATCGATTTGGTAGTCCTTAATGCTCTTTGTCAGAGTTTTTGTTTGTTTTAGTTTTTTGTACCATAGCACTTCTATAAAACTGTAAAGCAACTCAGTGTTGCATAGTTCTTCTACACTGAAACTGATGGTTATAATGTGGTTTGTTTCACTATATATGAATTATATACTGTATTGAGAATTTCTCCCATCTCTGTGTTGCTTTTCATTTCAGATACGAGGCATGTCCATAGATCAGGCACTAGCTCAGTTGGAATTCAATGACAAAAAGGGAGCAAAAGTGATAAAAGAGGTATGTTACAAGTTTCTTTAGAATGTAATCTACCATTCTCTATTAAATCCATATATTTCTATCTTTTAGATGATATTTCTGGGCTAGTTCATATTGTTTATAACTGGCTTATTCTTTTATAAGCTTTGGATTGTATGCTGTATTTTTGAACAAGTTGGTGAACTGCTTAGAGAACTTTGTTAAATACAACACACACACACACACACACAGAGAGAGAGAGAGAGAGAGAGAGAGAGAGAGGGATGTGTGTGGCTGAGAGCTTGCATAGTATCTTGCAGAAGTCTCTCATTCTCACTCAGTGTTGTGCTAGTTGATGTGGGTATATCTAATTTTCCTGGCAGGATTTTTATGCCTGAAATGGCATTTCCACTTTTGTGCTGGCAAAAGTGTAATTATATTGTTTGGCACGTGTGGCAGGGAAGCCTCTGACTCTGGATGTAGTGGCACAGAATGTAGAGAGATTTTGGGAACTAGACTTCTGTGTGGGAAAAGAAAGTTTTCAATTTGGCTGGGGTTAAAATCTGCCACAGGACATGTTGCCATGAGGTAGGGAAGCTAATAAGCAAAGTACCCTAAGGCAAGGAAGTTGAAGAAATACATTGTTTCCTTTTTTAATTTAAAGGTGAGTAGGTATTACTGTGCATATGAAAACTCCAGGGTTAAAAATTTACATAATCTTAATTTGTAATTTTTCCTTTTTTACAATAGGTCCTTCTAGAAGCCCAAGAAATGGCCGTGAGGAAGCATAATGTAGAATTTAGATCCAACTTACACATTGGTAAATAGTGTATTATTATAGAAGACATATTCTAAAGTTTGGCATCTCTGAGTAGCCTTGGCATGAGAAAATTTCTCTACTGTAAGGTCACATTAAAAAATTTCAAATTAAATGTTGGGTTTTAAAAAATGTAATCCATGCTAAGGATGATTGATTGTTTCCCACTCCAATCAAATATTTTGGATCAAATATTATTGTTTATTGGAAAAACTTCCATTTATACAGCAAGTAAAATACACATGGCATACCCACCCCCCCACCCCCAGTTTTGCTTACTAAACACAACCTAACTGATCCCAGTTGATTAAGGGCATCAGAAAATGTTGTGATTTTTTTATTCCTGCCCCCCTCACAAAGAAAAATCCCACAAAAATTCGATGAAAGCTTCAAAATGGAGGGTTTTGTATGTCTCTGTGTCCTGCAGTTTCTTGGTTTATTAAGTACTGAAATGTCATGAGAGCTATTACATAAAAATCAGTGGGATATGTCTAAGATGAGGATGTCAGATTCATTGTGTTGATTTTGAGTATCTGTGTGCTTAGATAGGGGAAAGGTTTAATCCCAACATGTAAAGCCTACTGATTACCTGTATACACAAGACTTCACAAGTTTTACTGAGTGCTTTCAACTTCAATGGGAGTTCTTGGCCTACTAGCCATTTTATGTAGAGTACAGATTCCTTGGAGCAAATATATTTCATTTCTCAAATTCTGGCAAGGAGTAGACTTGCCTGATGACATCTTCCAATAGATTAAAGATAGGCTTCTAATTTCCTAGCACTGTTGGGGATAGCAGCAATTTTACAATCAGCATACTTTACTGATAGCTGCATAAAAAGTAGGGTAGACCTTTGAAAAGTTATCCAACCTGCATGTGGATTAAGTATAACTTCAGTTCTTGCAGGTGTGGTTGTTTGACATTACTTGCCCTAGCATTTGTATACATGAAAAGTGCATTATTCCATATGGGTCTTAAACACAATAATCCATTTTTCACCATCAGCCCATTTCTGTTGGTTTGTAATTCATTTTGCTGTGGCAGGTTAGCCAGCAGTTTACACTTCACTTCCCAGCAACTGGTCATCTTTCAACCTTTAATTGAGGTAAAAAGGTTCTAAATTAAGTGCATTTAGATCTGGCATTTAGGTATAGCTCTCTGAGTTCTCCATATCAAATGGACCCTTTTAACTTACCTTTATAATGCTGCTGTCATAGGAAGCTCATTTCTCTTTTAAACATATGATGACAAAAAGCAGTATAGAAATGGCTTCTAGCAAAGGGGGAAATAAAATGTCACTTTGTCATGATTCATAACGCCTCGAGTGGACGTTCTAGGGCAAAGTGACTGACCAGCTTAGTGAATTATGCTTTCCTAGGGGAAGGCTTAAAATGGGTGGGGTGGGTTTTGGCTGCACAAAAACCTTTGATAGATGAAACTCACAGTTATAGAAGAAATACTTCGTGAAATACTTAGTGAAAAATGAGTAACAGTAGTAGTTTTCATTAATTTGTTTAATGTTTTTGCTGCTGGTTGACACAGGTCCTGTTTTTTCACCCATTTAAAAAAAATATATATTTTCTTGTGTACTAATTTTTTTTATGCCATGTTGCTACCACACTTCTTTAATAAAGTTAGTGGTCTGCCTAAATGGGGGTTGGGGCATTCTGAAGGTAAAGGATTTGCATATAGCTTTATTGTAGGCCCAGATAAATAAACAGAACCGGTACATTTTTCTATGGTTTGTTTTCTAATTTTTGACGTGACACATTAAAAAGAGAAATCCTGGTCCGTCAAGGCATTGAGTGAGCCAGATTTTTTTAAAAATAGAATTTATGTTATGGCCTGCATTCTCCCTTTCTTTTAACGTCTATTTTATGTCTTCTAGCTGAATCCTTCTCTGGAAAAGGGCACTACCTGAAAAGGATCCGTTACCATGGCAAAGGCTTTTTTGGCATTATGGACAAAGTCAAGTGCCATTACTTTGTGAAATTAGTAGAAGGCCCACCTCCACCTCCAGAGAAACCAAAGACTGCTTTAGATCACGCAAAGGAGTATGTGCAGCAGCTGCGTAACAGAACCATTACTAACACATTATAATATTCCCCACTGCGTTGTTCCCTTTTTTTGTGATAACCATGTAAATAAAGTACATTTTAAAAATCAGTTTCTTATTAGGCTCAGTGGTCTCCTATAGACACAAAAATGTGTACGGTGACTAGGAAAGCATATCAAGCACTAGGCAAGTACAGTGCCTCAGATCTAGATGATACTTGAGAAAAGTGGTAGGGAATGGTCTCAAATGAGGAAGCTACAATCTGATTTTTCAGTTTGGATCTTTCCCAGTAGCACTTTCACTGGGAGTATTGCCTTTCTTGATCTTTTAGTCTGCAAGTATGCTGTAGCACATGCTGAGAATGCAAAAAAGATTTAATGGGATATCCAATCTAAAGGGGGCTTGCATTGACAGAAGTGCTTTTAGCTACTGGAATGATAGTAAATGGATTCTGCCCTAGTTCAATTAATGGTGTTTTGGGTTTGTAGCTATTTTAGATTTCCGCCCTGTAGTTGAAACACTGTTAAAGCATTATAGATCTACTTCATTAAAGTGTCCCAACCTGAACATGGGGCATATGCTTAACGCTAGTTACAAATTTGTGAGGGGTGAAAGTCTCAAATTACAGTATGTTCTGAAGGCACATGATTCAGCTGCCATGCTGTAGTCAAGGAGCTTTGGTTATTGTCAGCACCTGGATGAGAGACTTGCCTGGGAACTGTAGGTACACATGATTTGAATTCCATCAGGAAATGCAGGGAATCAAAAACAAACAAAAACGCCAACTGTTCATGTTCAACTAGCAGGCAAAGCTCTGTGAGTGCAACTGCCTTTTCTTCATTCTTTTCTTTTGCATAATAATTCATTAAAGAATATGGAATGGGCAGTCAGTTTTGTTCACTGGCAAGGACTGGCAGGGAATATGCATTTGGTTTGATGATTGCTTTTGATACCTTCTCATGCATCGCAGAAGGGGGGGGGATGTTTCCGAGCAGCTGCACAGTAAACAAGTAATGAGGAGAAATTTCAGTTTAGTACAATGTAACTGCAGATGAAGCTACTGTTCATTTTCTGGGGGTACATAAAGAAATATGGAAAACTTGCAGCCCTTCTTAGTTGCCTCTTGGCACTCAGTTGCACTAAGAAGTCCCTGATATGTGCAGAAGCCAGTTAATCTCTCAGGAAATGACATGCTTAGCAGTAATAGAGCATGTGCACCTAGTTTACAAAAGGAAATTGTCAGTGATTATACAGTTCTTTATTTTTGATGGGAAGCAACTTACTCTCTATGCATTTTGTGCTCTTAGCTGTGTATTACAGAGCAGCCTTCTCTTCCAGCTCCAAAGTAGGATAATGATGCATTTTGTTTCAGGTCAGGGGTGAGGAGGCTTGGGGACCGAATGCAACCCACCAAGCCTGCCTATCGGGCCCCTGTGACTCTCCCTAGGCTACACTTCCTCAGCTGCACCTGTCTGTCTAGGTCCCACTTCCTACCAGCCCTACTTTTGAGTGTTTGCCTGGCTGAAATCTATCCTGGAACTCTGACAACTCCTCTTGCTTATCTGGATGGAGGATAGAGCAGGGCGGGTGTAAAAGTAACCTAATACACAAAGGTTACAATTGTTGCTCTTCCTACTTTTGCCTCTGGCTTCACCCACCGCTGCCATGGGCTCCAACCACGCTGACGGGAATGTGGGTTTCAGTCTGAAAAAAATTTTCCCCTCCTGTTTTAGATGGTGAGGTAATCTAATCTACTTTTAGCTTTTTGTTTAATTGTAACCAGCTGGCTTAAAGAAAACGTATAGCTGTATGAACTGAAATTTGTGTGACCTATATATTATTGAGTGACCTTTATTAGCCTAGAGCAAGCTTGAAATCCTCAAAAGTTGGCTTGGGTAACTTGATTTTTGAGGATTTAAAACTTCCTCCCTCAAACAGAGACAGTTCTAGGGGAGTCGCACCAGGTACAGAGCTTCTGGGACATCAGAGCAGGCGCCACCACTATTACTCCAATTGACGGCTCGGAGGGGGGAGGCTGCCGGATTTTGGCGTTTCACCAGGCGCCCCTGAAATTTGAGATGTCAAGGTCCACCAAAGGCAACATGTGGAAGGGGCTTCAGGGAGAGTAAGCAAAGATAGTTTCACTGTGTTCCCATGGAACCTTCCGGGCCTTTAGCTAGAATCCTCCACAGAAAGCCTTTATATCCAATGCTAGAACCACACTCTTCTCCCCACCTCCTTCCTTCCAGCTACCATAAGCTAAATATTGGTTTCCAACAAAATTGTAGATTGCTCCATGTTGCCTTCATTTTTCGTAAACAACCCAGCTTCTCAAAGTCTGAGGGGAAAGAAGTTATTCCTTCGCTCCTCTCCAAGTGCCTGCTAGACCACTGAAAAAATCCCTCCCTTTTGTAAATAGCTCTCCTTTATTATTAAAGTGGGGTGTCTGTAGGAGTTTTGCTGCTGCCTAAACATGAGGCAGAAAAAATAGAATCTTTGGTAATTTTTTTATTTGCTAATTGTTGGTAGGCTGATTTCATCCAATGGCTTCCAAGGAAGCTGACAAGACAATGCAATAATTTAAAAATGACAAAACACAAGCAATAAAAAACAAATGGTAGAAGTAAAATTTATCCATGGAAAGGTAGGAACCTCTTTGCACAGTGCCAGAAAGCAAAATCATTGACAGCCAAGTGTCTCTCTGGAGAACAATCTACAACTGAAGTACCATCACTGAAAAGGTCCCATCTCTGAAATAGGGCTTTTGATGTAGATCTTGACAAACTGGTGGGCTTATATGGGCTAGGTGATTATATGGATGTGTAGGGCTTTAAAAGTTAATACCAACATCTTGAATGTGGAAACAAATTTAGAATTTGTCAAGATTTTTAAGTACTGGCAAGTTCTGTTCAAAATAGCCAGTGGTGGTTAGCAACCTGGCTGTTGTGTTTTGAACCAACCTAAGTTTCTAAACAGCTTTGAAGGTCCACTCCTCCCCTCTGTTCCAATATACTGAAGCAACCTAGTTCAAGTGTTTACTAGATCATAGATACCCATAGCAAGACTTCTGTCCATGAGGCAATTTGTGGCATGGATATTATTTGGTATGACAAGTGAAGCACTGGATCTAACAGCATCTGCAAACAGCATACTTGATTCTAGGGAGAGTTCGTTGCTCAAGAACAGATTGAAGACAATCTCTAAAGCCCATCATCAACGGTACCTTCATCTTGACTGGGCCGAGCTTATTAGCTATCATCTAGTCAGTAACAGACTGCCGGGACCTGATCTGCATTCTAGTGACTCACCTGGTTCAACTGAGACCTGTTATCCTTGCAGAAAAATAGGTAAAAACAAGCTCTTCAAAATATCCCCAGCAGCAGAAGGCAGTAAGCACACAAGGTATCATGTTGCTTGCTTGCTTGCGTTGTTACTGGGAAAACAAATACTTTTCAAAAACCTTCAAGACTACAGTGAGAGGAGAAGTGTGCTGTCTGGTGCTGATTTTGCACTCTGCCAATACAACCAGCCACTAGGACTTTGCATTCTCTCACCTGTTTTCCTGCAAAAGGATCCTATACGGTGCGGGAGGGAGGCTAGCCTGCTGCCTTCTAGATGTTGAACTCCCAGTTCCCATCCTCCTTAACCATTGGCCATGCTGGCTAGGGCTGATGGGAGTTGGAGGCCAACAACCTCTGGAGGGCCACAGATTAACCACTGCTGCTTTGGGAACAAGGGGACCTGCCCTTTTTCATACAAAAAGGATTGGGCAGGTTTGAGGAGTTTGGTGTTTGAGGATTTGTGCCCTCTGATGCATATCCGTAAGAATCCAAAGCCTTCCATCACCTGCACCAAAATATCACTTTGGTGTCAAAGAGCCTTCCAAGCAGTAAAGTGAAGATGGGAATAATTGGCTGCATCCTTAGAGCCCAAATCCTTTCTCTCCCCAAAAAGCAATTTCTCCTTTCCTGCCCAAGGCTAATCGTGGTGGAAAGTACCACCCATGGATTTTCATAGATCCCTTCCTTCCTGCATTCTTATTCTAATAATCACCCACAAACTAGGCTATGTTTTATTTAAAGCAATTTTTCCAGAAAGCAAAGGCAATTTGTTCGTATTTTCTGTGCACATGTGGCAAAAACTCCCTAATGAGTACAGCTCCGGCAAGGAATTGCTTGTCAATCAATATCCATAATTTTCTTTGATCATCCAGTTTTTCAAAGTCATTTTCAGAAGGTTCAGCTATTTTTCTTTGATATTGACATACATTGAGCTTATCTTCAATAGTGGTCAATATTTTTTATAATGTTCTTGCCACATGGGTAGGTTCTATCTGGATGAGGCATGTATATTTCACTTTTTCATCGTCAGGGCTGCTGATTCCATCTGAGAGATGCTTAAGCATGCAATATCTTTCTTCCGAATGTGATTAGTTTATATTTAACAAGCACATCTCTGCCCCAAATTGTATTCTTACTTACATGTTTAAAAATGGAAAAATGTGAAGTGCCAACCTTCCTCGTGTCATTTTGCATTGCCATACCTCAGAGAGATTTCGGCATGATGAGACTTCAGAGGAAGAGGATCACATTCCATCAAATTACCCAGCCCATTTAGCCTAAGGCATTTATTAGCATCCTCTAGTCAAGGGAAGAAAGTTGTCTAAAGTGCTTCTTATGCAACTAAAAAGCACAGTTTCAGTCACTGGTCAGGCTGATAAGCTTTGATTAACCAGTACTGTAGTTTATTGCTCGTAGTTCAAGTCAACATTGAAAAGCTGTTTATATCACACAGTGTGATTGTTTTCTAAATTATATGAGCTTGCCACATGGGTGTAGCCAGGATTTATTTTTTGTGAGGGAGGGCAGGCTTTATGTTGGGGGGGAGGGGGACAGACCTGAGTTATCTGTGACACAATTGTTCAGTTAGTTATTTTCATTTATTGATAAGGGGCAGCTGCCCCCTCCTCCCCCTGGCTACGCCCATGCCTTTCCAGAATATGTGTTTGCCTGCATATACATGGTGTGAAAAGGGTATTCGTAATGGTAATACAAAAAGCAACCTGCGAATGAGGATGAGGTTCAGATAAACGGAATACCACTTGGGTGGT